GAAGGTCTTTGAACAAGATGTCTCCAGCTTGATAGGCGTCTTGGAAAGTAATGGTGATTGCCCGGCCCATCTCGATGCGTTCCACATGGTCCTTGAGTCCACAGACGTGAGCAATGCTCGTGCCTTTCGAGCTCCATGGCGAGATATTTCTAGGGACGATGTACCAAGTTTTTGTTGCCTCAGTACTTTCCGGGATCGAAGCGGCATCTGTAGTGGGAAGCTCAAGCCAGTGTGCCAGTTTCTGCCTGACAAGACCCTCATTGGCGCGGTCCGTGACGTGAACGAAATATACCCAACTGCCGTGGATATCCGTGATCGGAGTCTCAGGGCTGGCCTTGTTGATGCGAGTGCATAGTTCTTCGGCTTGTCGAGACGTGAAGGCGGAGCCTCCTACCAACATGAAGGTGTTCATGGTCCCCGCCATCACTGTGTGCGTAACAGCATGGGTCGAATCGGGTCCTTGTCCGCGTTGCGAATGGAAAGAGGGAAAAGTTGAGCGCAAATGAAATTCTCGGCGGTCACCCAGGCTTCTACGATGGTGGGGTACTTCAAAATTTTGGAGGGGTAAGGTACAGAGATTTTGATGTTCAAAGGGTCCCGCGATTCAGACCGCCGGCCCCGACCCCCGCCAATGTGATCGCGCTCAAGCCAAGAAAAAAAGAATGAGTAAAAGACTGTCGGCTGGAGTCTGCCGGAGCAGACCAGCGCAGGACCGCGTAGGAGCAACAGTGGAATACGAAGCGTGGCGGATTCCATGATTCGTCGCATTCAAATCATTAGCATAGCTACATGGGATACCCCAAGGCCTTGGATAGGTAAGTAGTATTACCAAAAGATACAGTTGAGCTGTGAAATTTCTCTGGCCCGGGCGAGAGCCTTTTTCAAGCCTCCGGCGCCTTGGTAAAATGGTGCATACAGCACTTCCAGTCCCCCCCAGCCCCTTGCCTCCACACACTTGAGCAGACCCCTTCAGTGGGTATCATTTGCCCACCTTCCTGCTGACGCCAAACTGTGACCCTATACAACAGCGCTGCGCTCATCATATCGACCTCGACGAAGGCGGGTTCGCCGTGGATGCGGTAGGCTGTCCAGGGCTCGTAGCTTTCAATATGCTCCATTGCCGTGGGCTTCGTCTCGCGGGAGTAAATCTTGTTGTCTGGCTCTGCCCACACCACGTCGTTCGTCAGGTATTTCTTGACCGTCTTTGGCTTGTCACACATAGCCCTCCATAGCTGTGTCTGGGCTTCGAGGGTGTTTGTCTTATTGCGGTCGAATATCGAGCCTGGTCCAGACATGGTGACTTTGTGCGTTTGAATGAGATGCAGGAAACGGGTGACGTTTTTGGTGTGATCTCTTTTGGGGAGTCGAAGAGTCGAAGAGCGCAAGCATGGCAAGGGATAAACTACGATCAACTAGTACTTATACAACATTTCGAGCCCGGAAACCGGGCAGCGCATTGTTTCGAGGAATCCCATTGCGTAAGTCAGTGAAGATGCGTGAGCAAGTTCTTGGAATGCATCCCTGGCTGGCGCAACTGACGTCATACTACCCTGAGCCCACCAGCCACCACCCGAATGAGTTTCACCCCGAGCTCCTGTTCTCTCGCGCAAAATCGGCGCACGCTTACCGAGTGTGAAGTGCTGCCGGTGGTGTGATGAGTTGGCAAGGTAATTACTAGTACGTGGTTTTAGGTAGGGAAGTAGTACTTCGTAGTAGTAAAGTATTAGTAGCTGCTGGAAGTACCGAATTCACTCAGAAAACACGAACATGCTGGTTCGAGCAATTTCCCTGGGGTATAAGCTGGGACCACTCTGTTCGTGTTTTCTGGGTAAATATGGTAGTAAGGTAAGCTGGTTCAGAACCAGAGTGTCACTTTCCCATCTGTCGCTTGGTTTTTTGTGCAAGTAACAAGCGTTTTTTTGCCCGACGTACCTCACCAACCCTATTGCTCAGTCGATTCAGCTATCATCATCAACCTCGCAATTGTCAATTCTAACCTGTGCCTCTCAAGTGTTGTTGGCCTGACTTTTGGTGCCTGCTCCGCACCAGTAACATTTTCGGTATTTTCTGTTGACCGTTGCTGTTATGCGCGTCAAATGTTTCTCGAGACGCACCAACCTCATGTTTTGTCGACATCATTGCATTTGGAACGCCACAACAACACAACATAATGGGTCAACGTCTCACGCAACGCTGCTTCACCCTCACTACACTGTTCCTTTCGGTCATAATAGCGTGCCACGGTCAGCCAGACAACACAGCCAAGTCGAGGGAAGGCGAAGATCTAGCCACCAACATCACAACATGCGAAGCCCGCACAATTAATCACATCACCCATACTTTGCCACAGTTGTGCTTCACCAGCACTTGGGGCGGCAATTCAGCAACTGGCTCAGCTGCCAGCCCAACACCGTGGCAGTCGCAACAGGCTGCACCGAGCTACACGGACAAGGTCAATGACGAAGAGCAAATTGTAGCTAACCCCCCCGCTGGCAACGCACCTCAAGATGGCGAGACCACAGAAGCTCAAGCTAGCCAGGCCCCGACCGCCGAGGAAACGCCTTTCATGTCCTTTGAGGATTGGAAGGCAATGATGCTGCGGCGCACTGGTCAGGATCCGCAAGACCTCCGACACCGCAAGGTTGCAGCAGGAGAGGGTGGCAAGCGAGTTCCACCGAACCTGGGCCAATTTGACCTCGGAGACGAGGAGGAAATCTCTCTTGATTTCCAAGAGTACATCAATGAACCAAGGCGGGATCAGTATCGTGGTGCCGACTTGTCTACAGGGGGTCATGCACCCCAAGACCAGGACCCAATCCTCTACGAAGGCGACCCAACCTGGCTACACCGAAGCAAAGACGCAGGCAAAACATGTAAAGAGCGTTTCTCATATTCCTCATTTGACGCAGGCGCGACGGTTCTCAAGACGGGACGAAGCACCAGGAATGCCAAAGCTATTCTGATCGAGAACAAGGACACCTACATGCTCTTGGAATGCGGGGTGGACAACAAGTTTGTCATCGTTGAGCTCAGTGATGACATTCTTATAGACACCATCGTCATCGCCAACTTCGAGTTCTTCTCAAGCATGATCAGGAGATTCCGGGTTAGCGTGAGCGATCGCTATCCAGTCAAACTAGATCGCTGGAGAACAGTTGGGGAGTTCGAAGCCCGCAACTCGCGCGATATACAGGCGTTCTTGGTCGAGCACCCGCAGATCTGGGCGAAGTATGTGCGTATCGAGTTTCTTTCACACTATGGCAATGAGTATTACTGCCCTGTCTCACTGCTACGAATCCACGGTTCCCGTATGCTGGACTCCTGGAAAGACACCGAGCCGGGTCGAGAAGACGACACGCAAGAAAGTGGAGAGGACGCCCCTCTTCTCGATTCTAGCCAGAGGATTGATCCAGTCGGGGATGCCATTGACTCAGCTCGCGCAGGTGAAGCCCATGCAGCACCTGCCGAAGGGAGCAGTCATCAACCGTTGACGTCCAGGCCAACTTCATCTGTCTGCACTATACCTTCCAAGATGAATCTTCTTATTGACCAGACCTGTCAGGCCGAGCACATGGCGTCCTATCATAGTGAAAGAGAGGCTGCTTTCTCCGGCCAAGAGGACTTTCATGCTAGCGACAACCATGTCGCAACTGCTACAGAGGCTTCCAGGACGCAGATTGTCCACGACGATGCAGCTCAAACGTCCACAAGTTCGTCGACTGTAGATACTGTCGAAGCTCGAGCCCCAGGCAAGGCTGATAGGTCAGCGCAGGCAGATGCCCGCTCCAAGCCCACCTCGACAAGGTCAACGGACTTCGTCAATGACGTCCCACCTCACGCGGCGAAGCCAGCAAATGCAACGTCGGGGGCGGCCACGAGGCACCGATCATCGAGCACGAATAGCGCAGTCACAGCGTCACCTACGGTGCAGGAGGGCTTTTTCAACGCCATCACTAAACGTCTACATAACGTTGAAGCCAATCTCACTCTGTCGTTACAGTATCTCGAAGACCACTCACGTTACGTCCAAGACTCGCTGAGCAAGATCGAGTCCAAGCAACTGAAGAAAGTCGCCGCCTTTCTGGATAATCTGAATGGCACTGTTATGGCGGAACTCCGAGGGATGAGGGACCAGTACGATCAGATCTGGCAAAGCACCGTCATTGCACTTGAAACGCAGCGCGACCAGGCGGATCGAGATGTGGTGGCCCTGAGTTCTCGTCTGAACCTACTCGCAGACGAGGTGGTGTTCCAGAAGAGGATGGCGATTGCGCAAGCTATTCTCCTGCTTTGCTGCTTGTTCCTTGTAATTTTCTCAAGGGGCGTACCAATCCCTTATCTTGCACCACTCCTCGATGCCCACACGGATGTGCCCGCATATTCCGCAGCCGACCTTGATGTGAAGAATGTTTTTGTCGACTCCGTGTCTGGCCAACAGCCTGGGGTTTCTGAGGGAGAAGATGAAACGAACATATATAGGACAGGTGCCGAGACACTGCTGCTCAACGACTCGGGCGCTCACATTGAGCTGCACACAAACAAAGGGAATCACGTGCCCGATCCTAGTCCCTCCGGTGGTGCTCTGGGCCCTAAACCACCATCTCCCATGGATCTTGATTTGGGCGATGACAGCTTGAAGGTGGTGAACTCAACTTCTATTGCCGCAGATAAACACTGCCTCAACAGTTCAAGGCGCTCGACTTCGGCACAACATGTACAAGCCCGGAAACCTCTACCAGCCTTGCCTGAACACCCCCAACCTGATGAGGATCAAGATTACGAAGTTTGGATTTGAACTGAATAAGGGGTTACACACTCGATGTCATTTCCGACATGCAATATAACGAGCCATAACATTTGAAATTGATATCTTTACTAGACTCCTTTGCCAGACTTTCTGGGCTATTCGGTGAATGCTTTGTGTCGCGTAGAAACAACTGCATACCTGCAGGAAGGACCGATGAAGCCGGTGAAGCAGATTGATGGAGATTGCCCGAAAGTCAAACTCCAACATACAAACACAATGCGATTGAAAGCGGCAATCTAAGAGCCACGCCTGCAAACTGCGAGATGCTCAGGGTGGTAGAGATGGTGGATGGTTGTGTCGTAATCGTACTCTTCGAGTGCAGCAAGACGGGTGCCTCGATCAAATTGTGACCGCCTCCGCCGCTGCTCATCCCGGAAGTGCTGCCCAGCATTTGGAGTGAATAGACCTGGAGAGGGAGATCGGTCAGCCGAGTTCTGACGGACAAGCTGAGGCCCTTACCAACGTGTTCAGCATTCTCGCAGCTTCGTTTCATTTTCGATTGATTGTCTGGCTCGGGGAAAGGCTCCTCTTGTCCTGCCAGCTCTGGCATAGGCCCATTGGAGGTGAAGTACAACTAATGCTGGTTAGTATCCTTTGCGCTCCCTTCGAGGCGTTCACGGCGCTGCCCACCTTCGGTCGATAGTGTGCCGCCTCGAGCATGACAGAGCTGTTGCGGAACTTCTGAACAAGACAGTCTTTTCCTTGAATGGCTTCCATGTGTTAATTGAGGTCCGAGGCATTTGTTGGGAACATACTGGCATAGGATACTTCGGCGACCTTGTCACTCTTGAAACAATTCCTGTGCAGTCAGTGAAATCCAAAGACTCCATGATGCAGCCACGGTCTGATTCTCACCATCGTTGGTTTCCACGGGCATCTACGAACTGCGATTGAGTCAGCATACGCTCGGAAGCGCTTGGCATTCGCTACAGCGAACTCACATCTACAATATCAAGAGGCTTCGATGCTGTCAGCAAGTTGCGTTATTAGCAAGCCGAACTGACCTACATCCACGAAGTTGATAAAGGCGTATCCAACACTAAATTTCAGTCAGTTTACAGCCTAATGCATGAAATTATTTGATCAACACATACTTGCAATCATTGGCGAAATCGATCCGCAAATACATGAAATCATATTTGCCCCAGCTGGACTCGTCTACGATCCGCTTCAGCATGGCCTGGTCAACTTTATTGGGTATGTTTCGTAACATTATCTGGCCAAATTAAGTAATTGCCAGAAAAGGGGTACTGTATTAGTCTCACCGTTGTGCGAACATCCATACCATCCCGAATGTGCTGTATGTCCACGTGATTATGATGGCCGACTCCATTACGGTGGGGTGATCTATTGAGACGTTGGATACTGTATTTTTGAACGTCTGGTCGTATGAGCCTCTGGCCCGAGCGTGATGGACTATGATGAGTGTTTGAGGTAGGGGCTGGTGACGGGGGTGTCTGATACATTGTGCCCATAGGATAGCGTGGTGTGATAGGCGTAGTCGGTGTGTTCTGGCCCATGGTCGAAACGCAGTCTAGCGTGTACAGGATCGATGGTGAGTATTGGGGCTGGAACAACGGCGGATACATGGCGGCAGTGTGTTGTAAGTCCGTAGCGGGAACTTGATGCGTTTGATGCGAAACAACTTCCATTGGCATGTCAGCCATGTTAGTGCCGCTCGGACAAGTATTGGCAGGCCCATTTGGAAGGATGTCTAACATTCCTCCAGCCGGCAGATTAGATGTTCCATACGGAGTTATTGTTAAGTGTATACCCTGGACGTGTTATTCACCAGTTCAGTTGGTGGGGTATTCGCACGCTGTCTACTAGTAGGCAAGTGGGAAGTGCTTACCTCGTTGATAGTGACTCCGCCATGGTCGCCAAGAGCACAGATACTGGCCGTCACGCTGCAGAACTCGGCCACTGCGCGGAAGGAACCATCTTGAAATGTCGAGAAATGCACAAAGGCGAATAGCTGCCCATGTTGCTGCAAATATGACTTTACAAGCTCGATAGAGGTTTGCGGAGGGATATTCGCATTCGTAGGCACAGCCGCTAATACTGCGACCTGTCCACAAAGCATAAAGTCTTGACTCGGGCATGGAAATCCGCCCTGTGGCGTACTCGTCAGTGTTGACTAGAAACTAGACAGCTTGGATCAAACTGACCTCGGGCATCTTCTCGGGACTTATGAATCTGACTGTCCAACTCTTGCGACCCAGACGGGCACTGGCATGTACGGAGCACGCATCGCGAATGTCCTCGAACTGAATGAGCACGTGACCAGGAGGAGATGCAATGTACTTTTCGTTGAACCTGACAATCCCGTGTTGGTCGAGCTCCTAGAGTACAGTTAGCTTGACCTCGGGTTACCAAATCTGTCTACATGCCGTCAGCCAGGCTTCGACGTCGGGGACCGAAACGCCCAGCGAGTGGGAGATGCTCAGAAACCTGGACAAGCCGAGATCTGTACTCAGTCCAGCGGCAATGGGGTTTCCAATGGGGTAATGAATCCTCTTGTTGCCTCTCAGGATAGGTTCAAAAGCCGAAGCAGTGGGGGAGAGCCCCTTGCTGCGGCCAGGCGTGGTGAAGGGATCTCTCTCCAATGTGGACATGTTTCCTCGATACGCGTCCCCGTAGCATTTCGTTGCCGAAGTTGGCGTTGCGGATCCAATATGTCCTTCAGTCTTCTCTTGGTATGATGTTTTGGACATACTGTTAGGCGACCAAGTGGCAGAGCCCATGGAAAGTGTGCTTCCGTATGGATCAGATTCTGCTGGCAAGCGGAAAGACCGCGACGAAGTGGATTCGGTAAAGGAGGCAGGGGGAGGCATGTCCGAACCTTGAGCTGTTGGTGTTCAGTGGAGTTATAATATTCGCGCGATGAGGAGGTGAGTTGGGGACTGATCCACGAGAAGCGACTGCGGGTTTTCGCTTATCAGACATGTACCTTGAAGTTACCTCAGGGAGAAGCACTTTGAAGGGAAGTGATGAAACGATTGACAGAACAGACTGGACTCGAAGCCTCTGTGTGCACAGACGCAGGTAGACTTGCACGCCGGAGGGAAGGCTCTGATGCGAGAAGAGAATGGGTGTATTTGCTAAAAAGGAAGGAAGCAAGCAGTCTTGGAAATCAATGATTGGCGCTTTGCTCGCAGAGGCAGAGTCTCGGAAGGAGAGCCTCAGTCCGCTGTGGAGTTCTTTCCTTGTAGTGACACAAGAGTCCCAGGAACTAGATTAACGAGGAATAGGGGGTCATCAGACAGGCGCCGCGGAGGTGAGGGATGATCAGGGTGAGCTGCAAGTGAAGCAATGGGGATGGGACGACATTCCTTACCATAACACGAAAGAGCATTGGTAGCTGCCACTGCCTTAATGCACTTCAGGTGGAAAGCCCGGCAACCCTGAACGCGCAAGCAGTTCCGTCTGACCGCAAACTGCAGATACCTTAGTATTTCATCACCAGGTACCTACCTTAAGTATGCTTCACTCAAGCATCCCAGGTGCTTCGGTCATCTGCATTCTGAAGCTTCTCATACCACAAGCCAGTTCCAATTGACTGACGTTACGCGCTCGGTCCTGGAAGATCATCTGCATTTGTTCCAAAGCGAGCCCAAAACACTTGAGGCCTGTGTTTGCCCACACTGGTGATTGTATTGCCTTCACAGAGCAGGATGAGCGGTAACAGATTGGAGTCGACAATTGAGAGAGGCTTAGGAGCTGATCCATAAGTCAGCATTTATCATACAAAGGAAATAGGACAGTGAGCCGGCGTATAAATCCTGGTATTTATTAGTAGTACACAGTACAATGACAAGTATAACGTCTAGATAAAGTACTTACCCTACCAAAAGAAGTACGTACTTAACTAGATGAGTGCTCAACTCGCTTACTAAGCACTATACTACCCCAGCAACATGTGCTGCTCGTCCTTTGACAAACCGCTGATATATTTTGAGCTCTATTCAATAAGAAGTGTGATATAGTGAAGGATGATCATTTACGTGATACTTTTCCTGAGCCCTTTGCGGCTTTATTCATGTACGTGTCCAAAAATAGCCCCCCCGGCCCCCCCGCGTACAAGTAGGTAAGGCATGAGCATCGATCCAAGAATGGCTTAGCGTCGAATCTCGCTGCCTTGCTCTGGCTGCGTACCTTACCTCACTTACTACGTATCCGTACAGCATCAAAAGTGCTTCGACTAGTACCACCCGCATTCTCATCTTTGCTCTGATTTCTACTCCAGACAACACCTGGCGAACCTCTCGAGTCACAGAGCGAGGTTGGGAACGTGCTGCCGGAACTTGCTCGGGTCGAACAGTGCTCGTTGGGCAGTTTGCGACCGATGCTGAAGACATGGTGCGCCCGAATGCCATGCCGCGACGCCAATTCAATACAGATGACTATCATGCAGCCGTGTCGCAGGCAAGTCATTTCGCTGCACTATACTGATTAAAGAACACGAAACTGACACCTAACGTAATGTGCAGATCATTTTGTCATCATCCGACCACGATTTCTTCGACCAATTGATCCCTACACTGAAGGAGGCTACAACGTCGAACCGCACGACCTCGCTGGTCAGTAGCTTTAGTCGTTATGCCGATGACCGCGAAGCCGATATCGAAAGGATTGGATCAACCAAACACGAAGAATTCCTGGATTCTGTCACGCGACTGCAACATGTACGAGAAGGAACAGTGAGCCTAACGGGCGAAATTCTGCAACTCAACCAATCCATTCAAGCAAGTACAGAGAAGCTTGCCGAACAGAAGAGTGCCCTCGTCAATACGAAAGCGATCAGACAGAACGTTGCCGATGCCTCGAGTGCATTGGGCGACTCTTTGAGAATACTTCATGCAGTCAATCATGCTCACGATCTTGTCAGGCGTAGGAAATATTATCTGGCACTGAAGTCCCTTGAGGACTTGCAGAATGAGCACCTTGTGCCTATCCTACAAAATCGTTACGCGACCCAGCACCGACTAGCAAGTCTCATCCAGAAGTCGATACCAGCATCTCAAAAGTCTATTTCAGAAGCAGTCATGAATGACTTGAACACTTGGCTATATCATATTCGAGAAACCTCGCAATTCCTCGGCGAAGTAGCTTTTTACCACACCGAAATGCGTCGGACTCGACAGAAAAAACGTATCGAAGAGGATCCTTTCTTGGGAAAATTCAAGCTGAATTCTGCCATCGAGTTAGTTTGCGATGAAAGTGAGGAATTTGACGTCTTGAGCAACGAAGAGCTCCAAGTCGACTTCACACCCTTATATGAAGCTCTACATATTCATGAAGCCCTCGGTCAACCCGACAAATTTCGGATTGAGTACTCCGCCACACGCCGACAGCAAAAGGACCTCTTGATGCCGAGCACTGTGACTTTGGCGGCCGAAGATGAGTCCTCACTCAGCAGCCTTCTCGAAGGCATCGCCGGCTTCGCCATTGTCGAGAGAGCGACGACTCTTCGCATACCTCAGTTGAGATCTCCGGCAGAGGTGGGAATTGAAGACACCAACTCGCCATGATTGTAATTGACACACTCTAGGTTGAGGAGCTATGGGAGTCCATGTGCACTACTGCGGTGAACCTCACTGCGAAAGCCCTTTATGATGTCAACAATGCCGAAGTGCTTCTCAAAATCAAGACATTCATAATCATGTTCATACAAACTATGGAGGTGAGGCAAGTTCCAGACGTAAATCTTTTCGCTGCTGACTGTGCTTCGAGGGCTGGGGCTACTCTGTGTCTACTCTGGATGCATTTCTGCTCAAGTTGTTTGACAAATACGCAGAGTTACTGAAGCGCAGGTTTAGCGACGATTTCCAGGAAGTGAGTCGCAACGAGTGCCAGTGACTGCACCACAGTACTGATGCGGTCATAGATTGTCTTCACTGATGATTACATGCCCATGGCTATCAACACAAAGGAAGAATACGAGAAAGTTGTCAACGTGAGCTGGTACTCACCAGACAAGTCGACGGATGAATTGACGTGAGTACTATCAGCGAGCTTGTGCTGTTCTCTCACTGATCGGGGGCAGCTTTCCTTGCGTCCTCCCCTTCTCCCAAATGTACCCGCTTTGCTGCATCGACATCAGGAACTTCCTCAATCAATTCTACTTCTTTTCGGACGACCATTTCCAGCATCCTGATGTGATCGACGAGACCTTGAAGCGAGTACGTCGACCCCCGTTACATGACTGATCCACGTTGACGTTCCGGCAGTCACTCGATGAATTGTTGACCGAAAAAGTCTGTCAATCATTGGTGGACCGATTGAGCTCGCATTACCTCGGCCAGATTGTCCAGATTCTCATCAATTTGGAACATTTTGAAAAGGCTTGCTATGATCTTGAGCAACTACTGATCGAGGCGAGGTCCTCCACTTCAGCTGGCGGACCTCTAAAACTCAATGCGACCGCGCAGTTCCGTAACAACAAGAAAACTGCCGAAAAAAGGATCTTTGAGGTCGTGAATTCCAAGATTGACGATCTCGTTGATACGGCTGAATATGATTGGTAAGTGAAGTATGGATTGAATTGTCGAAAGCTGGCTCACACTTCATCTTCAGGACTCCTAGTGCTGTTGTTGCGGAACCAAGTAATTACATGCATACCTTGACGCACTATCTTTCCAATATCATGAACTCGACATTGTTGGGGCTTCCGACGGAGATCAAGGAGCTGATCTATTTCGATGCTTTGAGTCACGCGGCTGATAAGATACTTGTAAGGTTGTTGTTGAATTCGTGAGCAACGTTGACTCAAGTAAACAGGCTCTTCCGCTGTCTCCAGACGTAAAGCATATCAATCCTCATGGCATTGCAGCTTTAGCCCAGGACGTGCTGTACCTGACGGAATTCGTGGACAGTCTCGATAATGGGCAAATGCTTCGCCAAAACTTGGACGAACTCCAGCAAACCGTTGCACTACTGCAGTCCGAAAATCACGACGAGTTCTTCGACATTTCGACAAGGAATAAGAAATATGGGCGGGTAGACGCAATTAATGGCCCTCTGCTGCTCGAGAAGTACGTATTTCATCTGCTTAGCCGCTGTGCGGATACTGACAAGGATGCTTCATAGGCTCGTACCTATCACACAAAATTCTACGAAGAGCGCGCCACTTGCGAACTTCTCATCGCGCTTCGGAATGATGAAGTAGATGTTGAAGTACTGAAATTCACTGAGCTAGGAAGCAATTGCGAATATTTCCGTGAGACATATTGCATTGACCAGCATCCCGTTCCGTACAAGTGTTCTGTCAGAAGTGACCTGCTTTCGATTTGTCCACAATACGTCGTCATTAATCTTGTTTTGACCTATTCGAAGTCCTCGGATGACATGGGGGCCTAGAGAGCTATCAGGATTCGTCATTGGTCAGCTATGTGGTGATGAGTTTACCTGTTGAGGCTGCATGCCAGGGTACGGATACATGCCCTCTATCTCTCCGTACATTTGCGGTTGGGCCTGTCCATAGGAGGGCGCAGGACCTGGCGGTACCTGGCCACTGTACATGCCAGGATTCTGGCGATACTCTTGTTCCGGCGCCATTGAGTGAGTTCCCATGTAATCGCCTGGTCCGAGGGAATGACCAGGTGGGCCTGGTGGCATAGTCCCATGCTGTCCAGGTATCGGCGGTTGCCCGGCAGTGGGCATTGCTTGTGGAGGAGCTGCAGGTTGCGCATTGGCTCTTTTGGCATGGGACGCCGCCTCTTCCCTTGGAACTATGTCGATCAGGAAATCAAACATGTCAGATTTGGCAAGCGCCGAGGCAATGTCAGACCGTTGCAGTGTTCGTCGCTTGTTTTCCTCGGCATGTATCCAGGCGCGCATAGTCAGCTCAGTAATGAAAATATCACAGCCCTTGGCGAATAAGATTGGAGCCTCTGCGGAGATCATCTTAACCTCTGGGTCTGCCTTCATGACCTTTTTGATACGAGCCAAGGGCAGCTGATGAATCTTGAACTCGTGCTTCTCTTGCTCCAGATGGCTGATCGTTTGTTGCCAGTAGGTGGTGAGAATGTCCTTATACTGTCCTGTAAGACCTTGGTGGACCTGCAAACGCGTTAACGGCGCTCATCTGGTGACAGCTGTGTGGAAGACCGCACATTCGCCCAAGGTCCAGTGTACAGCTCCGCCGGAGCAAAGCCTTGCGATGCGAGCTGTAGAAACCATCAGCCTGCTCTTCCACTTCAAGAGGCCTGGCACTTTGACTCACCGTAGCACAAGCGCCTAGATTCCACGTACCCACCATCAGTCTCGCATTCGATGATGATGAAGCGGAAGGGTTATAAGAACCTACCGTAATGACCACCTTGAGTCGTATCGTACACTGGGGCCGTAGCCCGCTGCTGCGTGTGCGCAGCGCTCGCTGCCTGAGAATCCATGGTTGTGGTGTTGATGGTTACGTAGTTAGTTGTAAGCGCGGTCCTGTAGCGGGATGGCTGGTTCATTGGGCGCTGACCAAAACACACCGAGCCTAACTTGGCTGGGCTTGTGGCTGGTCTAAGTTAACTGAGGATGACAGCCACTATGGCTGAAGTGGGCGGGGCAATTATAAATTACTAAGCTACTAACGTTAATCTCTCCCAACACTAAAAGTATCCACCCGACGCTCAAAATCTGTCTTTGCAGTCTGAGCATCGACACTTTTTGGCCGTCAACTGTTTTCTCGCGAACATGACAAGTCTCGCCGATATCGATCTCGATGGCTTGCTTCGCGAAGCCGAGTCGCGGCTCTCGAAAACCCGTACAAGCCAGCAAATCGACAACAAGCCTCCATTGTCCGGGAGCTTGACATCTGTTCCAAGTCGTGGCGCGGCTCCTCGTGAAGCCTTGTCAGTGCGCCAGATCCAGACCACGAAAACTCCAACCGAGGTAAGCTCCATTCCGCCGACGCAATGTGCATTTTCATGATGAAAGGAACCGCTTCGCGGCCTTGTGACTCGAGAGACATTCCGTTTTGGACATGTCCTCGGGACCATATGATCCCCATTTTTTTCATAGTTACTCTGACTTGCCCAATCACACACCAGCCATGGGAAAATAATCCTCACGAGCATGTGCTAATTCACTCTAGGACACCGCCGGGAAGGATTGGTTCCACCTCCCCAAGGCCGACGCGACTTCTGAGCTGAAGAGAGACTGGCAAATTCTCCGTATGCGCAATGTCTTGGATCCTAAACAGCAAAGAAAGGCTTTGCGGCCTGAGATTCCCAAGTACGCCCAGGTTGGGGAAATCGTTGCTGGACCGACGGACTTCTACAGCGCAAGAATGACACGCAAGGAACGGAAGCACAACTTGCTTCAAGAAGCACTAGACTCTCGAGATGAGTCAAAGATGCGTCACAAGTACGCCAATATCCAGCACGACAAGACCAGTGGTAAGAAAGGCTCTTACCGGAAGTTCCTGTCCCAGCGGAAGAAGTTCAAGGGATGAAGAACCATTCGACACGCAGATTATCCCTGGATACCACATAAACGCCCGGGCAAATCAGGTTTGCTATGGACCAGCTCTTGGAGTCACTCGATGCTCGTCATAACGTCGAGCTTACGATGCAGATCCAGCAATGCTGTTCTAGGCATCGTACGTCGACGCGACGCGACTCGACAAATACCACTCCACTAGCGTTGGGCCTTGATCAGTGCTGTCTGATTCGACTTTAAAAACTGAAGTGCTCATGATGCTCACTTGCGCACAACCCGTTGGCTACGGGCAGCATGCAGTGCCTTGGCAACTCGTGTCGGCTATTCGGGTCACCTGGTCCTCCGCCAAACTTGGGTAACGTGCAAGTTGGTGCTCGTTGACTCATTGACTCTATTTCGAGTCGGTGAGGCTCACTGATTTTGCGAGACATTGTTGCATTATAGCACTACAAACCTGGTGGGGATGAAAGGAATTCGTAGGTCGGCCTGAAGTAGAGACGAATCGAGGACGGAGGTGCTTATTTTGGATGTCCCGTATCCGTACTGCCTGAAAAAAGCTTGACTGCTGTTCCTAATCGTCCCGTTTGGTACCCTATTTACTCCTACAGTAAGTAGTACCTACGTAAGTAATTAAGTAGTAAGGACTAGTTAATACGGAGCATGAGTTCAAACGGTTCGTCTCCGTAGTGCGGAATACATACCTAGTAGTACTTACTAACGTTAGTACGTAGTAGTACCTAATCAATGCATGTTGCTTGCCATTTGTATGCGCATAAGCGGGCTTACCTGATACGCCATGTGGATATGCGCCATGGGTTGCTGTGACTGTCGAGAATTTCAGATTGTCGCGAAGCCTTCGCGTCAACATTGTTACCAGCACAATGCCTTTCTCGTTGACACGCAGGGCTGCCTTGCATGAGGTGAGCCTTGTGGCTCGGCAAAGGGCATACCCTGATTGTTCTCGGCAGCCAATGCTGGCTCTTGCAGGCAGCAGACGATCCAAAGCGTCACTGTAAGTGTTCCAAGAGCAGCGCAGACTCCTCGCCATTTTGCGCGCGAGGACGTCTAGGTTCCTGCATATATACTGACGGTGTCCAGATCAGGAGAGGCTGACCGTAAGCCAAATTTATCGACTCAAGCGACATCCGAACCTGAAAGTCCGCGCCATCCACGATCCGTGCAAGCCCTACACTTGAAGCCCTTGAAGCGGGAGGCTGAGCACGGTATCCCCTCTTGCGACTTACAGTTGCGCTCATACAGCCTACAACCTCTGGATTTTTTTTGCGACTTCGCTTTACGCGCTGCGTATTACCTTGGCTTACCAGCCTACGGCCCGGTCCCGCTGCCCCGAATTACCCAGAGGTGGACTGTTCCCCGAAGTCATTTCATTTTCAAAAAGTCGCAAGAGAACTTTGAACGTATCACATTAAGACGCTTGATTCAAATCAAGGACGGCAATCCAGAGACGGTTCAGCTATGGCTTGCATATCTGCGGAAGCACCAATACTACGGTATTGGAATGAAGGCGAACATGTGGGAATTCAGCGAGTTAGGAGGACAATCGGTGACGAAGCAGAATACGAGGCAGTACGAGACTGACATCAACGCGGCATGGCCTCACCTCGGGCAGGTCAAGCCTCTTGAATCGGCGCTGGAAGCAGACAAGGTCCTTAATCACCGCCTATCCTCGGAGGCAAGCGGGCCTCGTTAACCAATGGGTACTGAAGTACCTCAAGAATTTGGATCCAGTCCGAATGCTTGACGTTCAAGACTAGTGGGCACCCAAATTACGTGTAAGATTGATTGTACGACGACAGCTATAGTACCAGGACTGCCTGCCAAAATTCCATTCACAGCAGATGCTTAATGTGCCTTATAATGCAAGAACGCAAGGATATTAATCGATCCTGAGGTCTCTGAAGTATTTTACTCTTTAATGCGGATGTGAGATTGTCTCTGAGCGCGCCTCGGTAGATGCATACTGATTAGCACTCCATCTTGCGAATCGCGCGTGCAAGCAGTCTTCAGAGAATCAGGCCCCAGCGATTCAGGAACATCAAGCAACTCCCGTGAACCCGACGCGCCCTCATTCTATTTCCAACCACTTTTGCTCTTTTCCGGCACTGGAACCAGAGGGAGGAGGAGTCTGCGAGACAATACAGCTGATCAGGTGCCATGGCGGGCTTGGCAGGACTGCGAAGTCGTGCTGCTGCCTCGAAAGTCATATTTTCTGGTATTCAGCCAACTGGCGTGCCGCATTTGGGCAATTACGCGGGAGCCCTGCGCCAGTGGGTATCTCTGCAAAACGAGGAACCAGTCACCACCAGTCTCATTTATTCAGTTGTTGATCTCCATGCCATCACCACGGCACAACCTCGAGAAAGTTTGAAACAATGGAGAACAGAGGCACTGGCGTCATTGCTGGCTATAGGCCTGGACCCTGACCGGTGCACCATCTTCCACCAGTCCTCTGTTAGTCGCCCACTGAGCGTGTCCAATCCAGATCTTGATCGGTACTAATTGTACATTCAGGTGCCTGCACATGCAGAGCTCATGTGGATCCTCAGCTGTACAGCATCTGTCGGGTATCTATCACGCATGACCCAATGGAAGGTAGGTTGCTTGACGTCGATGTTGGCTATTCGCCGACACTATAGGAACATGAAACCGCCCCTCCACAACCCCTTGGATCACGAAACTCCATTCCCCATTCTCCAGCATTGCAGGTGTACTAAGGCTGCTGTGTATAGTCGAAGCTCAATCTGGCAGAGTCCTCGAGCATTGAGGAAAAGAAAGTAGGCGGCCAGCTCAAACTGGGTCTCTTCTCGTACCCCGTCCTGCAGGCAGCTGATATACTGGTCCATCGGTATGACTTGTGGTGTTGTGGGAAAGTACCTGGCTAACGGTTCCGCAGGGCAACACATGTGCCGGTTGGGCAAGACCAACAACAACATCTAGAATTTGCCCGCGAATGCGTGACAAATTTCAATTCTGCCTATGGCAAACATCTTGTAGCGCCAGTTACCCTCTGTGGTGAGTGTGAAAGATGACTCAACTTTGCATTGTCTTGGAAACTGACTCGGATGAGCTCCAATCTCACGCGTCATGTCCCTCACTGACCCGACCGCAAAAATGTCCAAGTCGCACAAGGCTGAGCGATCTCGTATCCTCTTGACCGATGGGCCGGATCAGATTCGGAAAAAAATCGCCTCTGCACTTACGGACTCGCAAGCAGGCATTGCGTACGATCCTGCCAACAGACCAGGAATTTCTAACCTACTGGACATATTGTCGATTTTCGACACCAGAACGAGGTCTTCATCCGAGCTCGCCTCAGACTACTCCGACCTTTCTGCCAGACAGCTGAAGGACATGGTTTCAGATGTTGTCATAACTGGGCTGGCTGGCTTCCGCCAGCGATATCAGGAACTGCTGGGCTCGCGCCGTGATTTTCTCGACAAGGTAGAAGCTGATGGAGCAGCCAAAGCCAGGCGGAGCGCTGCGGAAACGATGAGCAAAGTTAGGGAAGCTATAGGTCTTGCTGGTGCATCCTGAGCCGAGGCATCGAGGTTCTGCGGCCAGGGACTGTGCGACAGTAGACATGGCGCGGGACAATTCCAGATCCCCGAACGGAAGCGATAAAAGCAGATCAAGAAGCATACGCAAAGCTGGACCCTCGCGCTGCGAGCCAGAAATCACGGGCAACTTGCGTCGTCGTCCGAGAGCCACGTAGGCTGAGATATTTGATTAGAAATGTATAATACCACAATGGGTTGGGGAGCGTGCGTACCTCACGAGCTTCTTGACGAATATGGCTTTCTCACGTGGATTGAGGTGAGAGCCAGGAAAGGACACCTGCTCCAGCGCTGACTCGAGCCAGCCTGGCGCGGCCGGGTACCAAGTGATGAGCTTCTTGAGCGGCTCGCTTAGCTTGTCTAGCTCGCTCCGCGAAGCGTTGCCGCCAAAGTTCCTCATCAAACTCTCGCTGACCAGTGGACCAAGTGTTTTCATTAGGTCGATGACCCGGTGCTGAACTGGGGGAGGATTGCCCGCTAGCTGTAAGAAGTGTGCCTTCAAGGAACATTGGTCAGTCGACAAATTTCCCGGCCAGACAATGATCGACGTACCCAAAATCCGGCCGATGCCATCTTTGGAAGTGGTTCCTTCCCATCCAGAGCCTGCAGAGTGAAGAGGAAGAAGAACTCAGACGGATCAAACGGATGAGCATCGATCAAGACTTGAGGGGCTCCGCTCAATACCCGCGTGATAAAGTCCATTGCATTGTGCGATAATTCCGGGTCGGCTTCTGGACCTGCAACATATGTCAGCAAGGGGCACTCACCCACGAGTGCCATCCTGCACATGGGTCATACCTGACAGGCCACGTAGGAGCCCGATGGTCCAGTTGAACAAGTCCGCGAGCAGTTTGTCTCGCATAGAACCTTCGCCATACTGCTTTAGAGAACTCGAAAAAGAGCAAGCAGTCTTGACAAGCGCGCCTATTCGGGGCGAGTGTGTTGTGTGCGAAAACAAGTATTCCGCAATTTGTCTTGGTGGGAAGACAAAGGGGCCGTGCTCGGTTTCCGAGAAACCACTTCGAAGAATGCTGCAGATATTGTCAACAATCTCAACACTTTGCGGGAAAGCCCTTTGCAGCTGAACAATTATGTCGAAAATGTGCCTCTGGAGGTCTGCAAGTTGAGGACTCTTCTCCTTCTCAAGTTTGGAGTTACCATCGATCTCTACTGGCCTTTCAGCCGGGATCTGGAAAGCCTTGGCTACAGAGGAGAGACATCTGAGAACTCTGATACCAATATGCAGAGCTGGAGATTCATCGAACGACTCATCGAGGCATCGAGACTCTGGCGGACAGATGGGGCGACCCGTGGCATTGGGTGACGCAATGAGCGCATGGCAGGTCTGTAAGTCGATCTCAACGAACCCAATGATTTTGCGGAGAGCTTGAAGGCGTTCGGACTCGATTTCCAAGGCTTGAGCAACGGACGCGATGCCCCCGAGAACTTTCTCTGCAGTCTCGCACTCCATTGTCTGGGTTGCGTTCATGCGCTGATATTCGTCAAGAAACGCACCCGTCTCGGAGTGAAGATGATGTCGGCACGAAGAGCAGAGCCGAAGTATAGACCTTGAGATGGGCTGCGACAGCGTCGTATCGCCCACCAAGCTAAACAGAAGGTTCAAAGCTGGCGGGAGAAGTTCGGTGTAGCGCTCGAAGAACTCGGTATACCTCTCAATCAGGCTGACGCATGTTTGGCGAACGCGTGGGGGCAGTAGGGTATGGCCGCCACGAAGCGTGTTGAACAATGGCGAGGAGAAGACAGAATTCAGTGCTTCATCACTTTGCGGTTCTTCCTTGGCACAATCTGCGAGGGATCCAAGACAGAATGCTGCAGCCTCCAAACGTGCCCAGTCCTCAGATGATACCGCGGAAATGAGAAGATCAGCAAAGGTGACCAACAATCGGGATCCGGTTAGGGCGTAGGTAGATTGTAGGAGATCAGCAACGTCCTTTCGAGCGTCTATGAACCCAATGCGATCGCTGTTGTCCCATTGGCTCAGCTCATTGGCATCAGGATATATGATCCGCTGCCACGAGTTTGAAACAGCTTCCAGCACGAAAGATGTGGCAGTCGATGCCCAAGGAATAGAGCTTTCCGCGTTAGAGAAAACCTCGTCCGTCAATGTCTCGACGTATGTCGACCAGAATTCCACTGCAGGAACAAAGATTCTGTCTTCAACAACAGGGTGACCATTCAAGGATAACAGCCCACAAAGTTTACCGAGCAAGGCGTGATCCTGGTGGTTCTCGCTTCGCATCAGGATTTCGACCCGAGCCTCACCATATGCGAGCATGAGCTGACCGAATTGTACTGCGTCAAATTCAAAGTCGCCCTGCTGTAGTCTCTGGTAATAATTCACACACCATGCCTTTTCGAGAGTGTCGGCGAGCAAGGTGTAGTGTTCGCTGGTCAGAAGCGATGGAAAGTTGGTTAAAATGTCGGTGAGAAGTTCCACTGTTGGTTGAAACATATCGTTGGTCGATAATCCAGCTATTACCGCGGAGATGAGAGGCCGAAGCGAATCTATAAAGAGTGAGTCTCGCGCGGCCAGTTTCTGCGAGAACCACACCCAAGACTATGAAGAGAGGTTAGTCACTACGACGGGGCGAGAGACACTAAGCTGAACAGCTTACTTGGAGACATCTGATGGCCTCCTCATCGGCCTTTGGGTCAGGTTGAACATATTCCAAGCTCTTCCAAATGACAGCAGTGGATTCAGCGACATTGAGACGCAACGTTTCATACAGTTCGCTGCTGGAGCAAGAATCAGCAGGAGCTCTTGTGATTCGGGAGTCTTCTTACTTATGCGCCGAGTGAAAATCAACCTTAGCCGCATCATCCACGACGTTGCTGATGACCCAGAGGATCGCTCGACTTCGGACGGGATCCAGACACTCTAGGTGCTCGGGAAACCGTGCCAGGGAAGTTTCTGGAGCGACCAACTTGCCCGTGGCCATACACTGCACAAGATGTGGCACGAATCGCCTCCAAAGGTGCGGGAAGTGTATCAAGTAGGTAGCTAGTGCGGATGACAGCTTTCGTGATACGAGCACTGAACCGCCGTGGGCTACAGAGGCCATGTACCAATCCAACAGACCTGTCAGAAGTTCGCCCGCATTGTGATCGCCTAATGTTGAGCTGGATATTTGGATTAATGCAAGATGTTGCAACGGGTGCTGGGCTGCACTTTGAGAAACCTCATACCTTTCAGTGTTCAGTTTGACAATGATGATCAGGGCCCCGTGGAACCTGACTTTTTCGTCCGCCCTTGTGAGAAGATCGCGAGCAATTGCCCACGAATGGGGTGAGCATTGTATCTCTGTCAATTTTTTCTGTGTTGCCGCTATCACATCTGGCGGATTTGGTCGATAGAGTGTGAGGATGAGCTACCAGCCTTGTTTAGTGGGATGAAGGACGATATAATGAATGGCAGGCTTCACGTACGGCCTCAATATCCTCGGTGGTCAGCTCCGGTTCGTGGTGACCGCCTTCCATGACACGTGTGCTTGCCGGTTGGCGTGTAAAGTCGGGTCGGTCAGGCACTGCTTGATATGTGAGAACAGCAAATGCAACCGGAGGATGAGGCTTATGGAAGGCGGTATGCTGTCTCTACGCGCGGTTCACGTTGCAACAGGTGGGCTCAATCAGAATTCAACTTGAGAATGCACGACCCATGAGGTAATACCTGTAGGTACCTGTAGGTAAAGGGCACTGGTTTCTCAAATACTAAAATACGCTATTATAATGGCTGGTGCGTGGCGCAATTTCGACGTAGTACCTGCCTACGGAGTACCTTGCTAGTATCTGAACCAAACAGACCGTTATGTAATACCCCGCTCAACTTCACTCAGCTCCGTCATCGCTGCCTGCAGGCTCACTGGTAATAGTGAACAAACTGGAGCGAGAGCCTCAAGAAACCGCGAGCTCCAGCATCCAGACTTTGTGCATGCAACATAAGCCCTTGCCTATTGTCTCTTGAGCCTTCAGGTCTTGTGGTTTGATCGCGACGTATTACCCCCGGCAAAGGACATCAACTGGGCCGAACATCCCCTGCGCTTAGTTCGCAAAGTCGATGTTTGTGCGGCCTAATTGGCGTTTCACGACTCGAGTCTACTGGAAAACGCCAGCTTCACCAATCCTTTGTCGACAATCTACGCGCACCTTCAAAACAATGGAGAAGATCAATACTACGGCCCGTCTGGCCAAGCTACGCGAACTGATGAAAGAACGCAATGTCGAGATTTACAGTAAGAGACCACATGTTTGACCTTTGAGCGCTCTATTCTCACCTTAGCTTCCATCAGTCGTGCCTTCGGAGGACAACCATGCCTCCGAATACATTGCGGCTTCGGACGCGCGGCGGCCTTACATTTCGGGTTTCACAGGTTCAGCCGGTGTAGCCGTCATCACTCCGGACACAGCAGTACTGTCCACAGATGGCCGATACATTATACAGGCAACGAAGCAGCTGGATGAGAACTGGACCCTGCTCAACTCGGCTCAGCCAGAAGCACCAACCTGGCAAGATTGGTCCGCAGAGCACTCGAGTGGCGGCAAAAATGTCGGGGTGGATGCCTCGTTGATTGCTTCGTCCGCGGCCAAGAAATTGCAAGAGAAGATTCACAAGCGGGGAGGCGCCGACCTGATACCACTTGAGGAGAATCTAGTCGACCTTGTATGGGGCACAGATCAGCCACCAAGACCCCAAGAGCCCATCATCGTCTTACCCGATGACCTTGCTGGCAAAACTGTCCAAGCCAAATTACATGACCTACGACTCGAATTGGGTAAGAAGCAGGCAATTGGCTTTGTCATCTCCATGCTCGATGAGATCGCCTGGCTCTTCAACATGCGGGGCAGCGACATTCCCTACAACCCTGTCTTCTTCTCGTTCGCCATCGTCACACCTGATTCCGCTACCTTGTACATCGATGACGCCAAACTGGACGACACTTGCAAGAAGCACCTTGCCGATAACGAAATCCACTTGCGGCCATACAGCGCCATACTTGACGATGCCCGAAGACTGTCGGCTACGGCCGCCCAAGCTCAACAGTCTGTAGGGGACAAAGGCATCGGTTCACCACACCGCTTGTTGCTCTCCAACAAGGGTTCCTGGGCACTTCATCGAGCATTGGGGGGAGACAATATGGTACACGAAGTTCGCAGCCCCGTCTGTGATGCTAAGGCTATCAAGAACCCTACAGAACTGCAAGGCATGCGTGCGTGCCACATTCGCGACGGCGCAGCTCTCATCGAATACTTCGCATGGTTGGAAGACCAACTGGTAGCCAAAAAAGCGACTCTGGATGAAGTCGAGGCCGACGACAAATTGATCGAGTTGCGGTCGAAGCACGATCATTTCGTCGGCTTGTCCTTCCCAACCATCTCGTCAACAGGGCCAAAGTCAGTCCTTTCCTCTTCCACCGCAATGCTTCGAGCTAACTTGTATAACCAGTGCTGCTATCATTCACTACAAGCCCGTGCGAGGCAACTGCTCTGTGATCGATCCGGACAGAATTTACCTCTGCGATTCTGGTGCTCAGTTCCGTGACGGTACAACCGATGTCACCCGTACCTTGCACTTTGGAAAGCCCACTGATGCCGAAAGAGAGGCATATACACTTGTTCTGAAAGGAAACATAGCGCTTGATATGGCTGTCTTCCCCAAAGGAACGACAGGATACGCCCTGGACTCTCTGGCCCGTCAGTATCTCTGGGTGAGTCACAATGCTGCCTGAGCCCATTACCTGGCTTCTTCGCTGACACTGGCAGCAATACGGGCTCGATTACCGCCACGGAACTGGTCACGGCGTGGGCTCCTACCTCAATGTACACGAAGGTCCCATCGGCGTTGGGACCAGAGCGCAACACGCCGAGGTGGCGCTGTCTGCTGGCAATGTCATTTCGAATGAGCCGGGCTACTACGTCGAAAACGAGTTTGGCATCCGCATCGAGAACATCATCATGGTCAAGGAAACCAATACCAAGCACTGCTTTGGAGACAAGCCGTTCCTTGGATTTGAACACGTCACCATGGTGCCATACTGCCAAAATCTGATTGACTCGAGTCTGCTGACTGAAGGTGAGATCAAATGGATCAACACATACAACGCTGAGATCATGGACAAGACCAAGGGGTTTTTCACAAATGACCCCCTCACAATGGCATGGTTGACTCGGGAAACCCAGCCAATCTGACGGATGGCTCTCAAGAACACTTGCTTACATTTGCTACTAAAGTCGAACAAACGCAGCTAGAGTGAAAGTCACAATGAAAGAGCCGGCAAAGTACGGGCTCTCCTGAATCCGTTGCATCCACACTGGTTGCGAGGCCAGTTTCTTTATCCCAAACGTCTGAGTGAGGTTCACACCGTAGCGTGATGCGACCTAGCAATCGTAAGTCAAACGATGTACAATTGTAGAGACGGAGAATGGTTGGGAAATACGTAGACCACAAGCGCAAGAGTACTTCCAAGAAACACCAGAGTGCGGGAGAACAGTGCGACTAGCGCACCTGTGCAGAGACCTGAGGAGGTGAGTTACAACGTTGGACCTCGAGATTGACCCGAAAGCCGTTCAGACTGACCGGCGAGGCTACCGCTGGAGCACTGCTGGAGCACCTTGGATGACATAGGCGGGTTACTGTCGATCGTAGGCACTGGCGACCGGCGCGTTGTCGCATCAAGGCGCGCAGGCGTTGCGCCGGGTCTCGTATGCCATGCAGCACCAATACAAATGCCAGGACCAAAACCAGTTGCGAACAGCCGCGTGGCGCGACGAAATGTGGTTGAACGACTCATATTATAAGAAGTAAAAGGGTCGTCTAACTTTGCTCAAAGAGTCAAAGGTCGTGGTCGGACGCTGGCTCCAAGAGTCCTGGAGTGGGTGACGCGGGCCAGGTTGAGCACTAGTAAGGTAATTACGTCAAGACCTGGCTCATTCCATAAGGTAACGCAGAATGACGCTACAACAGGTGCTCCGTAGTACTAGGCACATACATACATACATACTACTAAGTAGTGAGCAACACAGTACAGAGTAATCAAGTGCTAGAATATCGTTCAACAATCCAGCTCGAGCGAATTATCGTGGAATTTTGCAATAAGAAGCAAAAATGCTCCGACTTGATTTTAATTGCAACGGCGCAGCAGGCGAACCAGGACACTTAACAAAAGCCTGAGCCAACCTACTAGCCAGCCAAGCCGCTATTCAAAGCGAATAGGTGAGCCACAATGGTATCATCACACTTAACGCCGAAACTTCCAAATGCACCATCGCTTCCCGATGCGAACTCTCTTCCCCGAGACATGGTCGGTCCCTGGCTTCCCCGTCCGCTCAGATTTCAGCCTAAACCTCCTTGTATCCCCCGAATCCTCCGTGCCAATATGATGTCTTTCCTCATCAGCGTAACGCGCTTCGCATGGATGGCACAGAGGTTTGCATCTTCGAATAGATACACCAGATATGCTTCTGCGGCTTCCTGCAGCGCCTGCAGTGCATGGCTTTGCCAACGGAATTCAGCGCCCTGTGGTCTGCAAGTCTGGCCTATCTCTCGGCACTATGCAATCGGTCAGCATTGAACCTTCGACGAAGCGAGCGCAGAGACATACCACTCGAGCAAATGGCAATTTGGACACTAAAAGTTTCGTGTTCGACTGATATTTTCTGATTTCGCGGAGAGCCACTGTCCCTGGCTTATACCGGCGTTTCGCTTTTGGAGGTGAACGATAAATTGGATCGCCAACTGCAGAGTAAAATCAGCTTCAAGATCATGACGAATGCTTGTGCAAGGCAGGGTATATACGTTGCGTTTCTTCAGGCCTAGGCTTGAATTTTTTTGGCAGTTTTGAGGCATAGTCTGCTTCTGAAGGGCGCCATTGTTTGCTGCCGCGCTGGTCCTGCGCCTGGCTTGTGCGGGCTGCCTTTGCTGGGCGCTTGCCGGCTGTGGATGGGCCAGCCATTGTAGTATTCCCAAGAATTCAGGGCGAGGAGGTGCTGAATGAAAGTCAAGCTGTGCAGGAATCGGAAAAAGATCGTGTGTGTTTCCGGGAACAGGACTGGCAAGAAGCAATTGCTCAAGGCGATGTGGTTGTGATATGTACGAGGTCGCGGGCGTAACGCGGAAGGCGTCGCGACGCGTTGGTAACCCAGCCACGCGACTTTAATTGAATCTGGTGGGTTCCTGTGAGAGGACTCGCGCCACCTTTCGTGTCTTGGCGGCGGCGGATCAGCCACCTGCACCCACGAACTCCAGTCGACGTCCATCAATCAAGGGAGCAATCCGAGCAACAAGTCTACAGAGTGGCTGGGGGCGGATCATCATTTTATTGTTTTGTTGGACCAAACTCGATGCTTCATTAGAACATCTGTACTCCGTCTGTACGGAGTAGAGCATGCTCTATAGAGTCTAACGTCCCCACGCTGCCGGACGCAGCTGGCTCGGGCATGGGTAACACGGTCAGTCGGTCACGACCGTGACCGTGATGACACTCTACTGGTGGGGCACTGGCGGGATTGCCACGTTCGCATCTTCTACTAGTCTACGTAGGTCATCAAGAAACTTACACAATCGTCCTCACCTCCATCAACCCGACACTGCGTACTCTCAAGAAATTTTGCGCATACATTTAGTATCTCGTAAATTCATCTTCCGCTGCGCAATCCGCCTCCGGTCACCAACACCGATGGCGGCGTGAACCGTCATTTCGGATCCCAGAGGTCTTTGTTCTGTAAGGAATATACACACCAAGCCTCACATCATCCGGGTGGACCAATGGACCAAATGATGGATGGTGGGCGCCTGCCCCTCGAAACCTGGTTCTGGGAGATGCCCATTTGTACCCGCTGGTGGACGGCTGCGACCATCATGACGAGCGCTCTTGTTCAGTGTCATATGGTCACCCCGTTTCAATTGTTCTTCAGCTTTCGCGCCGTTTTTGGCAAGTCACAGGTGAGCGCAAGTTTCTTGGATGGGTGGATGATCGCGGACGTAATAAGCTGACGAAGCCGGCAGTACTGGCGACTATTGACGACATTTCTCTATTTCGGACCGTTTTCACTCGACTTGCTCTTCCATGTGTACTTCCTGCAACGATATGCCCGGCTTCTCGAAGAATCTTCTGGTCGATCGCCTGCTCACTTTTCCTGGCTGCTCATGTACGCGATGGCGAGCCTCATTGCGCTATCGCCTCTCGTCTCCATGCCTTTCTTGGGTCAGCCCTTATCTTCCACGCTCGTCTACATCTGGTCGCGACGCAACCCCGACACACGTTTAAGCTTCTTAGGCTTGTTAGTGTTCACCGCGCCGTATCTGCCTTGGGTCCTGATGGGCTTCAGCCTTGTCATGCATGGTAGCGTTCCCAGGGACGAGATCATGGGCGTTATAATAGGACATGTCTGGTATTTTTTCAACGACGTGTATCCGCCACTACACAACGAATCTCGACCATTCGACCCTCCGAGATGGTGGAGACGCATTTTTGAAGGTCGCGCAGCGGGCAACGAAGGCAATAACAACGGCAACGACCTCATAGTAGCCGAGCCCAGGGATATGGCTGTACCCGATGTGGCGCCACAAGACGGGTGATGCTTTCTTATGACGTTGTGGGTTCATCAAGTCCAATTCTACGACTGAGCCATCGTCAAATTGGAGCAGAAGAATGTGAGTATGGCTGAAATTTCTAAATAGGGGCATAAATAAGATGAACGACTGGAAATAGGATCTCTCACTCCAATGCAATGTAAGGTACGTTGTGACCACAAGTTTAAGGGCGACCGCCTGGTGGGGAGAGGATGTTGCCTTACTTCCACACTCTTCGTTCTCGCCCTAAGCACCCAATGATGGCCTCATATTAGCAGGAACTTCATGAGCGGCGGCGCTCTGAAACCAACAGCCTGCTGTTGAATACGCAGCACCGCGCGACAGCATTCATGCTAACATCATGACGGTCTGTACAAAGTGAGTCGTTGAGACAGCATGGGGAGAATATTGTTTGTTCCTTGTCCTTTCCATTGAGGCTGCATATCGAAATTCCAAGCTAGCGAGTTCATCGCGTACCGAGTGTCAACTCTCGAGCAAGCGTCTGTGATAACAAGCAACCCCATCACCGTGTACTTCTGTATCTCTCCGGCTGTGGCCCTGTGGCGTGATAGCGGCCGGGGTAGACTCGAGTTCTATCAACGCTGGTAATACTTACTTCGACACCTGCTCTTCTACCCTCACTATTTGATGAAAGCAAAAAGGGCATTCATTGGCTGGCAGCTCTGATTAAAAGTTAGTCCCTGCTCCTTGTACCTACCAAAAGATGATGCAGCGAACCGATTCGCATTGCAGTCACTTATGAGGGGGCCCACAGGGCGGTTGACGGACGGTCCACGGATGATCAATGAGTCAAACGTCAGCATGCAGTGCGCACAATCTTCCCCACTCTCACAACCTCGGGCTCAAGTTATTCAACTCTAGCCACATTGTCCGTACGTCTGAACATTTCTCGTCATTATATTCCGGCCTCTTGCGACCATGAAAGCATACATGTATGATGGCCTCCCGGTGAGTACATGGTGCTTTCCGTTACTCGACGGCACCCACTGATTGCGGTGTCATGACGTAGGGTGATCAACGCCTCCCTCACGATTCTGGACGCGAGGTTGGCATCGATGCTCTGGCCAAATTGGGCGTTCTATATTACCATCTACCCGAGATAGACGGAGTGAACCAGCTTGCTGCGGAAAGAGGATACAAGAACCGCGACGAGATTCGCGTCTCGCCGGAGGCGATGGGAGATGTGTATGAGGACAAGGTCAAGATGTTCTTTCATGAGCATCTTCATGAAGATGAGGAAATTCGTTACATCCGTGGCGGACAGGGCTATTTTGACGTCAGGAGCAAAGACGACGAGTGGGTTCGTGTGCTCCTCGCGAAGAATGATTTGCTCATCTTGCCACCGGGCATTTATCATCGCTTTACCACGGACGAGTCCAATGTGAGTACTAATGACCTTTGACTTTTTGGTCGGGTACAAGTCTAACATTCGGTTTAGTATGTACACGCCATGCGCCTGTTCAAAGACGAGCCCAAATGGACACCTCTCAACAGAAGTTCCGACTTGGACGTCAACACTCATCGTCAGCAATACGTTCAAGAGTACCTTCAATGAAATAGTCAAAGCCACAATCTGGCGTCTCTGTCTCTTATAATCGTAGCTCTAATGACGTGCAGACTGACGACGATATTTGCATCCTCTCACTGTTCGATGCCAGAACATCAGCCGCCTCAAATTGCGGGCTCCGCGAGAGGCTGAGTCGGCTGGCAGCACCGTTGATACCAGTCCTTGCAAACGTCAATGAATGAACACGTCACATCTCCGCCACTTGTAGGTAGTTTGTAGCAATCTCAGTAAATGTTGAACTAGGACCCAATCGAGGCTCAAAAGTTAAGAGTTCCGCAGGTGACCGCTGGGACCTTGGGATTGGATTAGGTGCGGGACCGGAATTGAGCCGATGTAAGGTGTATCCTCACCTATCATCATGATGAGTTGCGACTTGCGAGTCCTGAAAAGCAATCTGCCACGTTGTTACATATGCACAATTCATGATCAGGGACTCAGGCGCCGTGTTGCCAGTCATCCCGTAGCTCCAGTCGATTGACGCATGCGTAATTACAGCTCAAGCCGCCGAGATGAGCGTCAACCCCTCTCTTCCTCAACGACCGTCATCGTCCGACCATCAGGAAGCAGGCGAAAAATCAAGGCTTGAGCTACCGGCCAGCTGTGACCCTCCCCCAAGCGGTACACCGAGCCATCAATTAGTATGGATCGTATGTTCCCCCAGATGTGTCAGTGAAGGGCTCAGGCGCTAAAGCCTTCGCTAGGTCTTCGGCGGCACCGGGCACATGGGCCGTTCCCTAGTGAAATGCGCACTCTCGCGGGGAGATTTTGTCGTCTCTGTTGGGCGCGTTTTTGAAGATGACCTCCACGATACTCCTGGTCGCAGCGAGAACCTGCTTCGTGCTGTCTGCGACGTCAGGTCACGCGAGTCAGTTCTGCGCCCTGTACAACGCGCCCTGGACCATTTCGGACGCATCGACGTCGTCGCCAACTGTTCAGGCTATGGCGTGATCGGAGCCTGCGAGGACCAGGACGAGCATGATCTCAGAAACCAGTTCGAGACTAACTTCATGGGTACGGTCCATATAATCCACGCGACACTCCCTTACTTCCGTCGACAGAACGGCGGTCGATACCTGATCTTCAGTTCCACATCTGGAGCTTTGGGGGTTCCCGGTCTTGGACCGTACTGCGCTACAAAGTACGCAGTTGAAGGTCTCATTGAAGCTATGCTTTACGAGACGGATGCATTTAATATCAAGGCCACGCTTATTGAGCCTGGGCTCGTCAGGCGTGATGAGCCAGTTACGGGCGATGATCCTTTACCTACATGGGGACATTTCCTCGTCAAACCCCCCAGCGAGAGCTACGCGCACGCAACATCACCCGCTTTGCATGCGAAGAGGATGGTCCAATGGTTGGGTGACCGTCAACCAACCAGCGCTGTCAAGTGCGCTGAACTCGTCTGGCAGTTGGCACATTGCTCGTACCCACCATTGAGACTTCTTCTTGGTAGCTATGCTATAGAGAGTATACGTGACCGCATGAGATCAGTCACAGAAGAATTGGAAGATTGGAAGCACCTGAATTTCCCGACTACAGCTGATGGTGAGCTAGCGATGCAGGATGATCCAGCCATTGGGGACGAATCTTAGCAAATTGCAACCTACTTTTCGAGGTGTAGAGATTGTCTCTTGATATTTCAAGCAAGTATTGATATCGACATTGTTAAGAGTGGTCAAAGAGGCTACGGTAATACCTACCTCATTACCTCGACGGCGCCATAAAATGACTAAGCGCCCCTGACACATTCCAATGCGTCCTCTCGGCCAACATACCTACTCGCTGATGCGTCAAACGTACCTACAGATTCTTTTCCATTCATGAGCGTCAGTTGCACGCGACACCAAACCTGCCCATTCCCATGCGCTCGCCGCGCTTCACTCGTTAATTCACCAAAGCGACTGGATTTCGAACATCTGCAACAATCTTTTCTAGAAACGCAGAGTAACCCGAGAAACGCGGATCCTGCGACTTCACTCAATTCGAAACCTACAACTGACCGATTGACCATCGTCGACGGGAATACAGTCCGACAACTCCGCAAGGGGCTCACAAATCACGATGACGGACAAAAAGAACGAAGACTATGTCGTGCGCATGTCTGACAATGCTTACAAGACGGGAGACCGTTCTCCATTCGGGTCCATGTCGCCCTCCGGCAAGCCCTACGGTAACGGATCCGGCGGCTCTACGCTGTCTTCCTCCGTTAGCAAGCTTGACAATAGTCCAATGATCTCTATTCTAGCTTACTGCGCCTCGTCGATTAGCATGACTGTTGTCAACAAATATGTGGTTTCGGGGCAGCATTGGAACGTCAACTTTCTGTACTTGGCCATCCAGGTAGGTTGATTCAATGTCCCTTGTGCCTACCGAGAAGTTGCTAACTGGAGCGGGCAGGCCATGGTTGGCACAGGGGCTATCACTGCCTGCAAGCAATTCGGTCTGATCAAAGCTCTTGCGCCCTTTGAGTCGGAGCGGGCCAAGAAGTGTACGTACCGATTCTAGCACATATCTTGTCGCGAGACTGACTCCACGCAGGGTTCCCCATCTCGGTCCTCCTGGTTAGCATGATCTACACGGGCGCCAAGGCTTTGCAATACCTCTCCGTCCCAGTCTATACTATTTTCAAGAATTTGACCATCATCGTCATCGCTTACGGCGAGGTATTGTGGTTCGGTGGCAGCGTTACCCCGTTGTCGCTTGTCTCCTTTGGACTCATGGTCGTCAGCTCCGTCGTTGCTGCGTGGGCCGATATTCAGAGCGCCATTGCTGGCGACTTTGGCACCGCCTCTTCTTCGGACGCCGTGTCAACGCTGAACGCTGGCTACGCATGGATGGGCATGAACGTCTTCTGCAGCGCATCGTACCTTTTGAGTATGCGCAAGGTCATCAAAAAGATGAACTTCAAAGACTGGGATTGTAAGTCGTTTCCAAAGCGAGCATCTTCTCTCCTGCCTCGCTAATCACCCGCAGCTATGTACTACAACAATTTGTTGACGATTCCCGTCCTCTTGGTACTGGGTCTGCTGACTGAAGACTGGTCCTCCGCGAACTTGGCACGTAACTTTCCCCCAGAGCTTCGTGTACGCATGGGCGTAGGCATTGTCTACTCAGGATTGGCTGCGATCTTCATTTCGTATTGCTCCGCCTGGTGCATCCGCGTAACATCTTCAACCACATATTCAATGGTCGGCGCGCTCAACAAGTTGCCCATTGCAATCAGTGGACTTATTTTCTTTTCTGCGCCTGTTACGTTCGGCAGCGTGTCGGCCATTGCGATCGGCTTCGTCAGCGGCATCATCTATGCTCTGGCTCGCGTCAAACAGTCGTCCGCTGCGAAAGACTCGCTGCCGATGACGAGGATACCAATGAGCGCCAGCTCCCAGAGCAACAAAGATGCGATATCGTAAGATACTAGGAACTGGATGCTGAAATCATTGTCTGGCAGAGCGTCGTCGTCGGAGTTCAAGCCATGGGCGATGTCACATAGTCATATGATGGCCTGTCATCATCGTGTGATGGCTGCCATCCTCAGGCCAGATGGAGACGCAGAGGCCATGGGTCCGCCCACCCTTCATACGCCACATGCGATGCGCGGTCCAACTAATGCGTCTCAAAGTTTTCATCGCGTTCGCGTCAGGATTCGGAGCTATTTCATCTATCCGACCAAGACGCAGATACTTAGAAGGACTGACCACGGGTCACGACGCGCGGGCCTAGGTGGGGAACAAACCGTAATACTAGGTACTCAAGTATGAACTGGTATACCAAGGCAATGCACGTTTATTAGGGTCTGTCAAAAAAAATAACTGGTGACGAATCCGACGATTGAACAAGGAAGCACATGATGGTGGCCGTAATCTAGCCTACAAGTAACGTGCACCAATCGTGTGCGCTCTCGCGTGCATGGGGTCTTCTCGTTTGCGCTGTACCCCACATGCATTGCGCCGCCTCCAAAACGCTCAAACCCTTCGTAGCAGGCACTCTACGTACATCATCCATGACTGCCACCGCCCTGATCGCGTTCTGTACCTTACTTGGAATGGCCTAACGAAGTTCCCTCGCTCTCCTCGTGTCATATTGTGTTTCGATTCGCACAGCCGTCTGATCTCCTTCGAAAGTAATGCTCTACTCTCTGCATAGACGTAAGGACAACCATATCTTTACGAACATCGACCACCATGTGTGTTGAGATTGACGTCATGTGTAGCTTTCGAGGTCCTCGCAGAAACCATTGGAGCTTCATCCGACGAACGTAAGTCGTATTCACGGCTTTACTGTACGGTCAAGATCTGACCACGCCTTGAAGTCAAGCTCGTTTCGTCCTTCCTGTTGTCGTACCCCCTCGCCGGGCTTCTCAAACGGATACCTGATTCGAAGCCTCAACAAAAGAACATTTTCAGTATAGGGTACGAATTACCACCTTGACCGCCCATACAACAAAGGCGTAGCAAACGATTGAGCCGTCCTGACGTGACCGCAGAATATCGATATTCTATTTGGTAGGGTTGTTTGACTTGTGGAATGGCGCCTTGACCCTTCTTGTCAGCTCCGGTGGCGCGTACTGCATTGCAACATTTTTGCGCAACAGCACCTACATGCCATGGGTCGCCTTTGCTTTCCTAATGGGCCACATGTCCGTGAGCCACATTTGGCGCCAACTTCTCAACAACCCCACCGGTGTCGACATAACAGGCGCACAGATGGTCTTGGTGATGAAGCTGAGCGCCTTCTGCTGGAATGTCGCCGATGGCCAACTGCCCGAGGACCAGCTGTCCGACTTTCAAAAAGATCGCATGTTGAAAGAGGTCCCTTCTGTGGTGGACTTTACAGGCTACGTTCTCTTCTTCCCAGCATTGTTCGCTGGTCCGGCGTTTGACTATGCTGAGTATCGCCGCTGGATCGACACGACCATGTTCGACCTACCCGCGCAAGTTGACCCTGCGAAGAAGCCGCCCGTTCGAAAGAAGCGCAGGATCCCACGGAGCGGCACTCCAGCCACTCTGAAAGCTTTGACGGGCCTTCTGTGGATCGGTCTGTTCATGTGGCTCTCCGGTCCCTACAGCCACGAGCATCTTGTCGCGGATTCGTTCATGACATATGGCTTTGTTCGTCGCGTGTGGATGTTGTACATGACTGGCCTTGTGGCTCGTTTCAAGTACTACGGAGTCTGGTCCCTAACCGAGGGCGCCTGTATCCTGGCAGGTCTTGGCTACGCTGGTGTAGACCCCGTTACTGGCAAGGTAGCCTGGAACCGTCTTCAAAACATCGATCCATGGCAGGTGGAAACCGCGCAGAATGCCCGAGGATACCTGTCAGGGTGGAATATGAACACGAACAACTGGCTGCGAAACTATGTCTATTTGCGGGTAACACCGAGGGGTAAAAAGCCAGGCTTCCGAGCAAGCATGATCACCTTTGGTACCAGCGCACTGTGGCACGGCTTCTATCCCGGATATTACCTCACCTTCTTGCTTGCAAGTTTGATCCAGACAGCCGCCAAGCGTAAGTTGATGCCTTTCGTGGTTTGATTCAGACGCAATCGTACTGACATTGTACGCAAGACTTCCGGAGGCACGTCCGTCCCTTCTTCATGGATCCATTGACTGGGGGTCCCTCTTCCAAGAAATGGATCTATGATTCCGCGACTTACGTTGCAACGCAACTCACCTTTGCGTTTGCAGTCTGTCCCTTCTTGATCCTATCCATGTCGGAATCCCTGCGGGTGTGGGCGCGTGTTTACTTTTACGGGCTTCTGTGGACGGTAGCAGCGTTGATTTTCTTCGCTTCGCCGGGCAAGACGATGCTTCGGCGGCAGCTTGAGAAGCGGCACGGCAGAGCCAGTGCTAGAATGGTTAGGACTATCAGCACAGACAGTATGTCTGGCGGCCACCCCATCCTTGGCATCTCCAAAGACCCGGAGGGAGACATCACTGAGGCCCTCGAGGAGCTCAGGGCTGAGGTGGAGGCGCGGGAGAAGCAGGCCAAGAACAAGTCATCAGAAAAGAAGAAGGCCTAGGAGACACTGGGCAAAGGCACGCATCAAAGTCGAAACTGCCAAGTCCATACTCAACGGCCATGAGCGTCAACTCCGGACTCCGGACTGCGAATGCCTGGCTTGCTGGAACACTTCCGCAGTGTCTCACTAGGCACACAATAGGCTGTCATGACCCAATCCAACGGATCTACTCCGTAGACCGCAAAAGAAAGATGTAGTAATTAAAACGCCAAGATGCATGGGTTGTAATGTGCGCCCATCACAGGACATAATATCCTAACACGCTCTCCACTTGTTCTACTTTGACCAGAGCTCAAGTCTTGTGAGAGAACTAGAGAGCGCCGTCTGCTAAGAATTGTAAAAAGGTATCGCTAGGTGTCATGAAGTACGCTCGTAACCGATTCCCCCCGGGTCATTTCGAAATGTTCCCTGTAACTTCATTGTCGTAGGATATCATACACAAACATTAAGGTCGTAAAGAAATTCCAAACAGTATAATAGCGCCATGGTGACTCGCAGCACCACAGTCGGTTGTTCAACAGTGAGAACGCAGCTCTTCCAAGGAACACAAAGCCTTGACTAGTAGTGTTCATGCCAGCTGTTGTTGGGTTCCCAGGACGATCAGAGCGATAGCCGCAGCAATGAGAAGAATACCAACAACAGACATGCCCCTATTAAGGGTCCGCCACCATCGAGAATTGTGGTAAAGTGTCTCCTGGGCTAGGTAGGACTTCTGAGCTGGCTCGCCGGCCACGTTGAGATCGTTTGTGTTGCTATGCTCCGTCATTTCGCCAGGAGCTTTTGATGGCAGGGGCAGGCAGGCGGCGATCATCCAGGCTTCTCGGAGTTAGCGCATCTCTTCTTGGTGAGTACAGAGGGTGATCTCACCAAATGGTATAGCAAAGCCAACAACGAAAAATATTTGCTGTCGGTTCCTCTTGAAGACGGCGCCATTCTCCCCAGACCTGGCCACTGGTGGAGGGGTCCACATGCTGAGGTGGCTGGCTCTACGGTCCCGATCAAGATGAGGCGACCAGACACTTGAAGTTTGTTTCTTGACCATCCGGGCTATCGTCTTCATTCGGCTCGAGGGTGCTCTTGAGGGAGCACTAGAAGGTTGCCTCGAACACGAGTTGGCTGAAGCAATGTTGGGGGTTGAAGGGTGCGTCTCGCTATTTGCCTCCGACATACGCTCGTGCTGCCACCGCCGAGGGGTACCAAGAACAGGTGCAAGTCGCTCAGTCCTGGGTGAATTGCGCAGGAAGCCGGTATACGGAGGATCATTGTACAAGGATCCATTATAAAGAGACCGAATAGAGTCTGAAGAGGCTTGCGCCACAAGAAACCGCTGGTCACCGCCGCCGTAGTACAAACGGACCCAAGACGGCAATGAGAACGGGTTGAGACTGCGGGTGCTGCCCGATGAACGTAGGCCTCTATCAGCCGGATTGTGGGCAAAGCCACCGGCTAGCCGGGTTCGAGAGGATCGATGGTGCAGAGTATGCAAGTCAGCGAGGCCATCGCCATCCTCGTCGAGGTTGCGAATCAGTCTGTTGTTTGCTGTGTGCTCTTTGTTCATGGGATGTTCGCCATGCGCCGGCGGGGACCAAGGGGAACATGCATAAGAGGCTGCGGCGGCCGCTTGTTCGTCCAGACCGCCGAAAGAGGATCCCATGCTTAAAAGGTCACGACTGTTAGTACTGCTTCGGCGATTTGGGAAGGACCACATGGAGAGTGAGCGTGAGGGTGGTAGACTGTCTCCCTCGCTTTCCGACATGACTGTCGATAAGGCCGCACTCCATTGGTAAGTTCTGGGCAGCGTGCCGGCGGAGGATACGCTTTCGCGCCGGTTGGAAGAAAATTGGCTGGTCGGGTCCGCGAGAGAGTGCATTGGCGAGGTCCCCGCAAACAATGCGAGGGTGGCTTCTTGAGTCATGGCGGCACCCAAGAAAGTAAGAGAGCCTCGGCGAAGTGACTCGCGAGATCGAGACGCGAGGGCGCTTGCGCGGTCGGAAGATCTTGTTTTGACAGGTCGCAAAGGCGCCACGACGAGGCTCTCACGAGAGTACTCTGACCTTGGGCCCCGGTTTGTAGCCGGCCTCGAGCCAGAGGACGACGGCGGCCCGAGGACAACATAGTTGACATTGCTCTCGCCTGTATTCGGACGAACGATGTCGGAGAGAGAGTAGTTTTCCGAAGACGACTCGCCGAGGATGTTGTAATTGTGTGAATGGCTTGACGTAGGGGCAAGGCTGCGTTCGTACTCTCCCGTCAGGGCTCGTGCTACCGGTCGCACAGGAGAGCTCTCGCCATAGATCTTGAAGTTTGTTCTCTCGGATAATGTCGAGTTGGAGGCTGTAGTTTGAAAGGAGTTCTTGTTAGACAGCTGAGCGCCGGTCGCACCATATTCAGAAGAGGAGCAGTCCGGCAAGGGCGGGGAGTAATCCAGGGCGTCGGGTGTTTGAGCCAGCTGCCCCTCCCCATCATCTGGCAACTGCTCCAGCTTTCGAACGCCGCTTCTCATCCGCGGCGTCCAAGGGGTTTGCAGCGTCAGGGGCGAACTGGAGCGGTCCTTAACTCGGAAGATGTTTGATGAGACGCGACCCCAAGAGCTCTCGGGTGTGGTGCAGGAGAACTGAGGTGAGCTGAAACCAGCTCCCGAAGACGACGGGGATTGCGACTGCGGAAGCAGTGAGAAGGTTTTGGTATCGGAATTGACGCTGATGACTCTTTTGCGACGGCGAGAGGATGTGGACGACGGCCTTGGTGACGAGGTGCGACTCGACATGCTCAAATTGTCTGGGTCGAACGTCAAATTCGATGGGGAGCGTGTCGGGCCTGAAACACCACACCTTGACCAGGACTCCTGGTCAATGTCCTGGGTTGGGCCCGGGGCTAGGCTGGACGCATTTTTGGGGCCGGACTGGGTCTGCATCGGCGAGATGGGCAAGGCGTTTTCTTCCCCGGCGTAAGATCTGGAAGTCTCCCGCGAGCTTGTTTGCACGGATCCATGAGAGGAAATTCGGGGGGGACTGTACGGAATCATGCGTATCTGGAGCTGTTCGTTTCCTTGTTGCGAAGCCCATTGCGCACTCAGGTCAGCAGTCTGAGGCACGGACATGATTTTATCGGATTACAATGGCTCGATTTTCATGACAGTAGCATGGGAGCTACACTCCTGAAGTTCTTGCGTTCGTTTTGACGACTGTCTTTCACTTCTATCCCGTCGTCGAGTCGCCAATATTGGACACAATGAGGAGAGATCGCTTGAATCGTTACACAGGAGTTTGCACAGTGGTACTTCGTATTGTCGTAGCGCTTCGTATCGTCGTGGGATAGTTTATCTGTTGAGGCGTTGGAGCATTGGCGCGCGTGGTGGCATTAATTACATAGGACAGGATGGGAAATGATGGTAATAAAGAGGGAATCATGCAGGATTCAAAGAGTGACAAGAAGAGAAGCGAGGGTAATACACGCCCGCACCCGTGGCGAAGAAGAGCAAGAACAGCTTAACGAATGTGGTTTGAAGGAGTGACTGTGCAGAAGCGCTGGATGGTGGTTGAGAAAGGTCGAGACGAAGGTGGCCAGCCAGTTTGACGAGTGGGCGGTATTACCCCGTTATTAGTGGTGGTGGCGGGGATGGGTCGCCGCGATGCGGGCTGGCCCGCACCATTCGAGATGGCCGACTATTAATTATTAGATGATTCACTGTTAATTTCGCTCCGTAGTCTCGATGCAACTACCTTACCGTACCACAGTAAGTACTGGCAACTGCCTCCTGAACACAGCGAAAGCATCGATCCTGAGTCGGTGGCCGAAACATAAATCGGGGCCACGAGCCACATGGCCGCCATGCCAGCCAACCAGCCGCTGGTGCTCAACGCTCCCCCGGCCGAGCCGCGAGACCATAATGGCATCGAGCTGCATTTTTTATTAAACATGAGAGGGACTCTTACCGCCTCTTCCCTCTTTGCCATTCTGGTCCGGTCAGTGGGCGATTGCGCATAGTCAACGACTGGGCACATGCCATGACCCGTGATCAAGCAACGACCTCAATCTTTGTCGTCTCTGTCTGTAACGTTGATCTGATTACTAGTGAGAGCCTCGAGCAGCTTATGATGCTGGTGAGTGGTAACTTTTGTTGGACCCAAGTACGGAGTACGGAGTACGTACTGGGCTATTAGACACTGATCTTTAAAGACTCAAGTCAACGTGCATGGCGGTGGCTGTACCTGATTTCCTGGTGCATTAGCAGGGCTTCCCCTGCAGAAGCGCGCGCGCAACCTGGCCGGGGGCCCGGCCCTGTGGTCAGACAACGAAGTTACGAGATAAATACTTGCACTTACCTGCGACCATGCCTCCGTTTCCCGTCCCCACTCGAGCCCAGGTACCATATGAGGCACCCCCGTGGAAGTTGGGAGAAGTTATAACAGACACCCCTTGCACACCGCCTGGCAGCCCGGACAGGGCGCATTTAGTCTCTTGTCCTCTCGCCCACCTTGCACACTTCGCCTAACATTATTTCGTGCTGGCGCTACGGCTGACGCCTGTACACAAGTACTGTACTCATCAGACCAATGACGCGTCGCGGTCGGACGCGTCAGACACGCGTCGCACCGTTTAGTACGTTCGGATTCAGGTACTTGTAATTAGTGTGTCGGTGCGTCTCGGAACGCAACGAGACTTTTGTCCTTGCTCTTCTCCGGATGAGGCTCCTGATTGTGTGTGAGGCGAGATGCGTGGGGAGCAAGAAGGCCACACTAATACAACAACACCGGCGTCTTGTGGTTTCGGCACAGCGTCGCTGGCACTGGATCGCTGCGTTGACCACAACATAGTCTGGAACCTCACGACTGATAAATATGCCGTCGAGTTATATCAAGAGCCTTGCCCTTGAAGCGATCGTTGTCCGCACCAAGCGATGGGCAGGCGCAAGATGGCTCGTGCATCGGATCACTGACAATAGTAAGGTTACCACCAACCACCCCTACGGAGTGCCCAAAAGCCACAGATATTCTCTGAATACCTGTACTTCTGTTCGTATGGGAAGAGACCAACAATACCAAGCAGGATCGCCGGAGAATCGAATAGCTACTACGTACCTAGCTACCTACCTTGGGCAGAACCGCGAGTGACCTTACTGTCTTGTCTGCCCCTCCCATCCCCCACTCCTCCATTCCGCCCTCTACGCAAGTCTGAAATGTTGCTATTTGCAAGCTTCACCTCCATCTTCTTACTCAGTTGATACCACGACTCGGCCGTCGACCATGCGGGCAGAAACGACATCACACGAGCCGACACTCTCCAAAGTGCAGGCATGCAGTCTTTTGGTCAGTCGTTTCGTGTCACTTGATTCTTCCTTCATCGACTCACAGGATTAAAGTTGGCATATTGTCTCATTTACGTTCTGCCTCTACACATATACCGCCCAGCTCGAGCGTCACCTGAACGCTCCCGAGATGACCCCATTGCTATACGCGCCCGCATACGCGCTGTCAGCGTCTCCACGGCAGCGTGCTCATGCGTCACCTTCGTCCTGTTGTCGACGTATGCCGCGCCCTGGCGCCTGATGGGCTATTGGCCTTGCGGTCTGCAGGAAACAGTTCAAATTCTCTGCCTCACTGCCACTCTTTTCGCGGCTCCTTTGTATGAGTATATCATTATCGACGGCGCCTGGTCGGAATGGTTGCATCTGCGACCACTGCGGCTCCTGCAGCACGACTGGCCAACTTGGAGAAATCTTGTCGCGGTAGGAAATGTAGTGAATCACGTAGACCTGCGAGTCGCTGACCTGCACTCTTTCTGTATAGGGTCCTATCACTGAAGAGTGCCTCTTCCGCTCCGCGTCTGTACCACTTCTTTTAGCGGCTGGGTACAGTATCTCGGCCACCATTTTTCTGTCGCCTCTAGTCTTCGGCCTGGCTCACATCCATCACTTCTACGAATTTCGCAAGACGAACCCAGGGGTGCATGTTGGCGCTGCAGTGGCACGCTCGGTCTTGCAATTCTCATACACCTATCTCTTCGGCGTCTATGCTACCTTCATCTTCTTGCGTACAGGCTCGACGCTCGCGGCAATCGCTGCTCACGCCTTTTGCAACAGTATGGGTCTTCCTCGAGTATGGGGGTCAGTAGAGCCGTACTGGCTCCTGGAGGGCGCGCCGGCGCATCTGCAAGGCGAAGAACAGAAGCTGTGGACCGTGGGTTACTATGTGCTCTTGTTTGGCGGTATGGCGGCTTTCTACTGTGCACTCTTCCCGCTCAGTGTGTCAGATTTGGCACTAGAAAGTTTCTGAATAGTGGGAAATCGTGCCGCGCGTGTACCTGCCTCGTTGCGCCTACTGGCGCAAATCCAGATTCAGTCCTGGCATAGACCCAGGCATAACCGATCCATCCTCATCTACTGGCCTCCGCCGCTGCCTGAGTGAGGTTTGTTCGCGCGTCTCTTGTTCCGCTGCAACCTCCTTCCGTGCTTCCTCGCGTAAATCTCTTCCTATTTCCTTGCCCTTGGAACGGCCAACCGAAGCGTTTGCCTCTGCCATAGCATCGTCTGGCCCTCTGGTATTCTTCTTGCGGGGCCACAGACTGGGCAAGGCGATCTCCTGGAACCGTGGCTCGACGGCTCTCTCATCAAACCACCGATGCAGACGAGCCTCGACGAGCTGCGCGATCTTGGGCACATCCTGTAGGCGGGACCGGCTACCCAGCAGACTTCGAATCGAAAAGTCAAGACGGTAGTCGTCAAGGAAGCTGAAGGTCATCATGGTGGGGGTCGACTGCGAAGGATTGCTTGGAATGAACGATATCGAAAGGGTGCCGCTGAAACGGACAATCGACACGGCGAGGGCTACTGGTAGCATAGCAGACAGCTTCTTCGGGTAGTTGAGAAGCAGCTTGGTCTCAACGGCAAGAGTCAGCATATCGCTCAGATCCACGTCCATACGAGCTTGCAGCCGTGTGCCGTCCCGAGCAGCGGTAGCGGGATCAAACCTCTTGCCGTTGGAGACCCCCAACCCGTCCTCATCTACCGGGATGATTCTGCAGTTGCTGAAGATGGGAAAGTCTTCCCCCAGACTCAGCTCCGTGACCCTGATCTCGTCCACAAAGTCAGGCCGCGAATTCCCGTTCAAAGCCTTGGTCAATGAGCTGAGGATTGCATCATCGTGTTGCGCGTCGCTCCGAAACTGGGCAAGGGTTTGCGCGATGAGCACGTTGAACCAGTCCAGGCTTTCTGGCTGATGGCTATCCACGTTGTAGTATGTCTTACTCAGAATGGAGCCGATGGTCAGAAACGGCGGATTTCGAAGCACCATTGACTTCTTCCTGCCCGGCGGTTGCCCCTGTCTGCTGTTCTGGGTGCGCAAGCTGAGGAGGGAGTGCTTGTGCGCCAGAGTCCTGGACCTGCGCTCTGTGGCACGAAGCGACGCGGTCACATCCGGAGAGGGTGCGTCCCCGAATATGAAAAACTTGATGAAGGCGGCGAGAATGAGCACAACCGACAGCTGTCCGAGGATGAGGCCCTGGGTGAAGGAGAGTCTAAAGGTCATAGTCAGTAACTGCACGGCACGGCGCTTGCACACACCACTTACGTCGGCTCACTACGCACAGGACATTCTTGGAACGACATGCTTGTCAGCCATCAACTGAATGTGCGATTTGGGCCTTCTGTTTCGCTACGGACGAGTGAGTCTTGAAAGTCAATGACACAAGGTTCGCCCAACTCCAGTTCCTCGTTTTCTGGAGCAGGTTCAAGACTAGCGGCTTCGTCGGCCTGGGACGATCTACGTACCCTGTTTCGTCGATGCCTTCCCCCGAGCATTCATAAACTCATTCCAGAATAGTGGCTTGGAATTGCGGTTTTGCTCTGAGATCTCCGAAATCAATCCCAACTTCAATCGTACCTTGGTTACCTGGTAGGTGTTGGAATCGACAAGGGCCAGCATCGCCCGAATATGTGGCAATGGAGGGGTTCGCAACTATCGAGGGCTAACCCACGTCACCCAATGCATTCAGTGGCTCAGACCGTCAGACGACCTAACAGTGACTATCAGAACCATCAACTACGACCTTCCGTTGCGATAGACAACCTCATTTGCGCAAAGTCGCTTATTGCTTCTGAGGCTTGAGCAACGTCAACTGTCGACAACCCCGCCGCCATTGATTTTCTCTACATATCTCCGGAGGTTGGCGGCCTTCGACGACCACCCAGCGGTATCAGGACACCCATCTCCTCGCACTGAAATCAACACCATAACCTGGTCTCCTCGGGTCGCAAAGGGGAACGCTCGCCCATCATGGACGTCGCGCAGGCTGTGGGCGGCTACATCACCAAGATCGTGACGCATGGTAGCGACACGTCGTCAACTAAAATGAAGACGTTGCTCCTAGATCGCGAAACGGTCTCAATAATCTCAACTGCTGTTACTCAGTCGTCTCTACTCAACCACGAGGTGTATTTGATTGACCGCTTGGACAATGCAGGTCGCGAGAAGATGCGTCATCTCCGCTGCCTCTGTCTCGTGCGCCCATCACCCCAGACAATACAGCTGCTCATTGATGAACTACGCGACCCCAAATACGGAGAATACTACCTCTATTTCACCAACGTGGTCAAAAAGTCGGCTCTCGAGCGTCTCGCTGAGGCTGACGACCATGAAGTCGTCAAGTCGGTCCAGGAGATATTTGCTGATTACACTGTCATCAACCCTGACCTGTTCTCCCTTGGTATCACATTGCCACAACATCGAATATGGTCGGCTAGTCCAGATACGTGGAACCCGGACACCCTTCAACGATGCGCAGAGGGTCTCATTGCCGTGCTTCTTTCACTCAAGAAGAAGCCGCTCCTGAGGTACCAGAAGAGCAGTCCCTTGGCCAAGAAACTGGCTTCAGAGGTCAAGTACCTCATGACGCAGGAGGAACAAATCTTCGACTTTCGTCGAGCTGACACGCCGCCTATTCTGCTAATACTGGATCGACGCGAGGACCCCGTGACGCCCTTGCTGACGCAGTGGACTTACCAGGCTATGGTCCATCACCTTCTGGGGATTCAGAATGGCCGGGTAGACTTGAGTGAGGTGCCAGACATCCGTCCCGAGCTCAAAGAAATTGTCCTGTCCCAGGACCAAGACCCGTTCTTCAAGAAGAATATGTATCTCAACTTTGGCGAGCTGGGGGGCAACATCAAAGAATACGTCGAGCAGTACCAGTCCAAAACCAAGAACAGCACAGACATCGAGTCTATCAACGATATGAAGCGCTTCATGGAGGAGTATCCTGAATTTCGCAAGCTGTCTGGCAACGTCAGCAAGCATGTTACCCTTGTGGGCGAGTTGAGCAGACGAGTTGGCGAGGAGGATTTGCTTGAGGTCAGCGAACTCGAGCAAAGTTTGGCTTGCAATGACAACCATAATGCCGACTTGAAGGTACGTGTTGATCCTATCTATGCACAGTGTCCTTGTCACTGACCAGGCTCCAGAACATTCAGCGCTTGATACAGACTGCGAGCGTCAGCGCTGAAAGTAAGGTCCGGCTGGTAGCATTATACGCTCTGCGACACAGCAAACACCCCTCCAACTCGGTCCCTATGCTCGTCGACCTCTTGACTGCTGCCGGGGGAGTCCCACCACGCCAAGCGAATCTCGTCAATCATCTCACAGCATACCATAGCTCGCTTCACTCCTCGCAATCGCAAGGGGGCATTTCAGACATTTTTGACTCGGCAGGGATCTTCTCGGGAGCATCGAATCGATTCAAAGGGCTCAAGGGCGTAGAGAACGTGTACACTCAACACACACCACTGCTGGAAACTACACTGCAGGACCTAGTCAAAGGCCGGCTGAAAGAGCAGCATTACCCTTTCGTGGAAGGCGGCGGCTCGACCAGGGACAAACCTCAGGATGTTGTGGTTTTCATTGTCGGGGGTGCCACCTACGAGGAAGCAAAAATGGTCGCAAGCATCAATGCTTCTACGCCAGGTGTCCGCGTGGTCCTTGGAGGTACGTCTGTCCATAATTCAGCGACATTCATGGAAGAAGTCGAAGACGCCGTCTCATCCTGGCCGGAGAGCAGGGTCAGGAGGTAATAGATCCCTGTACTATGTCATGAGCGAGGAAATGGGACATTGCTGGCGTTCGGGATCCTCTGACTAGAAGACACCACACTAATTCCTTTGAAGCTCACCGGGAGGCAAAGTACTGGTAATTAATTCCGTTGGTACCTTACTTTACCTTACCAGGTACCTAAGGTACCTGGTAGTGTGTCGGGTTAATTGCATATTTGTGATTGACGCCATCCCCGGAAACTAAAACTGAGTTAGTACCCTACTCAGTACGTTTTACCAAGGCGCATCACGCTACGTAGTACTACGATGGGCTGCGAATTCTTGCCTTAACATTTTTTTACATTCTGTCTAGTCCGCTCTCGAGTTTCGGCAAATTTCACGGGATCATGATTTGCGCAATCCGACGAGCACAACTGACGAGGCTTCGAATCACCCGGCAGGGCCAACAAATCGCTGGTCGACGTACCCTGGCCTCCCTCGCCGACGCCCAGGGACTTTTCGATGTTGTTGTAATCGGGGGCGGCCACGCCGGCGCAGAAGCATGTGCTGCGGCGGCGCGATCAGGGGCCCGGACAGCCCTTGTTACTCCCAGTCTAGAAAACTTGGGGACATGCTCGTGCAACCCAAGTCTAGGTGGCATCGGCAAAGGCACCATCATTCGGGAAATCGATGCGCTAGACGGCCTAGCGGGGAGAATCATTGACAACTCAGGCGTGCAGTTCCACGTTCTGAATCGGAGAAAGGGGCCGGCTGTATGGGGTCCGCGCGCGCAAATCGACCGCAGCCTGTACAAAAAGCATATGAGGGCCGAACTCGAAGCATATCCGAATCTTACGATCATCCTCGACAGCGCGTCCGACATCATTCTTTCCGAAGATCACGAGACCGACTCGAAAAGCAAGATTGCCGGGGTGAGGCTAGACTCGGGCAGCATCCTCTCAACGACAAGTGCCGTCATTACTACAGGCACTTTCCTTGGCGGGGAAATACACATTGGACTACAAGTCTACCCGTCGGGGAGGATGGGAGAGGCAGCGACCTTTGGTTTGAGCAAGTCTTTAAGGGATGCCGGATTTCAACTCGGTCGCCTCAAGACAGGGACACCACCGAGGATAGACAAAAGGACAGTCAACTGGGACATTCTGGAGACGCAGTACGGTGACGATCCGCCGACCCCTTTCAGCTACCTGAACAACACGGTTGCTGTGCGCGACCAGTTGACCTGCAGCTTGACGTACACGAACGAGGCCACGCACGATGTGGTACGCGCAAACCTCGACAAAACCATACATATTCGAGAGACTGTCAAGGGACCACGCTACTGTCCCTCATTAGAGGCAAAGGTCGTTCGATTTCCGGACAAGACCCGTCATCTCGTCTGGCTGGAGCCCGAAGGTTTCGATAATCCGGTCATCTATCCGAATGGGCTATCGATGACCATTCCAGAGGAAGGTCAAGAACAGGCATTGCGGACAATCAAAGGTCTGGAGAACGTCAAAATGCTACAAGCTGGGTATGGTGTTGAGTACGATTATGTTGATCCTCGGATGCTGAAATCAACTCTTGAGACCAAGGCTATTGGCGGCCTGTATTTGGCTGGGCAAATCAACGGCACGACTGGTTATGAGGAAGCAGCTGGTCAGGGCATTGTTGCGGGTATCAACGCTGGCCGTGCGGCTCGTGGACTTGCGGGAGTTTCGTTGTCAAGATCCGATGGTTACATCGGCATCATGATTGACGACTTGATAACGAAGGGTGTCACTGAGCCATATCGCATGTTCACGTCTCGTAGTGAATTCAGAATGGCTGCGCGCGCTGACAATGCCGACCTGCGTTTGACGGCAAAGGGGCGTGAGTGGGGCGTTGTATCTGATGAGCGATGGAGTGCGTTCAGCGAAGAGAAGAGCCAAATGGAGAGTCTAACGAATAGACTCGAGTCGATGTCTCTCAGCTGGAAAGAGTGGGCGGACTTTGGAATCGTTGCCAAGAGGGATACCAGTCGCCGAACAGGTCTCGACATCCTCAGAACATCTCAGGTCATTGGTCTCAGCAACATCGAGCGGCTCAAGGCGGCTTTTCCGGACATTGACCAATTCACCTCCCGTATCTTTGAGCGGGTCAACCTACACGCCATGTATGCGCCTTACATCAAGATGGCTGCTTCGAGCCAACAGAAAATGGCCAAGGACGAGCAGATGAGGCTGCCATTGGATCTTGACTACAACAAAATCCTAGGCCTCTCCATTGCTGAGCGTCAGGCGCTGTCCGCCACCCGACCGGAAACCATGGCGCAAGCTCGCCGCGTTGAAGGAGTCACGCCGTCAGGGTGTCTCCGGCTTCTTGGATACGTACGTCGTGGCAGTCAGCCTTCGGAAAGAATCCAGCTTCCGAGCTCGACCAGCCCACTCGATGCTCGTGTACAAGTATAGGTGTAACCCGCATTTATAGCATTCAATCGGCGTTTTGGGAACTGTCATTATAGGGCTCTCTAGAAATGAGCAACTTCGGCGACGGTTTAGGACATAGCTGACTCTTTATATACATATTACAGAAGTGACAACAGAGTTAGCTTCGATTCTTGGGCGGCGTTGAGGGCTTGTTCAAGATTTTCACAGCATCCTTACTGTAAACATAGCTTGCACCACTCCAAATTGTTGTGGCGGCCACAACGTACCTATCATCGTGATCAGTAGGCACAGCAAGCCTCAGGACTGGCGGGGCCACTTACTGCATGACGGTCATTGTTGGCCCAATGTCCCAGGTGATGAGAGGTGCAGCCGTCGTCAGACCAATCAGCCCGACCTGAAGGACTGTATTGTACTTGCTGATAGTCGTAGGACGGACTTCTGCGGAAGGTAGAGAAAAGTCCCAGTATCTGGTAAAAGTCTTTGGTGGAGGTAATGAAATCCACCGGTAGTATATCGCTGCAATCGCGAGGCCGACGTCTCTGCCCAGTATAATAGTAGCCAGCCACACTGCAAGGCAAGTCAGTCTCGTCCTCTGGCTGTTAATAAAGCGCAGTCTGATAACATACCAGGGAGTGCTCCTTTGACAGCAAGACACACAGTCAAGATGGTCATCAAAGCCTTGTCCGCCATGGGATCAATGATCGTGCCCACCACAGTCTTTCTGTTCCACTTGCGCGCAATCCAGCCATCGACCAGGTCTGTGATTCCAGCATACGCGAATAGTCCGGCAGCCCAAGCATGATGATCGTGCAGAACCAAGTAGCCCACGATAGGTGCGGCTACTAATCGAGTAAATGTAAGAGCGTTTGGGATCGTGTAGATGTCCTCGTGAAGAACGTCATCTTTCGAATCTTTTCGCGGGGTTGCGACTGTGGGCGGAGGCTTCTTAAAGATGCTTCGATTGCCGTCAGCATTTCGTTCCGAAAAGGTCAAGCAATAGAGTTCGTACCTGTCATCTTCTCGCTTCCTCTGCGGGAAACGAAGTGCAACGCAAGTTGCGAAAACGCATCTTGGCTGCGTTCGCGTCGAGGACCGTTGCAAGCCTATCGCGGGACGGTGAATGCGGCTCACGAGCCTAGCGGTAAGCAGCATGACGCTGGCATGAGCTAACGAGCATCCCAGAAGCCCAAACTCTTAGCCAAGGTCAATTGTGCTGCACTGGGCCAACTTCAAGTCGAGGTTGAAGTCAAGTCCGGCGCTTTAGTGTCATGCAAGCTTGGCTGTGCGAAGGTGCAGACCTGACACAGCCCTGTGCAATACTCAGGCCACACAGCCCGACAATATCTGCTTAATTGGCACCGCTTCTAGCAAGGACCGTGGTCAACCAAGACAGACCAGCGCTAGCGGCTTTGTCGATAACTTACGGTATACCGTATCGGTCGCAAAATTCGTTAAGAGCATACCTCACTGTTAAGGCCTCAATTGCCTGTCCACACTTATTGGAACCTCAAACATTGCCATTCATCGGTTTTATTAACCTTACATTATGCATGTGAAACTGCGGTGGCGGCAGCAGTCAATCATTCAAAGATATGGCCCTCTGAGAGCGGACAGTGTCGGCGCGGGACCACGGTGCTAGTACCTTGCCTTACCTAGCCAGTGGCAACGTCAACGGCCTGTTGCCTTAGTACTTGTACCTTGTTTTCCCAGCTGGAAGGAGTGGGCGTCGATAACCAAGAGAACAATCATTCTCTTTCAGTCCCATTCAATCGACCGTACTCAGTGCACGAAATAGTGCAGCACTCTCGTTATGGATGTCCATCTATTGGTATACGATCTCTCAGGTGGATTGGCGCGACAGATGTCGTTAGGCATCCTTGGTTTCCAGCTTGACGCTATATATCACACCTCGATCGAGTTGGGAGGCCGCGAGTATGTCTACGACGGTGGCATACTGGCTATAGCCCCAGGCTCGTCACATCTTGGTCAACCATTGGAGCGGTTGCTACTAGGCAAGACCAGTCTGACTTTCGATATCATCGATGAGTACCTTGACTCTGTACGGTCCATATTCACAGTTGAGGTTCGTCGTCTGCTCCTCATCTGGCTCTTCGCGCGTTAATGTGGCTAGGCCTACGATCTTTTCCGTCACAATTGCAACAACTTTACAGACTCCTTTGCTAATTTCCTGCTGGGCAAAGGCATTCCGAGTCATATAAGCAGCATGCCGCAAGCTGTTCTCGAGTCGCCCATGGGACGTATGCTTCTCGCGGCACTGACCCAAGGCGTCAACAATGGAAGGCAAAATGGCTCCATTATGGGGATTCAGCAACAACCTCATCCTAAGCCCCAAAATACTACGTCCACGGTCATCAGCGTGGCAGATTCATCGGAGCTCACACACATGTTGGAGAATGCCAGTGCTTCATGCGCAGTGATTTTCTTCACATCAAGAGCCTGTGCTCCTTGTGAAACACTTGACCCAACATACACCCAGCTGGCCCGGGACTTTGGGAGTCAGAGTGTATTTCTCAAGGTCGACATTGAAAGAATGCCTGACGTTGCCAGCCAGTTCTCCGTCAAAGCTACGCCAGCCTTCGTCACCTTTCTCAGGGGCCAAAGGCATGGTGATTGGACTGGCGGCAGTCCCGCGAATTTACAACAGAAGATTGAGCTCCTGTGTCAAATGGCAGCAACTGAGCATCCTCACCTACGGCTCAAGATTCCAAGTTTCTCCTCACTAGTCAGTGCCCCGATCACGTACGCCAAAATTCCGCCGCTGTCGAAATCTCTCACTAGGCTAGGGGATGGGATTGCTGCGCGTCAGGTGGTGAGAGACTTGATAAAGTACCTCGAAGTGCGAGAAAGCAAGGAAATTCAGGACGCCGTGCTACCGAGTCTACATGATCTCTCGATCTTTGTGCGAGGAGCGCTGGAAGAGGTGCCGGTTGATGCTCGGTTTGTCGTGGTTGATCTCCTACGATGTGCGGTCACCGATCCTAGGATCAGTGGATACTTCGCTGAAGAGAAATCCTACAAGTGCATTATGCGAATCCTGGCTTTGGTCGATGACGGGCCAGGGTACCCGTACGCTCTGCGGTTGGTTACCTTGCAGATGGCGTGCAACATGTTCACCTCGCCACTCTTCGCACGCGAGCTACTTGCGGGGGGTAACCTCTTGCGAGCCACGATCAAGCTCATCTTGACCAGTTTTCTCGATGAAAGCCATAATAGCTCAAGGGTTGCGGCCGCCTCCTTATTATTCAATGTCGTTGTGGAGGACAGGCGGTCAAAAAGGGAATCACCAACTTCAGGCCTCTCTGATTCAGATCAAGTGGAGTTAGCTGCTGCTCTCTTGGAAGCTATAGGACAGGAGCAAGGTTCTGCTGATGCGTTGAGGGGCATGCTCCTTGCTCTGGGGCATCTTTTCGTTGAAGCCGACCTAGACGGTGAACTAGCGGATCTCTTGCGAGTGCTGGATGCTCAGCACACAGTCCTCCAAAAGAAGGCCGTTTTCCCGAGAGAGCCTTTGGTAGACGATGTTGGCGGAGAGCTGCTGGGGAGGGGCTTGTCGAAGCCTTGACATGGTGGCCCCGATATGATTTTCTTGTAGACTTCGACAGCACATAAAACAGCCAGCATCCTTCATTTTTTTCGGTCTTGTGTGATGTCCGAGATCATCAAGGACACGAACTTGAAGGTGCCAATGATAATACACTTTGGGCCTAATGGCTTGGCTCATGAGTACATCTATGCCAATAAGGCAGCGGTTATATTTGCTATGTCTGTGTCTTCGAGTTCAGTAGTGCATTATGCAGGGTAGGTGGTGCGCTGAAGCCACGCAGCTAATTAGCAGCCAGGCTACGCCACCCTGTTGTAACAGGCGTGACGAGCACTCGGCTCAGCAAGGTGACTCTCGAGTCTGATCCCCTTACTCCGTGCTAGCTTCTAGTTCCCTTAGAGAGAATTACTTAAAATAAATTCCCTTCTTCAGAAGAAGAAATTAAGCTCAAGTCTTATAAATACTTTATACTCTCCGTACCCATCTTCTCTCCTTACCTAATCTACCTACCTTAATTACAGTGGGGTGGCGAGCCACTGACAGTATTGCGACGACCTGAGCTTCGCATGCCCAGACCTCATCATATATCCATTCAGTCGACCGCGCTACCATGGCGACTCCTCCCAAAAGTCGGTCCTTACTTGTTCTCGCCTCACCGCCCTCACCAGCAGAACGCTCAGCCATTCGCGCCGCCTTGCATGACTCCATCTCGGCGAGTCTCACACAGCTGACCCCGGGGAGCAGCCTCGTTGTGGCCATAGCCGCACCGTTCCTACCACCGGACTGGTCGAGACTACAGTCCCTGCTAGCAAAGCTGTACTCCTTGGTCGCCATTATACAGGCCGGCCATGACAATCCTGCAGACGTCAACGTACTCCTTGTGGATCACGCGCCTGGTCGTGAATACGCCCGTGATCGGTCCAGCCCGGACAATGACAGCTGCATTGTCGATCTTGGCGATTTGGCTTCCCTGCCAGTGAAATGGTCGAGGATATTCCACGCCAGCACCGAAGCGAGCATCGCGGCGCTTCAAACATTCCTCGGTGTTCATGAGCGGTCTCAAGTGATCCTTCAAGATCAGATCATAGCAGTACCTGGCGGTGTCAGCATGATGGAGGGGCAGAAACCAGCATTTGGATCAAGAAGATTCAGCAGAGTTATCATCGGCGGGACCTTTGATCATTTCCACCTGGGACACAAGTTGCTCCTCCAGGCGTCCACGCTCCTACTGTCTATCCCCTCCTCGGCCCAGTCACCCGCCATGTTCACCATCGGTATCACAGGCGACGCTCTGCTCAAGAATAAGCGCTACGCCTCGGAGATTGAGCCCTGGTCTGTTCGCGCCCAAGCAGTAACTGATTTTGTGGGGTCTTTACTTCTAGAGACACCGTCAGTCGTCTCCTCGTCAACGACCGAGCTCATCACTTCTCTAGTCGGCGGGAGGCTACACGTGCGGTGCACCGAGATCCTTGATGCGTATGGGCCTACAACACGAGAGCGAGACCTTGACGCGCTGGTGGTTTCTGGGGAAACGAGAAGTGGAGGCAAGGCCGTGAATGACAAACGGAGGGAGACTGGATGGCATGAGCTGGAGGTCTTTGAAATTGATGTCCTCCATGCCACTGAGCAGGAGGAGGGGTCGATCGACGACAACTATGCAGCAAAAATTAGCAGTACCGATTACAGAAGACGGCAGGCGGAAGCAAGGAGTCGAGAGAAACCGGTCTGATATGCTGTCTGGGGGCTAGAGGGATCGTGGCTTGAAAGAAGACGCCAGTGTTTGGAACAACGGTCGGAAGCGGTCTGCTAAGTTGAGACCCTCAGGTAGATTGCCACGGTCGATTCAGCCATTCACTGCCGAGCATTCTCAGGCGAAAATCCCAACTCAATGATATCCGCATTCTTGACCAAGTTGCAACTCGGCCGAAGGAGGTGATAGGAGACAGACAACAGAACGGGGACAGCACGCTCTCGCTATGACGGACCACTTTTGGTTGCAGGCAATAATTGTGAATCTATTATATTACAGTGAAGATTGGTTTGCTTTATAGGTCAGTCACCAATGCGTAAAATCTAAAATAAAGCTAAGTAGGTAAGGTATACGTACGTGTACAAGCAAGTAAGGTAGTATGTAAGTACCTTAGGTACGGATAATGCCAAGAAGTGTGGACCAGGCTGTAGGCGGCGTGGGGTACGTGCTAAACCCACCGGATACCAACTTGCAAGTCACCCAAACAACCAACGACTGCTCTCCTTCGCAACCCGCCGAGCAGATACGAGACTCGGACGTCAATATGTCTTTCGAAAGCGTCATGCCACCATACAACTCCTCCGATCCGACCGCTACATTCCTCAGCTCTTCGAGTCTCGATTTCCTCCTCATTGAGCTGGTCCCCCTTGCCTACCGCGTCACAACCGAACAGTACCCATCAGCAACAACGGCAAGTGGCGCGGCGGAAACTCGGTCGACCACAGCAAACACTGTTACAGTGACTTCACCGAGTCGCGCCAATGACGATGAGCCGACCGACGCTGTTCGCCATAAGCTCGAAACAACAGGGTACCGCGTAGGGCAAGGGCTTGTGGAAAGGTAAATGGGCGCAAGTGCTTTCGCAGACCTGCAAGCTAATTTGCCTACGCAGATTCTCCAAAGACAGGCCGCGCTTCAATGATACCTTGGATGTCATCAAGTTTCTATGTAAAGATCTCTGGTCTCTTGTTTTTGGGAAGAATATCGACAATCTGAAAACGAACCACCGGGTAGGCACCCTATTTGGCACGGCGCTTGCTACGAGCTGACAAGCCTACGCAGGGCGTATACGTCTTGACGGACAGCGTCTTTCGACCCTTCTCTCGCATGAGTACAGAAGCCGGAGGCCAGGCCATAGTGCGGGCCCAGCCAGTAAGCCTACATGTCGCAAACCTGTACATACCACGCATTGCTGATAAGTCCAGTATCTCTGGTTCCCGTGTGGTATTGTCAAAGGCGCACTTGCTGCCCTGGGCATCGACGCTACTGTCCAAGCTGAAGTCCATGAACTACCGGGTGCTATCTTTCAAATCAAAACGGACCAGTCCAAGCCATAAGATGCTACAAAACGTTCCCGAACAGTGATTCAATTCGCCGAGCATGACGCGGATCATGCTCCTATACGTATTCCGTAAACCCTTGGTCGGCTGGTTCTTCAAATGGGCCGGTCGCGCACCCAGGATCGCCTCGGATAACGGCGACTGGTGGGCATGTTGGTCGATGCTTTACAGTCTGTCGCAAACACAATCATCAGCCCCGTGCTTCTTCCAAATTTATTATTGCTAGAACCACATCTATAGGTCTGCACAATTTCTTGACGGCAACCGGACGCTCACCAACATTGGCCGAAAGGGGGGAAGATTTACTTCTGAGGGGGGTTGTGGGCAAACTCAACACCCTTGCTGATATTTCCCTTGAGGTCGGAGATAGCCTTCTCCAGGAGACCCTTCTCTTTCTCGGTGATCTTCTCGAGGGGGTTCTGGGCCTTCTCGGCGCCGTTGGGCTGGAGAACAGATCATTAGTTGCATACGAGAAAAAAAGGCGGGAGATGACGAAAACTTACGCCGAGCTCGACGGGCACGGAGAAGAAGTCGGTGCCGACTTGCTTGGCAACGGCATCACCGCCCGGCACACCAGAGAGGTAGATGTAGCTAGGCTCAACCAGGCCTTTCTCTCCCTTGACGGCACGAATTACCTTCTCGGCGAACCTGTGCAACGTCAACGCCCATCCCGACAAACAGTTGTCTTATTGGGAAAAATGAACTCACCTGAAGCCAGCGTAGGCCATCGAAAGGGTAGCAGAACCGGCACCGTCCTTGGCTTTGACAACCTCGTCACCGCCAAATTGGACACGGTTGACGAGAGCATCGTACTTATCGTCGGGGATCGAAACAGCAGGGCTAGCCTGGCTGAAAAGGGGGATGATAGTAGCACCGGAGTGGCCGCCGACGACGGGGATGGTAAGCTTCTGGGGTTGAGCCTCACCAATGATCTCGGCGACAAAGGTCTCGGCACGAACGATGTCGAGCGTGGTGACACCGAAGAGGCGCTGGGGGTTGAAGACATTCTTGGCCTTGAGTACCTCAGCCGCGATGGGCACGGTCGAGTTGACGGGGTTAGAGATGACCAGGATGAAAGCCTTGGGAGCGACCTCGGCAGCTGTCTCGATGAGGCCCTTGACAATACCAGCGTTGATGTTGAACAGATCGTCACGGGTCATACCGGGCTTGCGAGGAATGCCAGCTGGGATGACGATGATGTCGGCATCCTTGAAAGCAGCCTTGGCCCCGTCATTGGCAGGGAGGTAGCCCTTGACAACCTGCAATGAACAATGTCAGTGGATCTTGACGAAGTGATATTTTCAGCAGAGGAAGTGATCTTACAGCGGGGGACGAGATGTGGGAGAGATCGGCAGCGACTCCCGGGGTGTTGACCACATCGTAAAGGGCAAGCTCGTCGATATGAGGGCTAGATTTGAGGAGGAGCGAAAGGGGCTAGATTAGAGTCAGCCCGGCTCGCCAGTGAAGAACACTGCCGACATGATAGAATATCTCACCTGTCCGATACCTCCGGAAGCGCCAGCGACGACTATATTCACAAGCTTCAGTCAGCACACGTCGAGACATGGAGCTTGCGCGACGAGACGCGATTGCGGGGTTGAATGGGGAGGGGCAGGCAGACGCACCAGCCTTGACCATGATGTCGGTTTGTTGGGGTGCGTGTTTGAAATGGGAAGTCCAAGTACTGGGATCGAGCTTGAGTCCTGGAATCGGGTTGATGCCGTGAAGAAGTCTTTGGAGAGGAAAGAAACAGAGCCAAGTGGGAAACTTGCAATTCAACCGGTTGGACTTCGAATTAACGAAATGGCTCTTCGTCGATTCTTGTATGAACCCTTACTGCTTCTGCGTACCTAAGGAGGGGCACTGCGGTTACGCAAGAGGGGAAGCTGGGAGCCAATCAAGTTCGTGCTTCTCTAAACGACTGTACAAGACATCATCTTCCGTCCTCGTCAAACGCAAATGCAGCGTCCGTCATCTTCCGATCAGGCATATCTGTCTATGGCCATTGCGAACATGTTATTGTCAAACCAGTTCTGTACCTTTGCCGAGATGCTTTGTCCGGGCGGACCCCGATTCCGCTGTCATTTGCGTAACCGGGCTTGAACTCTCCGGATCTTACCGACTTCACGGGCAGAGGCAACTGATGTCAGCTGGAGCATCCTCGGTAGCCGAGGCGACGAGAGAGCTGCAAAGCCTGTGAAACCTTCGCGGTCCGGTACTACACGACAATGGGTCGCAATCGGAGCTAGCTTCGCTTCCGGCCGGTAGCTAAATATTACATAGTATCGGTGCCAGAGCCCAGAGGCCAGAGAAGTACCGAGCTCAGTATCTGCGGATTCGCTGAAAGTGAGCTATCCTGCCTTATGAGGTCAAGCCCGGGAAGGAAACCCGTGGGAAGCTACGTCCTGTGCTGGGTGCGGTCTTGTCATACTAGTACCTTACCCATTAGCCAGTTGGTCGTCCTCTTGATTCACCTATTTGATTCATGGAATACCCGCGTCGTTTTGTCGGCATCCTAGCCGGCGGCCAAATCTGCTTGGCGGTACTTGCCCACATCTGGTTGTACAGCACTTGTACCAATGTCGAGACCAGAATCGTCTTTGTGCTATTTTCGCGGCGCTCCTCCCGCTCCGCGCGGTCATGAGTTCTGCCTCCTGTCTAGGTGGCGTACATCAGCCGCCTCCTGGAAGGTTGGTCACTAGGCTCACACATCACTGTGGAAGGTCCGAGTCCACAAAGCGCCCTATTCATCAATCCCAAGGCAGCCGGGGAAACAATCCTTTTCTTTCAGCGAGATCGATTTCTCTAATGCCAAACTCCATCCATGAATGATCCCAGGAAGTTCCATCATCCTAAGCCCGCCTCATGAAGTACCGCCGCTTCGTCCCTGATTTCATCTACGCCGACTCAGCCTCCTTAGCCTTCTGGGCCCGCTTGCCACGGAGCTTGGTCTCGGGTTCGGGCTTGACGGGGCGCTGGGACTGGCGGATAGCTGACACGCGCTGAACAGCAGCCTCGCGGAGATCAGGGCGGTATCCGTTCTTGGCGGTCTGGTTGGCGACGGACTTGTAGGCCCTGTGACAAGCGCAATTAGTATCAAAACAAGTAGTTTGGTGCGGTAGGGCCACTCACTTGCGGCTGGAGTTGTTGCCGCTGTGCTCGGACTTGAGGAAAGCCTCCTTGGGCTTGGTGGGGGCGGATGGCTTCTTGGTGATGACAGTGAAGCCCTTCTCGTTGCGGACAACGCCGATGGCCTGGAAGAACATTGGTGAGTACTCTATACTCTCATATCTTGGGACCGCATTGTATCTGCCGTGGTGGAGCGTACTTTGTCGTTGACGAAACCGGCGTGCTAGAAAGGCGTCAGTGGGCGTACACTGATAAGTAAAGTCATGGAAGCACATACCTTGCGGGTGTTCTTGTTGATCAGGTTCAGGGGATCACGCGAGAACTGAACGCCGCCATTGCGCTTGCTCTTGGTGAGGAAGCTGTTGTTGTTGCCTGTCTTTTCTTAGTCACTTGTCGCGGTAATTACGAGACCCTGGGTAAACATACGGACGACCTCCCAGATCAGGTCCGCAGAAATGTTGTCGATCGCAGGAGAAGCCATTGTGACGGTATTTGCCGGAATTGTCGAGTAAGTGTCGTCGTGAGGCCGGATTGTTAGTTCACCACATGCGCGCAACCTCGCCAGGGTATCGAATTTCTGTGCCCGAACTCTGTGCGTACGGTTAGTAGAATAACCCCACCTCATCGCATCTAATTCGGCGACGCGACCAAATATCGCTTAACGCTCAAAAGCTGCTTACTTCAGCCACCGCGGCTCCACCTTTGCGACCCCATCGCCGTTTCGAAGCGTGGCTTGGACTGACTGGACAGCAGAGGTCACGTCAGCTCAGCCAGATCGTCGCATAGTATCATTAATTATCTTGTAGCCACCCAAACTAATATCGAACCTGTCTGTTCAAATAACACCCCTTCTTTCCCGACAGCCCTCGAAACCACCGGAGAACGGACAGCGTCAACGGCTTCTTCGGCCGGACCTGCCATGTGCTGACAACGCCATCCGCAAACGTCACAGTTGGGCGCCGAACCCCTTAAAACCTATAACTTGCCGAACTACGCGCCCCTCGCGACCCCGTACTTTGCTATTCAAAAGCAAGTCCAATCATCGCGATGAAGTACATTCTTTATTCAACCTGCTTCTTCTTTTTCGTCCTCGTCACAGCTCTCTACTTTACGCGCGAGCACTGGCGCCACCGAGTGCCCAACATCCACGTTCCGGGTGCAGACTACATCTACTCGCGCCTCCCCGACAGCTTTGCGGGTGATATCGATGCAGGGCTATCAAGCAGCACGTTCGATCTGAGTGGTAATGTGGAGGCGGGAGACAGCCGCAGGGGACTCGATGATACGGCCAAGGCGGAAGTGTTGAAGATCATGAAGAAGAGGAGAATGAATTTCGACCAGGCACGAAAAGTGTACATGGAGAATCGATTCCAAGCCAACGGTATCGGCGCTGATGGAAGGCCGCGCGATCCGAAGTTCGTCAGCTTCTCTTGAGAAGGAGCAGGAGAGTCTGATCGGAGAGTTCAACGTGGAGGCAAATTATCGCGCCGCGTGGAGTTTGCTGCTGTTTTTCCTAGTGTACCTGGATCGTCGCTGCTTCGCTCAATACGGGCCAAGTATTCTGCCATCGCGGCAATGTTTCATTCTAGTTTCCGTTGCATAGCGAGAAAGAAGGACCACCTTTATACCAGTTGTGTCAAGAAGGGAGCGTTGGCGTTCTTTGATATCTCATTAATTAAGTCTATTTGATGACCCAACCCTCATTGAAGTTGGCGCCCGATCTAATCGTGGAGATCGTGCTACTGGTCCATCACATATAGTCCCCCAAACCCCTCCATTAATGTATGTTCCCTAAGAAGTGATGCCCGAGCTATGTACATGAGCCTCATGATCTATAAAAGTATTTGCGAAACGCTTCGCGAGCCGGTCTATCAGATGTTCTTCTTGTCAACCGGAGGGTCGTAAGTGCGATCATCGGAGCCTTCAATCTCCTTCACAAAAGTATCCACCTTTGTTGACTCTGCCTTCCACTGCTTCTCTGACATCTTCTTCTCCTTCTCGAACATCCACGCCTCAGGTGTTCTGTAGGTACCGCCGAGGCGATCAAATGCCGTGAAGAATTGTCCGTAGTTGACTTCGAAACGAGAGTGGTGAAGAGAATGGCAAGCTGCTCCGTTGACCACTGGGTTGTTGGTCAAATACTCGCCATCGTGAATGAGGATTGACCAGAAATTGACGAAGACGAAGAGAGCGACGTAGGCCGCCTTCTGGAGTGGGAAAATGAATGGGAAGATATGATACGGCAGGGACTGCGCAAACCCATCCAACGGATGGAAAGCGTGGCTGGCGTACGGCGTCGGCATGATCCACTTGTGGTGAGGCTTGTGGAGATGCTTGTAGATGCGAGGATGGTGCAAGTATCGGTGAATCCAGTAGATGCCAAAGTCCGTGAACACCAGGAACAGGGGGAATTGCGCAAAGTTGTACCACAGGCCCGGGCCTTGCTCGGTCGTGTCGTAGAGTTTGCTGAAGCCGCGCACCTCGAGCGCCATGAGAGGTGCGGTGCAGAGAGCCATGAACGGCATGGACTTGTTGGCCTGAAGGATTTCCAGCCAGATTTGGTTCTTGATGAATTTGGGGTGGTTCAAGGTCCTCTTGTCGAAGATGAAGTAGTAGGATAACGAGGCGAACAAGAAGTATACGACAAGGCCGAAAATCCTAGGATGATTGTTAGCTCATGGGTTTCGAGAGCCTGGATCCGAGTACTGACCAGACAATAAAGTAGAGCGTGATCAGCTGCCGCCATACATTGTCACGCGTCCATGCGCTCATGTAGGCTGCTTGCGACGGCTGGATCTGGAGGAGTTGTGTGGCGGGTTCCCATGTCCATGACGAGAACGTTTGTGCGGTCGCGTTAGCAGCAGTGCCTGCCGGATAGTCGTAAGGGGCAGGCTTCGCAGGGTGCGCCCATGCGTAGACATAGTCGGCGATGAAAGTATCGGTCAGCTCCAACACGATATCCATGGTGACTGATCTTGGACTTGAATCACTCGGTGTGCACTCGAGATGTGAAGTGAAGGGACAAGAGTCAGGGGAGAAGGCGGATGCTTGTATGGTTATACCAAAACAGCCTATGCCCGCTCGGAGGTGAGGAAAGGAGGCGCCAATGAACGGGTCGCGCGGCGAGTTGCCATATTAAAAATTCGAAATTGCGATGATACCCCTTATGCACTCGGAATTCATCGAATGATTGAGGTGGCCAACCGGGAATTGCGAGACCCGGTCCCTCTGATTGGCTTAGGGGACGCATTAGCTGACTCTAGAGCCCCGCAGTTCGAGAAAGTGGCCTGATGATTGATAACTGAACGGGGTTGGGGTTCGATTACATTGCCACGGTCGGAACGTGCTTCTTGCCGCTCTGCTGATTGATAAGATGGATGGTCTGCTCATCAGCTCATGGTCTTGTTGCTGGCTGTAGATCTGGCGTGGTTTCTGGCATTCTGCTAGGGAGGCCCTACGTACCGTAACCGCTCCGCGCGTGGCGTCGGGTTTGACCACAATCCGTCCCACTCTTCGGGATTCAACTTCAAGTTGGATGATTGTTGAGCGACTATTACACGTACGCTTGCACTCACAACATACAGGCAGCCCCCGAGTTCCTTCGCACCGGACCGAGTCCCATAGACTGATATACAATGTTGGCCATACGTCAGTGAACAGTCCAATATGGTGCCATGCCTAGCTATAATCAAGCGCAATCAGCACTCTGCTTCCGTAGCCTACATGTGTAAATATGGCGCTGTTCCTAGAACATAGAGGCTGGGGTCAGGTCCTCTTGGTTCTAATCAGAGGAATCAGATTACATGCCATGCTTTGCTGGCGAGCTACAGCCTACTTGCTCGTACGGATACGTACGCGATAACCTTGTACTCAAAGTAAATACTTGGGTGGGAGCAAATGGGCTGGGCCGCTGGAGGCAGTCACGCCCTTGTGGGTGTCGACTACCTACTGACTTGTTAAGGTACGCGGGGTACTCGCTAGGTCCCGTCGAAGAGCCGATTGGATCATGCGTCGCTACGTACGGAACGGGGTATTGTAATCATCTGCTGGCTGCTGCATTCTGATAGAATTTAAGACGTGGCTGTTTAACGCGGTAAAAGCTACCTATGGCGTGCCACAAGGCGGAGCCAGGCCAAAGAGATCCTGTAGTATTATCCCTGAATGCCTTTCAGGCTCAAGACCCCGCGAATGGAATAAGATTCAAAGGAGTTACTGTAGATTGGCAGTACAAGGCAATATTCCGCGTACAGAGCTAGGTTGCGATGCTTTGCCGCGCTCAAATGTGTGTCAGTAGTCTCCAAAATTACCATTTGACTAACAGAAGTACGGAGTGGTAATTAATCCAGTAATAATCTTACTTTGGCTAACGCAAGGTACCACGCCTCACAACGATGCGGACACATCAGAGGGTGCAAGTGCACTCAATCGTGCGCGGATCTCCCTGCGGTGTGCGTTTACGACTGCGCATACGGACGGGGTGTAGATATACTACCTATGTCGCAGACCCCCCACAGTGCTGCTGCATTTGAGGCCCGACCTTACCCTAACTGAAGGGTCTAAGGTGTGTACTAGCGGAGTAGCGGCGACCCGCTTCACGCACGGACCCGCAGGCTGCAAGCCTGCATTCCCAGTTCGGAGGCGGCTGGCCGGTCCAAGAGGTCAAGTGGGTGGACTGCTCAACATTGCTCTGTCTTCCTTTCTCCTTCCTTTCACATTTTCTGCTAGCCGCCGGTCAGCCACGCACTTTCAGCTCTCCATTACCAACTGGCGATCATCAACCACGAAAGCATCAATCTTCTGGATTCATCATTTTTATCGCTCGCGATACACTGGGCGAGAGGATTCCCTGTCCTGCTTCCCGACGGCCTTTGCGCAGGTCGCGCGACGCTGCGGACGCCTTAGCTCCACAACTGCTTCCATCAGGTCCAAACAACCATCGACCGAACCACCGGTCCATCCATCAATCACCTACAACTTCTGACGCATCTCGCGGTTCAAGCGCCTGTTTGCAAACCGACAATCCGAGGCTTCCTGAGATTCTGCTGGGAAGCTGGGTCGATCACAACAATGTCCATGTATCCGCATCAGCAGCGCATGGGCGGGCCTCCGAGCAATCAGGCCCGTCTGAACGAGCTTCTCGATCAGATTCGAGCCGAATTTGATTCCCAACTACGCCAGTCGGGTGAATTCGAGCATCAGAGTAAGTACCTTACCGCACGCGTGTACTTGTGTTGACAATTTGACTGACTATTCGCAAATAGTCGCTGCGCAGGTCAGCGAGATGCAGCTCGTCAGAGAAAAGGTTTATGCAATGGAGCAGACGCACATGACTTTGAAGCAAAAGTAGGTCACCCGAGGGCACAGCCGATGCCTTGGATCCTCCAGGACGACCGGCTGACGTCACTTTGTGAAGGTACGAGGAAGAATTGAGCGTTCTGCGACATCAATTAGCAGAGGCTACACGCGGCAAGGGCAGCGTTGGCCAGCCTGCGATGAGCGGTCCACCTCAACATGCTGGTCCCTCTCAGCAACCGCCTTCGATTGCACCAGGCAATGGCCTCTTCAGCGGTATCATGTCGGGGGGCAACCAAGCAGGATTGGCTCCCCCACAACAGCAGCAGCCACCACCACATCAGCAGCATGGGCCACCGCAGGAGGCGCAGATGGGGCCTCAGCACCAGATGGCGCAAGGCCCTCCAGGTCTCAATGGACCTCCGCACCCGTCAGCACAGCAGCAACAGCCACAACAGGGCCCATATCAGCAGCCATACCCCCAGGGCCACATGTCCAATGGCATGGGCCCTCAGCCACCGCAAAGCACTGCGTCGCCCGGTCCTGGACGCCGACCTATCGGGCGCCCTCCCAACGGCGTAGGGCCAGCCACTCCCCAAATCAACACTCCCGTTCCGTACCCTCCGAATGCCCAGTCGCCCCAGATCAACCAGCCGACCCCGGATCATGCGCGCATGGGCGGTCCTCGACCACCTCAGGCCGTCGGTAATGCACTAGGGGAGCTTGAGCCTGACAATGTCGCGCCCCATAACAAGAAAACTGGCAGCGATTGGTACGCGATCTTCAACCCACAAGTACAGCGCGTACTCGACGTTGATTTGATCCACTCGCTTCAGCACGACAGCGTTGTTTGCTGCGTGCGCTTTAGCCAAGATGGCAAGTACGTCGCGACTGGCTGCAACCGTTCCGCCCAGATCTTTGATGTGACCACGGGAGAGAAAGTATGTGTCCTCGAGGACCAAAGTGCATCCGATCCCATGGGTGGAACAGATCTATACATCCGCAGCGTATGCTTCAGTCCTGATGGTCGTTTCCTGGCCACGGGCGCTGAGGACAAGATCATCCGAGTAAGAAAATCCCGACCATTCATCCATTTGCACCTTTGCTAATCCAGCCCGCAGGTTTGGGAAATTGCGACGAGGACGATCCGATGCCACTTCACCGGCCACGAGCAAGACATTTACTCCCTCGACTTTGCCCGAGATGGACGCACGATTGCTTCTGGCAGTGGTGACAGAACCGTCCGCCTTTGGGACATTGATCAGAACCTCAACACATCGACCTTGACGATTGAGGACGGCGTCACTACCGTGGCCTTCTCGCCCGACACCCAGTTCGTTGCAGCCGGCTCGCTCGACAAGAGCGTCCGTGTCTGGAGCATAGACGGCAGCGCTGTTACCCTTGTTGAGCGTCTTGAGGGACCTGATGGCCATCAAGACTCTGTCTACTCTGTCGCGTTCTCGCCGAACGGCAAGGACCTGGTCAGTGGCAGCTTGGACAAGACCATCAAAATGTGGGAGCTGGGCGCGCCGCGCGCCACTCGCGACGGACCCTCTCGGGGTGGCAAGTGTATCAAGACATTTGAAGGTCACCGCGACTTTGTCCTTTCCGTCGCCATGACACCTGACGCCAACTGGGTGCTTTCGGGATCCAAGGACCGCGGTGTGCAATTCTGGGACCCCCGCACCGGGACCACGCAGCTCATGCTGCAGGGCCACAAGAACTCGGTCATCTCGGTAGCGCCCTCTCCACTGGGCAGCTACTTTGCCACTGGTTCCGGTGACAACAAGGCTCGCATTTGGTCGTACCGCCCTATATAATTGACCCTGGGCCGGGCCGGCTGCGAGGCCCTGTCAGCAAGGCCACCGAGGAGATTGCGTACAGTGCCGTTCCCGGTTTGGGTCGCGGAAGCCATGATTTGAGTGATGATTTGTTTGTCTACGGACACGTTTGAGAGAGGCGCTATGGCTGGGGATGATAATATGGCAACGGCTACTGCCTGCATTGCGTTGGTAGAAACATAGTTTTCACTTTTACACGTCAAGCTTGTGGGATAGCATGCTCGTGATCGCAAGCCTAGTGTGAGATTGAATGAACTATTTTCAGATTGAATCGAACATGCTAGCAAAGTCGTCACTTTTTGCCGCCTTCTTCTTTTTCTTCTTCTTGTTCAGCTGGGCTCTGGGTTCTTCTCTCGTCTTGGTCATCTTCTGGACTTTGTTGACGCCCGATGACGTGGCCTTTGCCGTTTCTCGCAAAGTCGTCTTCCCATGCAGGTCCAAGGCATCTCGCGATATTAGCTCGCCCTTTTCCGAAGACCCTGCCTTTGCTGGCTGAGAAGGGGGCTGTTCAGAAGCGTGACCTGCTGCCGGGCGCAAGTCATCCTCTGTAGTAGGCAATGCTGCTGCAACAGCGGCGTTGATGCGGGCGAGAATGGTCACCAGCAGAAGTCCCAGTGGCGCATGCTGATTATCCGCAGCACATTGCGTCAATGGTCTTGGCATCCAACGCGTCAGCCTGGTGAAGCAGCATGGTGTTTGCGGGGACTCACAGGTAGGTCTTGGGGATCACTTGCTCCTTCATCCATGCGATCCTTGGTAGTAAAGCCTCAGGCTTCCGCTCCGGTGATTTGACGATTGCACGAACCGCACGCCTCAGAAGTGCAAAGCGCGACCACCAGTGCGATGCGCGATGTTGGTTCTTGTGGCGATGGTTGAATCCATCGAGAAGCGGGAGGATGGGTGCGAAGGCATCACGTAGTTTGTCGATGTCTTCCACGGTCGGCAACGGACGCGAAGACGGAGCGCGGTTCATCTCGGTGACATTGCGACAACAAGAGCCGTGAAGGGGAGACTGATGCGATGCAAGCCTCTATGACATGTATCGCAAAGTGTGATGAGCTGTGTGTAGCTCCAACAGTCATGCACGTAATGAAGGTTATGCTGATCTCCTTTTTTTCCCTTCCCTTTGGCCAAGGACGGCACTGGCCGTGGTTAGTTTACTAAGCAATGGACCACGTTGTGACATTTTCCACTATTGGCCTCAATGACCATTTAAAGTTGAAGATCCAGCGAGTAGCGGCATGCGCTACCTGAGATAGGTAGAACGACGAAGTTTTGAATTGTGCATTGGTTGCGGCAGCGCAAACCACAGTGAAGATACCTGCTACCCCGTAATGCTATGGGCGGGACAAGTGCCCAGTGACGCTTGTCCTTATTTATTAGTCAGTACAATTACTTGTACACGGATAGTGTGCCATGTGGCCATGGGACGTCGTTCACCCATTTGAAGGCCTGCCAATCATAGATTCCAACGGGAGTGCATCTATGCTGACACGCAATCGCTCCATACGTTTACCTGCATCGTTCATCTAATATCGCCGGCGACTCAATTCACCGCTTCTGTGATGGCCGTGAGATCATGGCAAAAGGGAACTCGAGGCGGCACCGCGATCTCGCAAGTTGCCAACACTCAACTGGCGGCTTTACCTGGAGTTCCCCCGCGGCGGCCCCTCGAATCTTGGCAGCAACTGTCGACGCTGCAATAGCAGCGGCGATTGGTGGAGTGGCGATCTCTAACAGGTGTGCGGGCGCGGGCGATAGCGAGCTTCAACCTGTTACTAATTGACTCAAGCATGCGGTCGCTCTGGTGGGCGAGCGACTGTCCAAACCAATGGCCAGACAGACCACTGACACTGATGACTGCGTGCCTCGAGCCATGTATACCCAAGGTATACTGGGCGAGGGGTTGTGCAAGTGATCGACTCGAGGTGATGCTCGTACATACAACAGTACCTCCGTACAGCACTGGCGATGCGAATCATGCAATGTCTGGTGCGGCTTCAGCCAGCCAGCCCCACTCGGCATGTAGTGAGGACTGAGGAGTCAGGAGGCTTGCATTTTCGAATTGGACCCCACCTGGCTATGGGCTCAGGCTTGGAATCGGCTTCAATGACTGGTCTCGTGACTATGGGGAATGGATCCCCGTGTCTTGGTGTCGCCGAGAGGATCATGCTCGCGATAAGCGACAACGGGCCTTCGTCATACGTAAGGTAGGGTAGCCCTGACCGTCCGTCCGTCCGTTTGGCTTGCTTGCTTGCTTGCTTGCTTGCTTGCTTGCTTGCTCTTCCTGCTCATAAAGAACAACTGGCTGTACCGGTGACACCAAACGTGGCCGACCAGCTTCTCCCTCTGCTTGCTTGTGCTCCATTGATCCTTGCTCGTCGCCTTCTTCGCTCACGACCTGCGTTGCCTTGGATGCCCAATGCTTGAATACCACCTCCAGCCACGCTGTGCGACAATCTGACTGGACTTTCTCATCTGCACCAATACAGCCCTCTCTCTGTCTGCCTGGAACCGAGCGGCGAAGCGGCCACCCGTCCTACTGTGTTTCCCACTCCACCTGGCACTCGGCCACGTCGCGCACCAGCAGCGAGTGAACCCAGGCCATGGCCCCTGCTACCGGAAAGCCAACATGGGTTGGCTCTGAAGGGCGCGTCTCGACGCCTGGCAGTTCTCCCTCCGACAGCTTGAGAGAAGGTCAAGCTCTGCTGGACGACGACGAGCTCGGTGGTTCACCCATGCGCGACCGCAGACGGTACGTTTAGCCGAAGACGCCATAATTCAAGTTGTATTTACGTACCTTGTGATTCTGACAATATTTGTGGCTGCAGGTCCTCCAACACCAACCGCCTGGCTGCAATGGCCGACATTGGGGGCGTGAATAGCTTCCGGTCCTTCGCCCGCAGTTGGCAGCGCGCGGCCGGGTTCACAGAGGTCCTCCCCCGCCGGCCGAGCTTTGTCTATGCGGACGAGCGCACAGTCGACGATCCGAGCACCGAGGACTTGCAATACGGACGGAGCTACCCCCCGCAACGGCCTCCACCGCCGTCGAGGGGCCTGTTGAGCGCGCACCTGGAATCTTCGCAGGCCCAGGAGGAACAACAGGGATCCGACCAAGGCAGAGAAAATGGCGAGCCCAGCACCGATCCAATCTACGACTCGGCAAGAGAAGACTTTCGGGAGCGTGAAAGCAAGGCTTTCGACGCCGAGATGGCCAGTGGTGCCCTCCTAGGCCCCAGTGTCTCAAGTCGATCCAGCATATTCGCAAACCCTCCTCATCTCGCAACCCCCTCCATCATTGGTAGCTACGGGTCGCATCGAAGCTCAGCCTACGGCACCATGGGCCGAGGGTCCATGCAGAGCCACAGACCTTCGGTCGGCGAGGCCGGCGAGCAGGACGAGGACGAGGAGGATGCAGCGCACGGCGAACATGAGCCCATCCTCGTCAAGGAGGTGAAGCAGGGCGACAAGGTGATCCTGACGGTCGAGGGCCAGAGCACTATGCCCCAGTCTGTCTTCAACTCCATCAACGCCATCATCGGGGTCGGCATCCTCAGCTTGCCCCTGGCTTTCAAGCTGTCTGGCTGGATCATTGGGTTCGTGCTACTGACCCTGACAGCCTCTGTCACGGGCTATACTGGCAAGTTGCTGGCAAAGTGCATGGATGCCGATCCCAGTCTGATCACCTACTCGGATCTTGCCTACGTTTCTTTCGGGTCGCGGGCTAGGGTGGTTGTCTCCGCACTGTTCTCGCTGGAGCTCATTGCAGCATGTGTGGCTTTGGTCATCCTTTTTGCCGACTCGTTGGAGATTCTCTTGCCTGGCCTGGCTACTGTCGACATGTGGAAGTGTGTCTGTGCTGCGCTCATCCTGCTCCTCAACGCCTTGCCGTTGCGGTTCCTGAGCTACACCAGCGTCATCGGCATCTTTTCGACGTTTTGTAGTAAGTACCACGGCCCCAGCAGCGTTGTTGCGAGAGTGCTGATCCTGTTCATAGTTGTTTGCATTGTCATCGTAGACGGCCTTGTCAAAGACCATGCCCCGGGCTCTTTGCGGGAACCAGCATCAACACATCTCCTGCCCACGAATTGGCTTGCTCTGCCACTAGCATACGGCTTGCTGGCCTCCCCGTGGGGTGCCCACAGCGTCTTCCCCAGCGTACGTATTGGCAATCCACATGTAATCTCTTTGACACCCAAGCTGACATGGCATCATAGATCTATCGAGACATGCGGCATCCCGCAAAGTGGGGAAAGGCCGTGACGATCACGTTCTCTTTCTCTGTAAGTAGTGAACCACAAGTGCAGTCAGTCGTGACACTTCTGACACTTTCGACAGTACGTTCTCGATACATGCCTTGCCATCATAGGCATCATCATGTTTGGTGACGGCATCAGCGACGCTATAACCTCCAACATTTTGAGGACGACTGGATACCCCAGGGCGTTGACAATCATCATGTGTGTCTTTGTTGCCATCATACCGCTAACCAAGATCCCCCTCAACGCGCGGCCCTTGATCACTACTGCGGACGTGCTCTGTGGCGTCCATGAGACGTCGTCCCATGCCCACCACGGCCATCGTCCCCTCGCCGGCCGCGCCAAGATGATCCATTTGACCATCAGAGGCGTCATCCGCACAACGGTGGTGTTGGTCCTGCTACTCATATCTATCCTGTTCCCCGCGTTTGACTCAGTCTGCGCATTTCTCGGTGCTGCGCTCTGCACCCTCATCTCCATCATCCTCCCCATCTCGTTCTATCTCAAGCTGTACTGGAAGGACATTGAGCAGTCAGAGGCCACATTCCTGTGGCTGCTGCTCGCCGTCTTTTCGGTCCTGGGGACAGTCGGGACAGTCTGGACATTTCTACCAAAGGAATTCATTGGAGTATGACAGACGTGAAGATCAGAGGAGGTGCCACTCGTGCTGGGCCACAGAGAACACCGACCGAGTATGGTCGACCTCATGCCCTGTTTTTGATGGACAGCTGGGCACTACTAGATTTAGTGCTTTTACCATGGGTGCTGTACAATCCCAGGAATGAGAAATGCATAGGCAATAATACCATGATTGCGTGACCACTTAACAAGTCTGACAGGGCAGGTGCTGAGTCCACGCGGATACAATTTACGGGCGATGTTTCTGCAATACATCAGGCCCTCTGGGTGTTACTTCACATACAAACACTCTAGTACATGACAATGATCAGGTGGTTTGAGTGGGTAACTTCTGGTATTGCGATAGTATCTAAGCAACTTGCACGCAGAAAGCGAGCTGGGTAATCATAATCGACCAAATAAGTCAACATCCTATGCGTTCAGGACGTTTGCCGCATCCTGCCGAGCAGGCAACGGTGATTCCCAACCACGATTGGTGTGATGGAGAGGTTACTTTCTCGGTTGAGAAAGGGCCTACCATCCCCCAACCCACTCAACGTCCCCGAAATCGGCGCGTCTTTCACGACGCCAATTCCAATCTCTTCCCTTGTTCCTCGGGCATTGCTTAGCCCTCGATTCCTTGCCCAATGATTGTTGTTGTGGTGGTGATTTGTTTGTTGGTTGATGATAATTATAAGAATCCCAAACGCCCGCTTCAAAAGACTTAACTCCAAACCCAAAATGACGTCGCACAAGACTGGGCGACTTTGACTCATCCACAACAGCTCCGGTGTTGGCATGCTTACGACGCTCCCCCAAGGCGGACCATTTGTCGAGGGTGCTGCGCTTGGATGGTGGCGAGTATCGTGGCATTTGCTTCTTGGGCGTCGTGAACATGTCGGCCTTGGGTTCGTGGAAGAAGAACCCGTCGGCAACAAGATCATCGTCGACGTCACCCTTGATAGCAACATGCGAATACTTCGCCTCGCTCCGGCTCTCATGACTCCAAGTTCTCGCATTAAGTTCTTGGAGCCTCCTCTTTTCTTTCTCCTGCTGCTCACGTCGCTCCTCCTCCTCGTCCTCCTCCCACATGTCGCTCCAACTCTTCGAGACCTGGTCGTTGTGGCGACCAAAGACGCTCGCGATCGAAAGAGTTGAGGGCTTGGCCATGTGGATAGGTAGGGAGCCTGCTGTTGGCGAGACTCGCTTGACGGGCTGTGCACGTTCGCGAATGGCAAGTGAATGCATGGAGGCGCCCAAGCTTGAGTCCAAGACTGATGACATCGACGGGGTTTGCTCGGCAGCTGAGAACCAGTCACTGGCATCCTCAGACTTGGAGAACAGGTCTTCGGTGAAACTCTCGTCGTCAGGAATGACACTCAGCTGACGACGAGGTGCAGCGTGCAGAGCCCGCGTCCACGGGAAAGCACCCGCCTCGTCGACCTGAGGGCTTTGAATGGAAGGGGTGCGAAGAGGCTCGCGGTTGGCAGAAGCAAGCGTGGGGTTGTCTGCAGTGCAGAAGTCGTCCAGAGCCTCGTCTTGTGCGGTAAAGCTAACGACACCAAGAAGAGCCTCGCGGGCGCCGAGGAGTGAGCGCTTGCGGGGATCCAAGCTCATGCATTGAACGATGACCTCGTACGTGTCTTGCGACATGGACGGGAAGACATCGAAGAGACTCTGCTTATCCCTCGAGAAGTCCAGGAAGAGCGGGTCGGACTCGGTAGGAGTGGTGAATGGATTGCGAGAAAACAAGATGTTGAGCAGGCAAATGCCGATGGCCCATATATCGGCTTGAGCGGGCGAGTAGCCAGCGCCAGCCGAGTCGAACTGCTCGGGAGACATGTAACGGTCACTTCCGACAGTCATCTCGTGAGACCACTTGTCCGTAGTTGCCAGTCCAAAGTCTCCGAGCTTCATGTTACCATCCTGTGTAAGGAAAATGTTTTCCGGCTTGATGTCGCGATGGTAAACTCCTTTGGAGTGCATGTAGGCCACGGAGTCAATGAGCTCGATCATGAACTGGCGGACGTGCTCCGTTTCAAGAGGTCCGTGACCATTCCGGATGGCTTCGTACAGATCACCTTGAGAGCAGTACTCGAGAACAAGGTAGACATGCGCGTCAGTCTCGAAGTTGTCGAGAAGATTGACGATGTTCGGGTGGGTCCCAAGTCGAGTGTGGAGGGCGAACTCCTCGGACTTGTCGTCGACGGCGAGTGTCAAGCCAGCGTCAGATGGGGCGGTTCGTTTGGTCAAGCACTTGATGGCAACAGGTTGGTTCGTTTTGAGGTCCTGGGCCATGAAGACCATGCCAAAGGACCCATGGTTGAGTGGAGAAAGAGTCTGATAACGGCCGTTGAGGAGCACGCCGCCCAAGAACTTCTCTCGCAAGCACTCCATTTCGTAATGAAAACAGGAAGCAATGTGGAGCCGAAATAATTATACAGATGAGAAATAGGGTACACCAAAGAGGGTGCCCGGTGTGCAAGCAGACGCGTGTGAATGCTGAAAGTCAGAAGTGTTTTCGAACCAAGGGAGGACGATATCTCGTGACCCGGGGTGTTGTTTGAAACTTGGAGAAACGGTGTGGGACAATGCTGGCAGAAATTTCGTGAGTGCTGAATGAAGATGATTGTAGAATGTACAAAGTGCGGAAGCGTCCGGTATGTTGTCGACTGACTTGGATCGAAGGTCGTGGAGAATTCAGAGGCTCATTGAGGTAGGATCGATATGCTGAACAAAAGAAAAGACGATAGTGAGGTCGTCAAGCTTGCAACGCGCAAGAGCCAGTAGGCTCGTAAAGAGAGAGAGAGGCCGGGAGGTCGTTATAAGGACATTGAGTTTCGTTCTGGAGTGTTGCAAAAGAATGATTCGAACAACTGGACGAGCGCTGATGGAGTCGACAACAAGATAGACCAGAACCACGCGAGACTTGGAGGGTACTCGACAGGCGGTCAACTTATTGGCACTCGCAATATATTTGAGGTCTTCGAGCTCGTGGGTGGATGTGGGTGGCTTCGCCTGCAAGACAATTGGCGTGATGCGGCCAGATGTGACCCAAGTGACGGTTTGTTGTAGTTCGTTCTGCGGTACAGTACAACAAGATGCTGTCACGCGTCGGTGATGTCAAATTGTTGCAATTGGGCCAGTGCTGTCCCCCTGACAGACGTATCCGGACAAACGTTCGATGTGTGTAGAGAGTAGTTCGGCGAGACGGTGAGTCAACTTGTTTGTGGCGATATCGGCAGACCCGGACCCGGTCGGCTACAGCGGTAGGTACGGCTTCCAATCGAGGTACACAGCAGGATGCACCTCACTCCTTGTTCTCTCGATTCGAATCAGAGAGATTGTTGTGAAGACGTGTTGACGGTGTTGGCTGACGAGGCTGATGGGCGTGGTTGCGTGCTCCGCGTGGTGGATGGCGCGGCGCTTCGGTACGGGACTGACGATACGAGTGGCGAGGTCGTGCGGATGGGAGAGGACAAAGCAAGCTCAGGGGGAAAGAAAGCCGCTGATGATGATCGTGGGAGAAGACGGGGGAAGGCGTGACGGAAAAGAGAGAAGGAGTTGGGTGCGTGATAAGAGGAGTGAGACGAGACGAGAAACGGAGGGTAGACGATGGAAGGGTACGATAGGAAGGGGTTACAGAGGGAATGGCGGTGATGTTGAGGGTCGCGAGTCGAGGAGCCCGGGCCGCCGAGGGGGGGACGACGAGAGCGAGCCAGATGGCTGTGGAAGCTGCTGGAGACCCAGCTGTCGGCCATGACTGGAGGTGGAGACGGTGATGATAGTCTGGCCTACCAGCACTCATCCTCCCAGCGTCACTGCACGGCCCAGTCGTGTGCTGGACTGTCTCGCAGCGTCCAGTCAGAAAGATGGATGGCACAGCCGCTCCACTCGAGAGGAATCTCCAGGATCTCCAAGAGAGACGGAACCGGGGGTTGGATTGGCCACAGCCTCAGGCCACCAGACCGCCGTCCACTCATCAAGAGCCCAGATTCGATGATGGGATACGCTAGGATCCACTCTGTTGCGCAGCCAGCGTCGAGGAGGGTGGTAGGCCTGCAGGTGTAACTGACGCCAAAGACGGCGGCAGCGAGGCTGGTTACCTGGCTGGCTGGCTGCTTGCATGAGTGCTGCCAGCAGTGTGTTCCAAGCAGAGTCCTCTCGATTCGAAGCGGTCAGTCTCAAAGCGGATGCTAATCGTTTTTTCATGAATGGCACGGCGCATTCAATGCGCTGTTCAATTCGGCAGCATCCAGTATTCCAGCGCATTCAATGCTGCGACATTTGGACCCAGACAAAGTATCCGCAGGCGGCGGGACAGAGAACACGTGTACGTAGTTGGTAATCAATACAGTACAGTGCACGCAATGATAGCAACACATCAACAAGAGGGGGCATGACGATCGTTGGCTGTCGTATTGGGTGATGATCAGCTGTTGGCGCTGGGAGATAGCACTTTGTGAGTGTCTCAACGCACTGTGGAAGACAGCTATCATTCTGATAAGCCTGGGCCAGCAGATACAGAACCCTCTGTCATTCAACCATCTGAATTCAACTATCTGCATAACGATTCGCAGATGTTTACCGCTACCCGACATTGCCATCAAGATCGGAGAACAGTCAATAATTAGGTGAAGGCTTACGCATACGTCAATGTTGGCTTGAGCTTGGTTCAGACTCCCGACTTACCTGACTATAACCAGAACCAGGTACTCTGGGGTACGGTCCGTACGGAGTACACACACGTGTACGTCAGACTTGGCAAACCTTGACGAGGTTGGCAAATCATGTGCTTCATGGTGTGCTTCAGAAACTATCGCCCAGGAAACCCCGACAGCCGCCAGCACAGCCAAGCGCCGTGAACTTTGTTATTACTGGCAAAGGGGCTGGAGGTCACCATTTCGGCGCATGCTGAGAGCGGTGTCCTGTACTAAGGTATTGACTTATTGAGGTACGTACATGTACCTCCAGCCAGCCAGCAGTGCAGTGCCTCCCCTGCATGAAATTGAAACCGCACATCATGCAACAACGTGTCAAACGTGAATGGACGAATCCACAGCAATACCTCTCAAAGACAACTCAAAACAAACAGGTCTAATATGCAATAATAAACACTGCAAAGGTCCATTCGCGATGACAATTGCTACAGCCCCTGAGGCCCTGGCTGGATAATCAGAGCTAGAAGCCCAAACTGGCAAAGCACGAGATGATGAATCCACAGCATGACTGCACTGGCAGTCTGGCACAGTCTCCTTGAGCTATCCGTAATGCAGGTAAGACAGTACGCATTCCACACACAGTGGTGGACACGTATCTTCACAATGGTTAAGGTGACAAGTAATTAAGTAAGCAAGCACGCAAGCAGTGTGGCTGGAATGATTTCCAGTACGACTTGTCCTCGAGCTCTGACTATGCTGGTACTACGTACGGTACACATATGCGTGTGGTGGTGGTAGACAAAAATAAATGTATAGAAGCTTACGTGACCATGCTCCAGCTTGATGAAGTGCGGTCGTGCTTTTGCCAGGGCGCGTGGACAATCTACTAACCAAGACATGCAGGTCACTAATGATTGGCAACAAGTCAGATATTAGCTCTTTGTCCTAGAATTCTTGCAATGAATTCCTGTGTATTGGTAGTATGATATCGCGCTCCGTGGCGTTACCCAAATGCCTCGCCTAGGTTGTAGGTTGGGACTCGGGTTGCATGCGGCTGAAACGTCAGACAGCGGGCGTGTCTGGCTTCGCTGGTGCACAAGATCGCCTGCAAAGCATCAACAACAACAAGTCTTTCACCCAGATGATGCGTGAGACGCAAAGTTCACCATCGCAACGAGAGGAAAGCAAAGTGAACAGATACTATCCGGTAGGCAGCCACTCCAAGTCGCTGGAGTTGCGGGACGGCGCTAGTGGGGACGGCATTCAGAACAGACTTTTGTTGGACTTGGGTTTCACGCAAGGTCAGGTACCGATGGAGGGAGGGGGACGTGATGCTTTGACCGCTCTTTCGACTTCATGTTACACTGCTACGTACCAGCCTCCAACTTCAACTGCCTCTGATTCAACCGTCGAAACGACCCTCTTTATTCATGCATTAGCCTGTTCTGGTAGCCTGCATGACCTGTTGACAGCACTATTGCTCCAGTGTCAGGTGTTTTATCACAGTTTGCGCGTTGATCTCAACCACCGATTTCCCGCGTCCTCACCTCACCCAATTTGGAAGCAGTGCCGACATACGGTGTATTACTGTTAATAGTAATATGGCCAATTCTAAGGTGTTACTCCTTGATATTGGTGAGCACTTCCTCCAGATCTGGACAATGTGACGTGGGAGGGCTGGCCGGCTTCGTCAAACACGGCGTCTCAAAGAGCATGTCTGATGGGAATTAATGGCTAATGGATATCATCTGTAGAGGGAACTGTTTGTCCTATATCTTTTGTGAAGGACGTTTTGGTACGTGGCATGCACACAAAGCTCAGCTGGTCCAGCTGGTGTGTCAAGTGCACCAGCCTACGCATATTCGCCCGCTGGATTGTTCGTCTTAATCCGCAGGACTAACGATCTTACTTGACCGCTAGTTCCCCTATGCGCTCGAAGCACTCCCAAGCGTCCTTGAACAGCAATGGAACGACCCCAACTTTGCTCAGTACCGCGATGCGTTCCCTGAAGAGTACCGCGATGATCAGAATGCCCTTGAGCAGCATGTACGCGACCTTGTCAACAGGGACGTTAAAGTGCCATACCTGAAAGCTCTCCAAGGGTACCTGTGGAAGACAGGATATGCCTCTGGTCAGATCAAGGCACCTCTCTTCCCCGACGTCGCTCCTTTCATGACCGAGAGCCAGGCCAAAGGGAAGAAAATCATGATCTATTCCTCTGGATCTGTACCAGCGCAGAAGCTGCTTTTTGCGCACACGGATGCTGAGCCTTCAGACTTGACGCCCCTCATTTCTGACTGGTTCGACACCGTCAACGCAGGACCGAAAACCAGTGTCTCGAGCTACAAGACGATCTTGTCGAAGCACCCGGATATCAGCCCTGCCAATTGGCTCTTTCTCAGCGACAACTTGAAGGAGGTGGACGCCGCGTTGACTGCTGGCATGCGAAGCCTGCCAGTGTCTCGCCCGGGCAACCCAGCTATTCCTGAAAACCACCCTCTCTTCACTGTCGCCATTTCGGATTTCAGCACATTGAGCCAATGAGCAGTATGGCGCGGCGGTCCGGCTGATGAGTGATAGGCTATTTGCGCAAAGCAGGTGTGGGGAACTGGAGGCTCCATCATGCCCAATGTGTAGCTGACCGTGGCGGTGTGAAGGCTCTTAAAGTGCTGTTCAGCGCCTTGAGGTGCCAAGTGTCGGATATGTTTTGCGCATGGAAACCAAAAGACTAATAGGGGAATGCTATGATTAGAGTAGATTCGGAACTCAGACGGGCGTCTCCAAGTGCCTGACAGAAGCAAGACCACATGGCACCGTGCGTGAGTAAGGAATGAGTCCACCCGATGATCAGCTCGTTGATCTATCGAGCGTGATGACGAAATTGTTTCTTGTCTTCCCTGGGTTGATTTCCTTCTTGGGAAATTTAGCATTGTTGCTGGGCGTGGCTCCCATTTTCCAGAGACTGTATGCCAGTTTCTGCGTCGTCTTGCCGCTGATCTTGGCAAACCCCAGTGTTCCCATCAAGGCTTCCAACCTAGCTTCTGTGAAGTACCTGGAGTTGTCGACACAGCTCCGGGGCAAGACGAGGAACACTGAAGGGAAGAAATCTTCGACGGCGGCCTGGTCTTCTGAAGGGGTCGCACGTAAGAAGGACAGCGTTCGCTCCAACATTTGACCGCGGGTCGCCGCATCCGGCACGAAATTGATCACGAGGCTCAGCGATATAATGTCGAACTTCTGAGAGTCATCCTCGGGCAGCGGCCTCTTCATGAAGTCCTGTGGTTCGATCCCAGGCTCCTGGCTGTTGAGATCAATGTGGACCATATCGAACAAGCCACTGAGTGAACAAGCGTTTCGTGTGCTCAACGAGCCAACTTCAAGCATTCTCAACTTGCGTCGGGCCCCTCCTAACTCGCTTGTCGGCAGCCAATCTAAAAGGATCTTGGAGGTGTCCCCTCCTCGATCAAGGCTTTGGCCCTGGAGGCTTGCCCGCTGGTAGTTGCCAATGCCTCCAATCTTAGAAATCTCCTTCTCTATCAAGGCTTCTTCGATCTTATCTCCTTTCTTTGCGGCTTGCTGGCGCCTCTTCTCCAACTGGTGATGGGTGTTGATCAGGGTGCGGCTGGCTTTGCGAGACATAGTCCGAACTGACTTGGCCAGAGGTGGCCGCCCGGCCTGAAGTTGTGTGGTCGCTTTTCTCTTCATGATTGCCGATGCGATGATGCGATCTGAAGAAGGAAGAGCATGCGTATAGTTTCCAGTTTTCGCAAATCTTTCGATCAGTCCAGATCTGGCTGTTGGGGTGTGTCGGCAGAATTCAGGCCATGAGAAGCAACGGGCAATGTCAAGCTTGAATGCTCATCTGCCTGTCCGTCTCCAACACGCTCACTTTCCTGGTCATACTCGTGATGGTCCGCAACCTGACATCCTAAGTTACTTTACTCGTGGCAAATGGACTGCTTCTTAGTCGGTTCGAGGTGAGAGACCCACATGAGGTCCTGCCAGTGCCAGTGCCAGTAAGTACCAGCCGAGGAGGGGCAGCACGTGATCCGTGGATTTGCCTGGGGGTGAGCCAATCATACCACATACCCTAATCGTTTTGCGCCCACACGGACATCACACCAGGATTTTCTCGTCGAAACTTTGAATTGTTCATTCCCGATCACGACTAACACACAGCACCACCTCAACCACCCGTGCTTCACATCCGTCAAAATGGCCGGCAAGGACGCTACAAAGGGCAAGAAAGGTACGACATGATCTAATTCCATACCTACGAGTCGACTGCGACCACAATATCCGACTTTCTCTTCTGTCGCTGCACGATGGACCCTCGATGGCGCATGGCCAATTCCCCGATCACCATCTACGATTGATTGAGGGCGGAGCACGATTAGGGGTGTCACGCATCATGGCAGCAGCAGATTTTGCGAGTTCTTCCAAGAGAGCGATTGCTGATGCGATTTCTTTATAGCCGCCCCCAAGGGCTTGAAGCAGGCCAACGCTGCCGCCAAGGCTGCTCTCAAGGGCGTAAGTGACATTTGTGGAAGAAATGGGACGCTCGACTAACCCAAGGTCAGACCAGCTCCAGCAAGAACCGCAAGGTTCGCCTGAGCACCTCCTTCCACCGCCCCAAGACCCTCGTCACCTCGCGTGCTCCCAAGTACCCCCGCAAGTCGATCCCTCACTTGCCCCGTCTCGATGAGCACAAGATCGTCATCAAGCCTCTCAACACCGAGAGCGCCATGAAGAAGATGGAGGAGCACAACACCCTTGTCTTCATTGTCGACGTCAAGTCCAACAAGGCCCAGATCAAGCAGGCCCTCAAGAAGCTTTACGACATCGACACCCTGAAGATCAACACCCTCATCCGGTATGTGGACTTGTTCATCTTATTCAGAAGAGCCTTACTAATTTATAAACAGCCCTGACGGTTCCAAGAAGGCCTACGCCCGCCTGACTCCTGATGTTGATGCCCTCGACATCGCCGCCAACAAGCTGGCTCTGGTCTAAGGGCTGGTTGGCGATTGTAGGGAATGATTTTATCGGCGGGTATGGTCTATACCCTGAGCATGGGCATCGGAATGGCGCACAAGAGCTATATGATTTTCGGACACAGGCAAAAATGATCATAAAATTGACCAACCCTTCCCGATCTTTGATTCTGTACATGCGCAGTCGTGACAACGCTTCGTCCGTGCTTTCCCAATTAAGAGTACAATGGTTTTCTGTTTAAGAGTACATTCTACAGTGCAATGTTGTACAGCCCTTCCAATTCCTCAAGTACAGTGGTTGAATCGCCTTGTTTGATGTGCGTTGTCGCGGGGTGTTAATGGCAGTTGCTCGAGTTCTTGTCCTCGGTGTTCGTCGCGAGGGGTTATCAGTGCCTCATTGAGTTGAGGTGCTTGACTGTGAGAAGGTTCAGGTCCATGAAACGGTTAACGCAGTTCGCAAGACATCCCTCCTCGGTCTTGTCCAGCTTGCTGCCGCTAACGTTCCCGGTGAAGCACTTCGTCCAGCACACTTGCGTGAGCTGATGTGTCTCTGTTGCAGCACTGTCAGTCTCGTTCTCTTGTGCGCGGCGCATCGCTAAAACATACGGGACTGGATTTGCGACCGCTGTTGTTGAGTGTTGAGGAACTGGCGAAGTTCACCCTTGTCGGCGTCGTTGAGTTTGTCGAGGTCAACGTTCTCGATGGCAGCCTGGGTTGAGTTCATATTGTCGTATTGGACCGTTGGTCACTTGCTTGATGTCTAGTTTCGAGAGCTTGGTCGCGTTCCGGTATGAGATTTGGTCGCTCGGGTTCGAGGTTGCTCGTAGGAGGCAGGCTCCGAGAGAAGCTTGAGATTTCGCCAGTACGTAGGCCCACTGGAGTAGTGACCATGCAACGCTGCAATTGGTCAGACGTAGAAAATCAAGTCGATTTCACTCCATATGTCAAAGCCTACCCTATAGTTAGTGGTCTCGACCCCCGAGTTCAACATATCCTTGACAGCATGTGCGTCCAAGGTTTCTTAATAACCATACTAATAACCATAATACTACTAATAGTACTTTTGACTTGTTATGGGGCGAAGTACTCCAGAAGGCGGGCGTTTTGTCACTTTGCTTGACATTTCCGCTAATTACGCTCAACATTTGATCCTCACGTCGTTCAACGTGTAAGAAATTATCGTGCTTCCAGAAAAAATAAAACCTCATCACATGTTTATCATTGTCTACTTAAATCATTGCTAGTCTAACGAGCACTGCAGCCTCTGATCTTGGACCTGAGATGGCATATATTCGCCAAAGCCACTGATCATTGCGGCAAAACCCCAAGGATCTTGTCGCCTATCCCGTCGCTATGCCGAATGCTGCGCATGAGCCTGTTTACGTCGAAGGAATGTGAAACGGAGCTCATGACTGGACCCATGATGCTCGGAACTCCACAGCCTTGGGAACGGTGTAGACCACACCTTGCGTGTTGCCCGAGGGCAGGGAGGTGGCGTAGAAGGAGTTTGAATCGTCGTATGTGAGATACGAGCCGTCCCATCCGAACAAGGCAGCGTCTGAAGCAGAGATAGACGCGGCGCAGGTCAGCATATCCGCCTGGACGGCGCAAGGACCCTTGCTAGTGGTCAGAGTGAAGGTCTCGCCATCAGCATTGGGAATGGCCGTGTAAGTGGCTGGCGTACCACCGCCTCGGTACCAGGTTCCACTGCTGATCAGAAAGCCGCCAGACGAATCGGCGTCTGTGCTCACGTAGAGACGGCCCTTGCCCGAGAGCTGCGAGGGCGAGCCAGTGGGAATGGGCACGGAGGCTGTTGTCGTGGTGGTGCTAGGAGGCTGGGTGGTGTACTTGGGCAGGTACTTGATGCCGGTCGCCTTGCAGGTAGAGGGCGATCCCACAGGCTGGGCTGGGACAAAGTCGCCCTCCTGGACAGATCCCTTGACGTTGTAGTGGTACCACAACTCATTGACCTCGTTGTTGTTGTTGCAGTTGATGATGACATTCTTTCCATGCTGAGCAGTAAGAGCCGCCTGGATTTGAGCGAGGGTGTAGGTCGCAGTCGATGAGGGCATGATGCCAGCCTCAGCGAGCCAGTCGTAGGAAGGCAGTGTCTGGAATAGCTTCACAGCGCGCTTGAAGAAATCAATCACATCGCGGCGAACCTCAAAGTCCGCGTAGCAATCGGGCTCGAGCGTGCTGATACACGTGCCGTGCTTGTTGAACTCGTGCTCCCAAAAGTCCTCGTCGTCTCCCTGGTAGTCCTTCCAGTACTTCTCCATGTACTTGAGCGTGCAGGGAGCGCTCTGTGTGAGAATCTCAGTGATGTTGCTGACCTCACGCTGAGGAGCGCAGAACTGCTCGTAGCTCCCATCGCAATTGTCAGGCCTGTAGGTTGGTAGAGCAGTCAGCAAGCAAGCTCGGCGGCGGACATGGCAAACATTGGGAGACCTACCACAGGCCGTGAATCGTCCAGCTGTCGGCAGGGCCAGTGGAAGGGTCTGTATCCCAAAACTGAGTGAGCAGTAACTGGCCTCCCGGACTATTGAAGCAGCAAGTATCCTTAAAGTCCCCACTGGCATGGCAGCTCAAAGGGGCGTCAGCCGGGCACTCATCAGCAAACAGGGAGGCAGCTGCTGCTGGGCCTGCGACCAGCAGGGTTGCAAGGAGTTTGGACAGCATGATATCTGTATCTAACGATAAGTGAGATGGGCCTGAGAGCAGTGAGAGCAGCTATAGCCCATCAATCCTGCGATGGGGAAGGCACCACGCTGATCATATAAGTAGTAGTGCCAGGTGCCAAGCACATGTGTAAGGTAGACGGCGGTTCCCGTTCAGCTGTCGATAAGGCATGTATGTGGCTGTACGCATCGCATCTCCTTCCCTGCATGGCAGACGCATGATTTCAAAGGTCCTCGAATCATTGCCTATCGGAACGAGGAGCGCTTCACGTGTTGATCGGAGCAAGCATGGTCAGGCTTGTCGAGTTCAAAAGGACCATCTAGCACGTGGTTTGCTGCGCGGACCCTGCTCGTGTATGGCACTGAGTCTATCCGAGCTAAGCCAGGCAAGGTTGTGGGCGCCTAAACAACCATAAGTCCTGCAGCAGCAAGGGCCTTGGCCAATTTTGCCAAGGTCCAGTCATTCGAATGCCAGTGCATTCTCCGGGTAGCCGGCAAAGTGAGGCACCAGATGGGACCTGCAGCGCGTTGCCCGCAGGAGATCGCCGCCTGGAACCTCGAGGCTCGCATCACGCCCTCCGGCATTTCCATAACATGCAGCACATGGGCTGCGACTTGGTGAAACCAGGCCCTCAGTGCGCAACAAAGCATCTGTAATTGGATTGTCTAATGTATATGCAGACCGGACCCACGATAACGCGAACTAGCGATCAAGTACATGTAGAACATGCTCCGGACATTCCTTTAGATCCAACGATAGTATCGGGCCCAGCCCAAAATCAGAGCGCAAAGAAAGATCATGCAACTGATGATGCCAAAAAATGGCGCCAGATTGTTCGAGTCGACATTCATAAAAGGAACAGGAACGTTCATGCCGAAGACACCACTGACAAGGTTGAGCGGAACCAGAACGGATGCAAGGAAGGTTATCTTGCTCAGAACACGATTCATCTCGGTACCCTGCGAAATGTTGTTGATGGACAAGGTGGCGAGGTAATTGCTGTGGGCGCGCGACAGTATCTTCTCAAAGTGACTGAGGTTGGTGGCCATGGTGACAACGTGATCCTGGATGTCGCCCAGGTACATGCCAATGTCCATGCGTGGTGTCACTTGCCAATTCTCATTGCAGCGCTTGGTGAAGCCACGGAGCACATCAGCTTTCCCGCCGAGCAGACGCATCAAAGCCATGCAGTTTTTGCGAGCTTGGCCGATGGAACGCAAGAACTGACTCGAGTCGTCCTCGCGCATGATGAACACTGCATCCTCAATGTCGTCTGCTTCCCGCTCGAGCTGGTGGATCACGGGGCCGAAAGAGTCGACAATGTTGTCACTGCGTATGTCAGCCAATGCGTAAGGAGGACGACCAATGATGAAACACTCACATGAGTGCGTAGCAGATCCAGTCGCTGCTGAGTGACATGTAGTCCTTGAGCGCGGTGATACGGTTCCGAACTTGCGTAGCGTGGGAGTTGGGCGCAAAGCTGAAGCTCAGAGTGCCCTCGCGGAACACAATCACGTACAGATTGAAGGGCTCGAATTCTCGATCCCCGTCAGATTCCACAACGGCGTTGAAGGAGCGGAAGCAGGCGAAGTAGTACGAGGGGAAGAGCTCGATCTTCTCACGAGCCTCCTGGAACTTGATATCCTCAATAGTCAGGGGATGAATGCCAAAAGCCCTGCAGATGCCCTGAACCTCCTCGCGAGAAGGATTGTTGCAGTTCAGCCACCAGACACCATCAGTCTCATCCTCCGGAAGCTCAAACAGCCCGCGGATGTCTTCGCCCGGCAGTACGAGGTCCGCAAGATCAGCAGCGTGAATGGTGGATTCCCAGGCGGTGGAGAAGAAGCTGTAGCGATTGCTGTCCGTGGGCCCTGCATGCTGGGACTTGAGCTTCTCCACGTCATCAACCCCTTCCTTCTCGCGCGTGACGGAGTCGTCCGATGGCATCTCAAGGATATCACCATCGCTAGTGGCGACCTGGGTGCGACGGGTATCAGCATGCTGCAGCTGTAGGTTGTCGAAGCTGGCTGTTTCTTGTCGCTCTCGGCTTTGAATGCGAGCGGCCTGCTCGGCGTGCATGAAACACTCCAGGAATTCGAAATCGATGTAGAGCTTGTCCTTGCGGTGCTTGTCGTCATGAGGAAAGCAAACGTCTTCCTCGGCAGTATTTGTCGTAAGGATGCTGCCGTTGTCCTTGTCGACCGTCCGTGGCTTGCTCCGGTAGCTGCGGCGACTGGAAACCGACATGGCCCGGCTCACGCCATCATCGTCCGGAGACTCGGAGAAAGACAAGTCTCTCTCGCGGCGCCGAGCGGCCGCGAACGCTTTGACAGAGTTTGGGGGAGATGGCTCTCTTTCCTCGTGCACAGACTCGATAGTTGGGCGACGAGCTCGTTGGTGCCTCGGAGCGGGATCAGCACCTCCATCGTCGATGATAGCCTCTTCAAAGTCGCGGACTACAATGGTAGGGGTATCTGGTTCCCTGCCAGACTGCAGTTGAGCCTCCCGAGCATACAGGCTGTCGTGCGTACCTCGACGAGGCCTGTGCGTGCTTGACGAATGATGACGGCGGTGGTCGTCAAGTTCGGGGACAGGGGTGTGGTACCCTGGATCCTCAATGGTTTCTCCGTGGTCAGACATGTCGATAGGTCAGAGCGGGACCGTTCTATGTTGCTTGGAATCTGGCGGCGTAGAATCGCTCGCTTGTGCTAGTTGAACGAGATTTGCGTATACTTGATATCGCTCGAGCCACAGGCAGACAGCAAAGCCGGATTATGCAAATGCCACCATGTTTGTTCGGGGGAGACTTCTTGGCTTCCCTTCAGTCTACCAGACTTCGCACCCGGCGCATCAACGGCGCCGAGTCCTCGTATGGTAACAACGCGAAAGCCTGCGATCCGGCGTTTTCCGGCGCGCAAATGTTGGATATGGTTGGAAAGACAGAAGTCGAAAGGCGAGTAGTGTTCGGGGTATATCGTTCGAAACCAGTTATGGAGGCTTCCGGTTGACTCCGCTGTAGATCCAGGTGCCTGGCCCAAGAAGCGGAGAGGGGTTGAGGGCTTTGCGAGCGAATAAAGCCAACTTGAAGGTTTCAAAGGGTCCGTGGGAAAAGCGTCGCGCAGAAGAACTGCTGAGCGAGTTGTGGAGGCTGTTGGCGACGGATGCAAGTAGTCAGTCAAGGGTAGAGAACCGCATTGATCGAGAAGCCGTTGATGCTTGGTGGAGAGACTGTCGCAAGATGACTCTGTTGTTCGGTCGCTATGCGTCGAGTGATATAATAAAAGTAGGTTGGTGCGAGAGGGAAATCTTGTTCAAGGCGCAAGGGTATTAGGGGAGAAAACCCTGCCTGCCTCCGTCATGAGTCTAAAATTTGCATGTGTTTGTACCCTGGTACCTTGAGGCCGCCGCCAGCCTCGCGCCCGCTTTATTGTGTCCAGCCCGCCGTCGCCCCCTCCTTTATTACTACTTTGATGGCCCCGGACACAATAAATTGAGAAGACACTAATGGACGCTGACTCGATCAGACACTGCCCAATGCCCAACGCCCATACGCCCATAATTAGTAGAGCACCCAGTCCCTCCCTGCAGCGGGCCAGCGGCAGCCCGGGCAGTCCCAGCACCGACCAGAGTCTAGACGCGTCCGCCTGCGCAAGTGACTACGTACCAGTAGGTAGGCACGTATTCTGGGTTGGTGATGACATAGGCCACAATTGGCGACCACAATGAAAGGACTGAAACGGATCAATCGTTGCAGCTCGCTGAATCAACTGGCTTTCCCTGTACCGTTTACCGTAGTGACTCCAGGTACTGAGCGGTGGCGGGACATCATTGAGGTACATGTATCCGTAAGGTAAGGTCCGGAGTACAGTAAGTATGACCTGAAGCGGACCCCAGGTTGACTTCCACCAATTCCAGGTCGCCACCTCTCTGCAGCCACTTGCTCAACGTGTCCACCACCGTCTCTCCTGTTGCTATCGACGCCTAACGCGCGGCAGGCCAGATCACAACAGTTGCGACACAATTAGTTGCTGGTAATTACCGGACGCAGTAGCCGCCAAATCACCGCAACTCGCCGCCCGAAATGGCAGAGGAAATTCTCGATAAAGTTCGCGATGTTGTCGAGGGCGAGATTGTATGAATGCCTGCTATGCCGCTCCCAGCGAGCTCCCCAGAGGGGATCAGCCGTCCGTCCAGCTAACAGTTTGCACTTAGGACTTTAAAGGCCAGAAACGTGCGGAATTGATCGGGACACTCCTTCTCGCTATCACCGGCGTACGTGACCAAATACGAAATCCAACGGACAAGCCTGGAACTAACAACATCACAGCTCATCGCGTTCAACGTTGGCTGGGTGAAGCAGGACATTGTATTGGCTATGTATCTCGGGGGAGCTGGGACAGCACTGTCATTTATCGCGGTGGTCCCCCCGTGGCCATTCTACAACAAGGACCCTGCCAAGTGGTTGCCCGTAGGCTCTGGCCTGACGGTAGGATAACGGGCGCTGGAGGACGCAGCTCCAAACACATGCTTTCTTCCCTGCCGAGGTCTATCATGTTCCCCATGCTGTAGTCCAAACCGAATCCCGCAGTCGTGAGCGTGGTTTTATTTCCCTTGTTGATACCCATTGTCTTCGTAAGATCGTGGCGCGTGATACTCGTGCTGGCCTGCCCCTCAGCGTCCGTACTTCTGGAACTCCCAGTCACGATTGTCGAGCGGGCAGACGGATCGGGCTTTGAGCCATCGGGAGATGCAGTGGAAGTGGAAGGCATGCTAAGGATGACATGCGTCAGCACAATGCGACGAAACAACGAGTGCTCACTTACGTTGCAAATGCCCCAGGCAACTGTGCATTCCTCGCTGGTCGCGGAGGCTTGGTTGGCCTGGCATTCGATACCTGGACGCAGGAGTCAGAAAACGAATCAGGCAGTCTCTGGACTGCATCAAACCTACATAGATCCATGATGTGGTTTCGGCAAATAGCACAGTTGTCCACGACAATGTCCCACGCCCACAGAGCGACCGCATTCCACTGTGCTTTGTCAGTACGCTTCGTAGTTCCCGGGAACCCTGGAGATGATCCTTCAAGTACCTTTTTGACCTCGAACTTCTTTCTGGCCTCGATCTCGGTCTTCTTGCCAGTCGTTGGGGCATCCGCCATCTCGACGTCGGCCATGTTTTTGGCGGTGCTGACAACAAACGTGCGGGACTGGCGCTGTGCGGGATAGTCGAGCGTTTGGATGTCGTGGGAAAGAACCGAATAAGCTCCTCTGTGGAGTTATAGATGAAGGCAGGTGGTAAACGAGGTGCCCGCAAGTTGAGGTTTCCAGTCTGAGAGCTCTGATGCGAACAGCAGCAGCACGCTGCGGGAGACTAAGCCGCAGGCTTGGCATTCGCATGACCCCACGCGGGCGCCAGTCATCGATCACGTCTGCATGGTGGGTGGCTTTGCTGCTGCTTACTACCTATTTTACCTTACTACAACTCACCAGGACTGGCTAATGGCTGAGCACTTCCCAATGGCTGGTTCTTTAAATACGGTCTGGATCTCGCAGACCAAGATGTGTTGGGCCAGCGGCAATAATCTGTTGGTGCTGTGATTCTACTACGTACGTCTGGGTTGATGAATGGCAATGACGGTCACTCCTTGATCCTTGGATGACTTCTGTGACATGCTAAAGCAATATCCAGAATCGTGTATTCCGTATGGATGTCGCTGAATCCATTCTTCGTGAATTCTACATGTGCGACAGCCCGATACGTACTGGGCATTGTGCACCCAGAGTCCTGAACAGGTGGCATTGAGGAGGCTACCTTGATGCTTCACTCCTGGATGCTCTTAGGTTTGACTTACTTGAAAATGCGTACTAATCTAAACCATATAATTGAGGTACGTACATGCGCTGGCTTGCCTCAGTTAGCTTCGCGTTCAGGGTACCTCAGCTCAGTCACACTTGAGCGGGCTGCGGATACCAACAATAGCAATAGCACATTTACACCACTGTTTCCGGCCGGGTAGCTTCCCCTCCCTTTGAACTCCATCTTCAGTCACTGCCCCATTTCTTGCTTTCCCATCTCCCAAGCTTCAAGAGAACTGCGAGGAGCACAATCTTGCGCCAAATCTTTTCCCGACATATCGCACCATGATTCACTGTCGCCAAGTCGATCTATCGACCACGTTATTCTGATTACCTCTGCGCTAAATCAGCCCTTCCTCGCAACAAAAGTCGACAGAAGCCACAGGCGCATGACGTTTTGAACTCCATTTGCATCAACAAACCCGCACACTATGAACGACCCAACAGCACAAACGCAGCCGACGCCGAACCGACGGCGGCAAGGACGTCCGAATGGACGACAAAAGGCATATGCATCTGAGAACGATATGGGCGTGATCGATGCGCCGCAATACAACTTGAGTCCTGCCACGCCTCAGAAGGACAACCTGGGTTCTTCAGCAGGACGTGATCCTCGCACCACCGGGTCGAAGCAGCGCCAGAAGAATAAGGGAAACAAGAACAACGCTGCCTCGACATCACCAGAACCAGATTCTCATCATCATCGCTCGACGCCCCGGCAAACCAACTCGACGAAAGGTCTTCAGCAGGCGGCATTCGCTGGCGCTACGTTCCACGCATCTCCTGCTCCCGATGCATTGCCGATGCCCAGCTTCTTCTCCAAGATGGCAAATGGCTCCCCGGCCAGCAAGGAAGCCTCCCGACCACTCCAGCAGCCCTCGCCTCCCAACACCGTGAACGAAGCTCCCACACCTCAACGGAGGGGCAGCGGCGTTTCAGGAAGTGACTCACCTCTGGATTTTATGTTCAAAGCGCACCGCGAAGAACGAGAGCGCCATCGCCACGGCAGCGCTCCCACCGGACCATCCGTGTCAACGCCCCCAGCGCACTCGCCCTACGGGGCTGGCCCCCAAAAGGCAGCGCACTCGCCACACAACAGACCGATTTACACGCGACACGTGTCTAGTGGCGTTCTCGACGATGAAGAATCTCGAGGACATTTTGGCCAGCCCATGGGTCCAGCTTTCTCGACGCCCTATCAAGACCGCATCAAGGCGGCCAGGCCCAGTAACAACAGCCAGCGGCCATCGGGCGCCGACAGCACTCAAATGCAGCCTCAGAATATGGCGGAAGATCCGTCCGAGGCCCTCAAGCGATTTTTGTTCAGCGGTAACAACACGGCATCAACTCAGTCGAGTGCTCAGCCTGCCCAGTCGGGCACCGCGAACCAATCTTCAGTCTCGAGAACTTGTGACGGCACATCTGGCGGCCACAACGAATCTATCCAGGACATGGAGGACAGTCTACGCAGAATACTCAAAATCGAACCAAACACTACGGCGCCGCCCACTGAGCGCCGTCTCTTCATGGGATAGACAGTACTTGCCGGCTTCAGCAGTTTTCCCTCAGGCTCTCTGTAGGAGTCCTTAGTTCTTCTAGTATTTGTGCTTATTACGGCGGAGCGTGGTTGCCTGGGCATGGCAGTCATTCGGGCTGGCGTTGGCTTGTGTCTTACATGGTCTAGCATGCATTTGGATCTTGATTATACTTGGTAGATGTGCGGTCAAACCGCACGGACATGTGGCAGTGTTTGCATGATACCCCTGACGAGTGGAGTCCTCTTCCAGTGATGGGCAGGCTGGGCCTGGAGACTGGCACGAGCATCATATCATTGACAGTGTTAAGAGAACCTTAACAAGATATCGTCTCCTCGCTTGCTGTAGAACCGTCTTGTTGAAATGTCCATACCCTGACCCCGAACCACCCGATGCATTAATTTAGCGGGAAGATCACCTCATCTCGTCTTTGCATGTCCCCTCTTCTTCTCCTCGCGCCCGTAGAACACTCCGTGAGACAGCATCAGATATTTGGAGAAGAAGTCCTCCGCAAAGTCATCAAACTTGATGTAGTCTGCTCCCAGACGATACGCTGCCGCAATGCCGCTGACGCAGGCTAGCTCATGCATGTTCTATCACGGTCAGTCAGTCCACTGTCACATGGGAGCAGGGGGAGAACTATCGTACCACTAGGGTCCACGACCCGGCAAAGTAGGTGCTGTTTTTGCCGTGCAGAAACATCATGCCTGGCACGACGCGGACATAGTGTTGCCATCTATGGCCTAGCTGGTGCCACCAGTTGCGCTTGATAATCTTGTTCTCGTCAATGTCGTCAATCGTCCATAGGTGCTTCAGTTGCTTGTTCAAGAAGATGGACTGATACACGGGCTCGAATGCCTCGTTTGCTTTGGCGTTGGCAGTCTTTAGCTGATGCTGATAGTTGCTGCAGTTGAAGCTCATTTCGATGAGTCGGGGATCCGACTGGTACGAGTACGTGTAGTACATGGGTCTGAACGGTCCGTTCTTGTCCTCTCCCTTTGCAAACGCAACCTGCTTCTTCTGCTCGTCCGATCGCGGCTCGGCACACAGCTCCGGCTTGAAGTGTGTCTCGTAGTGCCTCTCGAAATAGTCCTTGTCCGTGTGTGTGACCGTAATGTCATCGTAGAAGGCCGCGCCGCCCAGAACGAACTTCTCCTTGAACGTAGCTGAGCGCCCGAGAATTGTCAACGCATCGTCGGCAAGAACACACAGGACCATGTCATCAAATTCCTCGTCGGTAGTCTCGCTACTGGAGAGATCTCGTATCCGGAGCTTGACGCCATTGCTGCTGCGCGAGATGACCGTCGTGACTTCAGTGCGAGTGCGGATGGCGACTCCCTTGGACTCGAGGTCAACCCGCCACTTGCGGTAGAACTCGTGGAGATGGTCGAAAGTGACCATGGTTGGCAAGTTTGGTAGCAGTGTCTCCGCATCATAATCCCATAGCTTCATGTTCGGGTCTTGAAAGAGCCGCTCAACTATGGCGGACGGGACATTGGCTGTTTGGTTTCCTGTGCCGAGGAAGAGGGCGATGAGAGGGTATACCATCTTGTCGCCAAAGTCCTTGCTGAAGAAAAAGACGCGCAGCATGATACGGATAGGAATCAGCCCAAAGAACGGCATGGCCCACCGGATGAACTTGAGGAAGAAGCCGAATCGTTTAATGTCCTTGTCGTACTTGGCGACCAGCTTACTGGGGAAGACATTGGTCCAGAACCCGTCCTCGCCTTTGCCGAACGCGACCTGCAGAGAGACTTCCTGTGGTGGATGGTTATACTGCTCGAAGAAGTTGAATGTGTGCTTGAATATTTGCGACCCTCCCTGGACACCGTTGTTCATCCACGGTGCACCGTATTTCTGCTCATCGAGGGGGATGGAGGTGGCCTGCCCGCCAACAACCTCGCCCCTTTCGAGAAGAGTGACCTTGAATTTGTCGGGGTGGTTTGCCAGTGTCGCCGCGCAAGACTACAGGCTGTCAATGATGATCTACTCATGTTCCGGCCTATTATGAGTAACTTACCATACCGGCAGCGCCGCCGCCGACAACTACAACATGCTTCTTGTTGCTAGGTCCCATCTTGAACTGTGGTCACACCAAAACCTGTGCCCACCTATGCAGAATGGGAAATTGATGTTGAAATACTCAAGAGATGCGTGAGAATATTAGTCTACAAACACTATGTTGCGGCGACTCTGAAAACAATTCAATCGCACCAAAGCGTTGGCTACATTCGTGGACGTCATTGACTCAGCCTGATGCGTCCTTAGCTGATGAGCAATGGTCATCCGTCACTGGTGCGAAGATCCCGCGAGCGAGATGACGGATGGATTGTATTTCCAAGGAGCATTGCTTCCGGATCACACGGAAAACATCAAGATGAGTTAGTGACCTGAACGCGTCTAGGGGAGATTTGAAGTCAAAGGCATGTAGTAAGGTAGAAGAGCTCATTGACTCTCACCGCGACGCGAAAACTCCAACGCCACCATGTGAAAGTCATTGCAGGCATGACGTCACTCACCCCACGGATTGATCGCTTCGCTTTGAGCTCTCAGTTACCGTAGGTACCTTACCTAAGGTAACCTGGGCTTAAGCAGATATCTTTTCTTACATATACTACTTAAAGAGAGACCAAGCTTGCACGAGCGTATCAAGTGCTGTCTCCGCATAACATTCCATTTTCCATTTGAAGAATACGTAAGCTAGATAGGTGCTCCTTCATCCTACCACATCTATCGAGCAGTCGCAGTCAGGCTTAGACTAAGGCTCCATGTCTTTGCAACGCCGATTTTCTTGTGCCACTTGTTGTATCACTGCTTTTATTCGCTCTTCGCAGTGCGCTCGTTCGTGGCCCAAACACAAGGGGCCTCATCGTATAGCAGTTCTCTACACGGATGCACGTGATTTCGCGTTACACCCGCCAAGATGCGACGCGTCGCCTTCCCCAGCTAGCCTTCCACATGAACCAGCCATCAACGTCACGCCAAACAGATACCGCTGGCTCCTCGCCATGGCCACGCCTGAGAATACTGCGTCACGCCCCGTCGGCGAGATGACCGATGATGAAGCGCTTGAATACGCCATAGCTTTGTCGATGCAAGATGAAGAACACCCCCCTTCGCAACAACAACAGCAGCAGCCGCCGCTAAATCAAGATGAACTACCGAAGCCTGCTGAGCCTAGCACAAGTCAAAATCTTGGATTGGCGCAATTAGATCGGAGAGCTATGGAGCAAGAGCGCCTGAAGAGACTCGCGTCTAAGCGCCCTCGACCTGCAGCCGATGATGACCAGGATGATGTGGTCGAAATTTCACCACCGGCCAAGAAAAGAGCTATATCTCGCGAGCCTAAAATAACGGCTCTGCAATTCCCGAGAGGTGTCGTAAAGAAGACATGGGCCTACGGCTATCCGCGTTTGGGAGACGACATCAAGATTGAAGAGGTCCTGCAGAAAGATCGCCTTGAGCTGGCTCTGCTCTCGTCGTTCCAATGGGATGACGCATGGCTAATGTCCAAAATAGATACGGGAAAGACGAAGCTCGTTCTCCTGGCCTATGCGCAAAACGAAGCCCAGGTATGCGAGCCTTCTCGGCCTTTGTTGAGCTGTCACTGGACGTTTGCTGACTGTCCCCCCTAGCAGCAGGATATGCGTGAGAACGCCCCGCCCAGAGTGCGATTCTGCTTCCCACCGATGAAAGGCTCAGGTTCTATGCATTCCAAGCTTCAACTTCTCAAATACTCCGACAGCCTGCGTATCGTGATTCCATCGGGCAACTTAGTTCCCTATGACTGGGGCGAGACTGGCGTGATGGAGAATGTGAGGCGCCGCATTTTGAACCTATACCAAAGAGCCTTGGACTGACCAACTCAGATGGTGTTTCTCATTGACCTGCCTCGCTTGTCGTCTGCCAACACGTACGAAGAGACCAAATTTAGTCAATCACTGGCGCGATTCTTGCAAGAGGCTGGCGTTGATGTCAAAATGATCGACAGCGTGCGCAATTACGACTTTTCGGAGACCAAGAACTTGGGATTCGTGTATACCATGTAAGCCGTGCTTCCCTCCACCGACTGTCTCGGGGCCAGGGGCTGATTCACAATACAGACCAGGTGGCCACGCGGGCGAGCAACAACGCGAGAACGGTGAGTTGCAGGCTTTGATGCACTGCAGACTTTCAACAGAGACTGACATCAGCATAAGGCTCTTGCGGTTTGGGAGAATGTGTGAAGAGTCTCGGCTTGGCTACAACTAGTCCCATCCAAATCAATATTGTCGTACGTGCCCGCTCATCCCGACGGACAAGCTGTAAGGCGAATCCAGGCTAACGCCAATTTCTAGGCATCCTCGCTAGGCTCCCTCAACTACGACTTTCTCGAAGCTATGTACGGAGCATGCCAAGGTACGACCGAAGGAACAAATAGAGATGCTGGGCCGGCTCGGACTAACACTCTTGATAGGTGATACTTCGCTGCAAGCAGACAAGACAAGATTGTCCCGGAAGACAGGCATGAAACCGACAGAGCCTCCGGATCATCTCCAGAAGCACATGTTGATTCGCTTCCCGACCATGCAAACTGTGTCTCGCAGTCGGGGTGGAAAAGGGGTGAGTGCTCGTGGGCGACGGCAGTGGAGACTCCGGCGGCGACTGGGCGTGGTGTAGTACAATGCTAATGGAATCATTTCGATCTAGGCAGGGGGTACGATTTGCCTCCAATCGAAATGGTGGAACTCGGCCACCTTTCCCAAGAGCCTTGTACGGGACTGCGTCAGCACACGAACGGGCATGTTGATGCACAACAAGCTGATTATTGTTACCCGGCCGGACGAGGCGGGGGTGGGCGGCTGGACTTATGTCGGGAGTGCGAACTTGTCCGAAAGCGCTTGGTAAGTCATTCCCTATCATCCACGTTGCCTGGCATTGTGCCCACTGGGGGGCAGCATCGCTCCCCGGATACGTTAGGTTCCTTCACACGGACAGGCGGGACATGCGTGATTAGTATGTAGGGGCACACGTGGCTGACCTGCGCTTCAGGGGTCTTTTGTCCAAGAACTCCAAGTTGAACTGCCGGAATTGGGAGTGCGGCGTCGTTATACCTGACGGCACGTTGGGAAGCAGCATTCCCATCCCCTTGCAACTCCCTGGCCGCCCATACGAGGCAACCGATGAGCCTTGGTTCAGCCGTCAATGGTGATCTGCGCTCTTGTTATCTGTCATGTTGGTCCCGCCATCGTCAACGGCAGAAATCAACAAGGCGTTCCTCACTAGTACTAGTCGGACGGAGTACTGGTAATAGGCTTGCAGCACACCAGCAAGCGAGACTTGGGCATGTGCGGCTAGACGCGCAAGGAGCGTTCACTCTCGCTTATCAAGTGGGCCAACAAATGCGCTCTCGCCGTGGCATGTTCTGTTCTGGGCTTCACTTTTCAGCGCCCCCGCTCGTGGTGTCCGCCCGTTCGCCGCACGGCAGGCTGGCTGATGGAGGAGGGGGCGCCATGGGTAATCACATACCACGCAGCGACAAATGGCACGCATCCTAAGACGAAGCCGCGTCGGGCCCTGGCGCTCGAATCCACAGAGCCAAGATCGTACGGCGAGCAAGTGTCTTGTGCATCGTATGGTCAATGGACACAGGTTGCTGTCCGGATTCATGTGGCACTCAGATCACGGGCGCATGTTGGCTAGACGAAGTAGATTCATAATGCATTCTGCAATGCTCGATTATGATCTAATATAAATTAAGAATACTTTTGATCCCCAAGCACCGTTCCAGAGGCGGAAGAGGTATCCAAATTAAGCAAGCTGCTTGGTGTACCTGCACCTCCAATGTACTAAAACGCCCAAGCACCGTTGTTGATAGTTGCCGCCATCGCGAGATGGCTTTCGTCGACATCTATCGAGACCCGTGTAAAAATGAAGGAGACACCCTGGATAAAACAAAACCTGTAACACCAGCGCTGTATGATATAATAATTAGTCGAAGAGTCATTCTCCTTGCGCCTCATGCTCATGAGCCATGACCCTTCTTCGTCTCGAGGCTCTCTCTCGCCTCAAGCTGCTCTTGCGATAGGATTGAGCACACCTGCTCCTAAAATTGAGAGGCTCCTCCGTCGTGTTCGTCGACAAAGTAAAAGGGTGGGCCGCTCATGCCGCCGTGCCCACCTCCGTTCTCATCCCGCTGATCCTGCTGGGGAAGGCCTGCAGACGAGCCAAAGCCGTTGGCCATCTCGGGGTGAAATAAAGCTGAGTTTTCTGGAGTATATGCTGTACCACCCTGAGAGCCGCCAGTCATGCCATTGGACTGAGGGTGAGACTGGAAGTCAGCAGCGCTAGACAGCATGTACTCGCTGCCGTTCTGAGTAAAAGAGTTATCAAGGCCACCAAAGTTGCTACCTGGAAAGGGGCCTGAGCCGGAGGCCATATGACCAGGGTTGAAATGCTGCATCGCGGCATGGTTGGCGTCATGATGCGGCTGTTGCTGTTGCTGTTGTCCATGCTGTTGGAGCTGGAGCTGAGCCTGGTGATGTTGCTGTTGCTGAGCCGTGAGCTGCATATGAGCATAGTCGTTGTTCAGCATGTCCATCGAGTGGCCTGTGGATATATGTTGCATGTGATCCTGATTATACCCCGGCAATGGATTTGCGGCCATGCCTGCAGGGAAGCCCATAGGAGAGCCTTGCGTATGTTGCATGTGCATGGAGGCCACGCCAGTGGGGGAAAAGGGGTGGTTTAAGTCTGGTGAGATCTGAGGGCCCTGCGCGCCGACCTGGAGGAAATGCGCAGGAATATAATGGCGTCCGTCCGCCATGCGTACTGCTTCGCCGCCAAAATCGCTGATGGTGGAACGAAATTGTTGCTGGAAGAGCAGTTCGGCGCGGATCCGGAGTCCGCAGAACTCCTGACTTGTGCTGGGGCGCCTCAATTTGCCGGACAGGGCATCCTCGATTGTGTAGTAAGAGACCAGATGGTGGTTAATGTTGTTGTACTTAATGCTGATGGTCTTCTTGACCAGGCCATCTGGTTCCTTGAAGTCGTAGCTATCAGTTAGGGAGCCGATGATCTCGCGAAGAGGATCTCTAGGCGGCTCTACGCCCTCGGCAGTAATATGGTCGCCGCTACTGGGGCCGGGGCAGCCAGGCCCGGAGTCCCCGTTGGTGTTCAATGAGAGGCGGGACGCATCCGCTGACAGGTGAGCTGAGGGTGGCGTATGCTCCTTTTTGACGATGCCGCCGCTCTGCGAGCGTCTGTTGCTGCCGTTCTCGCTCTTGTTCTTGAGAGCACGCTTCTTCTCGCCAGGGTTGTTGCTGGGAATAATCTCGCGATACACCAAGAAGTTGTTCAAGATGCGACTGGGGCTCCAGTTCACTCCGTCAGTCCAGCGCTTGATCCCGGAGGACTCTTCTTCATAGACAAAGATGTGCCCGCTCTTGATAAGCTGGGGGCGCTCCCGGTCGTGAGGCCGACGGGGACAGTGGTTAAATTTACCTGAGAGACAGGCCTCGAACAAGATCAACGCATCAAACGTGGTGTAGACCTCCCCTTCAAATGTTGGTAGCAGGCCTCCGGTCGTGTTGCCTCCGCTGTGCGAAGGTAATGAGTTGTTGGCCATGACAGAAGCGTTGGCACTCTGTGTATGGCTTGCAAAGTATAGGTGAGTTGAGTAGTATAGGTGAGTGGAGTAGTATGGGTGATTTGTGTAGTATGGGTGAGTTGGGTAGTATGGGTGAGTTGAGTAGGACTTTGATTGTGATTGACGTTCAACACAGGATTTACTCTGTGATCAAAAGTTTGGTGTTAGGTCAAAGTGGTCGAGGTGGAAGTGCGGGCTGGGCAAACTGTATTTAAACACAGCACTCAGTGAGCGTAGGGAAATGGCTCAACCAGACTTGGTGAGTTCGAAGAGTAGATGACACAGTTCGCACCTCGAGACCAGATATTGTTGCGAGGCTTGCCCTGAATACGAGCTTGTTCGGAGAACAGGGTACGTGAGGCGTTAAGACCGTCTCGTTTTGTGTCGGGTGATGGACAAGTGCAGTCAAGGTTTCGACCGCAACGTCAACGGCGTCGTTGGAGAGGATATCAAGGTGGAAGCCCTCAACTTGATATCGTTGTACCGCGTGACTCAAGCGGCGCACAAAGGTGCAGCAGTTGGCTTGAGTAGCAATTGGGCGAACAGGAGAGTTGAGCGGTAGCAAGGCTAGCAGATATGTTTTGCTGGTGCCGATGGAACCTGGAGGACTTGTCGCGGAGCGTGGTTGGCAGCTTCAAAGCGCAGCCAAAGGGAAGAGTACCCGTGTTGTTGCGGCCGCGAGGGTGCTTGAGATGCTAGTGTGAAGTGACAGTACCGGATCAGCAGGCAAGCGACCCTTGGTGGGAGAGAAAGCGGTGCAGCGTTCCAATTGCAATGAGTCTGTTGACACTGTCGAGAGGATCGCGGACGTCCAAGGTGGAACGCAGTCGTGGGCGATGGTGGCAGAAGATGGTTTGGCCGGTGAGGAACCTTGTTTCATACGGAACGGCGCGAGGTGCACCAGGAACATAAAGTTAATGTTGCTAGCAGGTCAACAAAGGTGGCATGCAAGTGCCCACATCCCCCCGATGGACTGAAGTGCTGGCGACCCGAGAGGCGATCGTCTCTGCCCGTCAGGAGCGAAGCTTGCCGTCTTTGCTCTGCTTGCGGTCGATGCTGCCGTCTGTGGTGCTTTTGAGAGCAGGGCGGGCAAGCGCGGACCGGCAGGGAAACAGACAGGCAAGCAAGCAGGAAGGAGGGAAGGAAGGAGACTAGAGCTAAGCAAGCCGGAGAGTAGTAAGAAGTGGTAGGTGGGCAAGTAAGATAAGGTACCTTAAGGTAAGGTAGATGAAGGATCGCGCGGTGAATGACTGTGAAGAATTACTTGGTACTGGTGAGCTGAGGTGAGTTGAGAGTTGAGGTCGATTTGCATGCGCTGGTCTACTAGTACACATGCAGTCAGTCGGTTCATCCGCCAGCCTGCCCGCCCGACCAGCCCAGCCAGTCAGCCATGGTCGTATAGGACGGACGGACAGGCAGACAAACGGACAGACTGGATAGACAGACGGACAGACGGACGCGGCTTGACTGGACGGACCAATGCCATGTCTTCTGTCTCAGACCTGTTGCTCGTCTCCTAGATCCGGGGGTCGGTCGGGGAGGGCCAGGGGGGTTGCCGCCTAGCATCCGAGCTGCGTGCTACGTCCTAGTCTACTAGCTGGCGGCGTTCCCTCATGAGCTTGCTTTCGGTCTAGTCTAGTTGGGAGCCGGCAACGGCGTGGGACCGTTCTGCGCCCTCCTCGGCGTCTCTGGAAGCTGGGACCAATGGGCACGCCTGGGCAGCCAGTCCCACCATCCAGGTATCCCATGGCAGTCCACTTTCCTCCCCCCTCCCCCCTCCTTCGATGTTCCCGACTTTCGAGTTGACGTCTGCAATCGTGGATGATAATTAGTATGGCACGGGTTTTCTGACTGTCCTTTCCCCCTTCATGTGAGTGGGCCTCCAAGCCCAGCCAGGACGGACTCGGCGAAGTGTTGGACAGTAGGCGAACGAACTTGACACGATGCTGTGGGTTGAGGGCAGGACTTGGGACATGGAGGGTGCTTTCGTGGTGCCTTGGGCAAAGCAAGCACTAGTGTATCCGTAGAGAGAGACTTGCCGTTTCCAGCAGTCCCGCTCGCCCTGGGTGGCCGTCAATGGCTTTAGGTAAGACATTTATCTCGATCAGCAACAACCAAGTTACCTTGCCCACATGCCACAGCACTTATGCACTGCAGCCTGCTACGTACGTATATATAATATCATCGCCATACACTTGGATCAAGATTGGTGCGTTGGGCGGAAAAGTCCGATGAGATCAAGGCGCACTGCGCGTTGATACCACACATGTCATATAAGGTAGTTAGGTACGCTAGGGCACTGACTGCTGGTACTGATACTAGAGACCCCATGTCAAAGAGATGTAATACTGGGCGCACAGCAAGGTCATATTCTGCGATGTCAGACAACACTTCGCCGTCGCCGTGATCGAAAATGTGCTCACATGTCAAGGCGGGCATGACGAGATAGGTGTATACGCGTCGACCTTTGCGCTATAACAGTAGCTGAAATCGACATGGCCTCGCAGCCAGAGTCCATGAACTAAATTAGTACTGTAGGTGGGCACATGTACATACCTTATCGCTCTTGCGCAATGTACTAATAAATTAGTACTTGTAGTATTGTGAGCTGTGACAAAAAGGAAGCTGTGGGAATGGTACGTGGCGGAAACCGCTCATCAGGCCTCGACTCTTCTTCGCGTATGCGCCATAATTGATGGGACGCGGGCGATACAGAGATCCACATTCCGTTGTGATTTTTTCTTGGCTCTCCCAGGAACGCACGCACACAGCAAAATGATAATTGCGATACGAGTGTGGTATGCGGAAGCGCCAGCCCGCTCAGCAGGCTAAGGCTAGCCTAATATTGGTTGGCTCCTCGGTTGGTTGTTTAACGTTAGTGTGGCGTGGAAGGCCGTGCGAGTTTGTGGGCACCTGTGAGTGAATGCGCAGATCTCACAAGCTTGCGAATTTCATTCCCCCATGGCCGCGTGTGCTGACTACTCCGTACGCTGTGTGAAGGTCTCGACTCTCATGTCAGGCCAGTTTTCATCGACGCGGGACTTTGGGAAAATGAGTCAGCACAGAACGACCAATGAGACGACGGGATGTCGGTGATGCAAAGGGCCCACAGGACATTGGGCCGCGCTCGACGGACCATCCATCCTTGTCTTGAGTCCGCCCGCCGTTCCGCCGCGCGCAGCCATGGCTACGGACCCACAACCCCATGACGATGATCCTCATCATCCGAGGGATGGGGTGATGCTCACTGCTCGAGGTACTTGTATCGATTCGTCCGTCAGTTGATCAGTCATTTGCAAGTACGGCACTCGCTTGCTGGTTACCCAGTTGCAATGGTCTGGAGAAGACGCGTGCAGCGGCAATCGAATTGCGAATCCACTGAATTCCCTGAAAGACACAGGTGGACTCTCTAATACAGTAATACCACGTACTCACTTAGTTGATCCCCAGGCCGCAAACCATCCATCCACCTTGAAAGCACACCTGCAGACATCGTCCCACAGCCGGGTGGTCATGATTGTGATTACATACTGGTAAGACTATCTTTTGGAGGGGTGCTCCTGGTTGATGGCGCACGCTGATGCCGCGAGACGACAACACAATGCCCAATCAGGCGTCGTCATCGCTGCCACACTTGAGCCTCCTCTGACACATAGCTACCTACTACGTAGTATACAGGTGTATGGCAGCAAGCAATGTCGATCCTTGAACTTGACGGCATTTTGCTCCAAGCTCGAGGTTGACCATGTTCTTGGCTTCACGCACACTCGCGTGCATGCATGCATGCTGCATGCATGTGACTGCCGACTGCAGCAGGCCACATATCCCCGGCGAGAGGCTCCATCTTTTTCCGTGCGCAGCGCCGCGGTCACCTCCGGTCGGGGCACACACACTTGTCTGCCCCAGGTGCGCTGCTCCCGACTGGAGTCGGACTGGGCGCTCCAGTCGCGACTCCAGTCGTCTTCTACATGCGTAATTACACAACTCTTGTCGATTCCGCCACTTGCGTCCACCAACACCAGCATACGTAAGTAGGCCATCCATTGTCCATTGATCACTGTCCTATGTAGATGGGTAGTTATTGTTGGGTGATGTTTCTTTCCCCTCACACCCAATGGTGATAGAGAGAGTATTGATGAATAAGAACGCCCGACTCTCATCCAGCGACTCCAGCCAGCTGCCAGACCCCACACCCTCTCAAGTGTCGACCAGCTCCAAGCCTCCAACAAGCCTCCAATGTCCAACCTCTGTCCGCGTCAAGCCTCCAACAAGTCCTGTCCCTCCTGCAAGGCACCGTCCCAATGACAGTCTCCGTGTTCCCCCACCCAGGCCACTGGTACCTCACTCGAGCAGGGGGCGGTCCCTCGTTGTTATTAGCCTCCCCCCGTTTGACAAGATATCTTCCAGTCAATTAGATGCTTCGCTCTCAGATGACTGCCGTCCCTTCTCCCACCGCCCCCAGCTCTACGGCAATGTATTGTTCAATTCCCATGTTCCCAGGTCCTTGCGACGCCTGTGCACCCCGGTGCTTTCGGGTACCGATGCTGCTGTTCTCGCTGATGCCGCTATGATCCCATGCGGTGCTGGGAACCTAAGCCATGCAGCCTATTCGTTGGGCTCGCGACCGACCATGCAACCCAGCCTGCAAGTAGATTCCCTTCTGGCATCGCCTGATAGTCACGATTGTGTATTGTTTCATGTTGATGACATTGCCGCAAGCTTTTTGCTCTGGTGGATGGATTGTCGCTGGCAACAAGAGGAGAGGAGCTTTGCCTCACGCCTAGGTCATCATCGCAGCTTCGTAGTAGACCCGTCGATCGCCATCTTATTAGCTTGGAAGAATTTGCGGTGGAAATAATTTATCTAGTGCCTGATGCTCTGTGTCTGTCGTCGGTGTCTTTCGCAGGATGATGATAGGAGCAAAAGCGGCGGGAAGGGTTGTAAATGCCGATGAAGCCCGTGCGGACGCTGAGATGCCGCGCAGCTGTCACTCCCGGATATAGTAGAGCCCGTGGAGATCATGGGTAATTAGGAATCGAAATGGAACTCGTGTCGTGGATGTGTCGACGACTGTTATCGAGCACACCGACGAGCACGTTCGGCCCCCGTCGCACACGGAGTGCGGAGTGCCTCTCCATTTCATGGCCTGCTTGCACGTTTGGTCCTTGTTTGCGAGATGTGCGCAGCTGTACGTATCTGTGCGTAGCCAAGGGTTCCTTGCCATCAGCTCTTTAACGTGGCCGACTCATCTCTCTGCATGCACAGCCTCCGTCAAAGAATCTCGTGGATACATGTAGGAACGCACATCACGGATCCATGGCGCTCAGGGTTGGTCATGTCCAATATGTTGTGCACTCAAGCTTACTATTGACAAGTCGTCGATGCCTACTAGTTTGCCCTTGCTCTAGTCATCCCTCAGGCGTGTACTTTTTTGTGTCTGCGCGCGCAGGCACCTTTAACCACCTGCGGCTCGCTGCACCAGCCATCTTGACAACACGAATCAACCGAATAGGATGCCTTGTAACGCCGTTGCCGAGCAATCTCGCAAATGCATGAAGTAGGAGGAAATATCAGCCCTGTCCATCACTCGCGCACCTAGGATCATTTCCTTCCTACAATTCTATAAGTCTCGTCCATAGCAGTGGCGGATGCCTCTGTCCCTGCTGCTCCAAAGAACTCCCTTGCGGCTTCAAAATGGATGTGGCCGCGGTGATTCGCTCAGGAAGCCCATGCTTTCGGTCGATCGTCGGAAGCCGGCCGTGTTCTGTCGCTTTGTGGGAGGCTGCACCGGCTCATCGTCCTCGTCGTCATCGGACAGAGTGAGGTCGATAACCTGTGGTGCCGGCCGTTTCGCGCTGGTGGATGCCACTCCTCGGGGCCCATGACTTGAGCCGGGCCCTGTCACCGACGGCGAGGAACTGGGTAATGATGTTGCTGTTTGCGGAGTTTCGATGCGAGGTCGGGAGATGGAGTTGACCTCCGAGATCTCAACCTCATCGCTATCGCCGAGGTGGCTTCCGTTAGATCTACCGCGGTCGTGGTCGCCCGATTTGGCGGTCCATTGCCCATTTGGATTGATTGTGACTGTCTCCTGAGAGCTTGAAGTCCTCGCCAATATGTCTTTGACATATCTGATGCGTGTTAGAAATGACCGCCAAATGGCTCATGGAACTTACTCGTCAACAGCCATTTGCTCAAAAGTGACGGACTTGTTGCAAATGGGACATTTCCACTGGGGCCCTTGCTCCTGCAATTGCAAATACGAAGTCGCGTCAAAGCACTGGATGTGTGTGCATTGCGTTCCGCGACAAGGTGTCTGTAGTCTCATATACGACAAGGGGCATTTCAGGCTCAGCACAGATGACGTTGCGACGACATCTGGATCTGCGTTCTTCTTGTTGACTGTGACGCGAATTAGCCTAAGCGCGGGTCTCGGTCTCGCGTAAACGTACTTTCGGCGATCACCGAGTCCTTGGGTATCCTTTGGCGTGTCTCCAGCTTCTTTGCCAGGTCGTCGACGGTGTTGATCTTGCAGAGATAAACAACCACGTAGAATTTCTGAGTCTGATCAGCAATTGCGTTGCGTTCAGTTGATGGGAGCGCGACAAACCTTTTGGGTCAACGCATAAGTGAGCTCAACTTTATTCGGGTAGTTGCTCTGCTTCAGGCGGAGCGCGCTCGTGATGTCAACCGGTCTAGTAGACCCTGGCTTGTTCTTCAGACCGCGCAAGTTCGCCTTGAAATCGCCTCCGTTTATTTTGATCTCCGACTGTTGGGGAAAGGCGACGTGCTGCACACCGACGTTGTCCCCAGCACAGAACAGCATGATCCTGTGCGACGGATCGCTCACACAGCGTTGGATTTCAGGCTTGTCATTAACCCGGAGAAACATGTGTACGCTGTGGCGATGGTGCGCCATGGCTAGCCGCAACTGTTAGAAACCAGATGATCGGTGCGCTGAGGAGTCGACTTACGTTCGCAGGTGATCACGTCACCTACTTGAGCCTCGACGGTGTAGAACGGACTCGGGTGGAAGGCGATTCCAGCCCGTGGCAGAGGGTACGTTAAACCGTTAGCAGCCACGCTGGATGCATGCCCATAGCCTGGCACGTATGGGTTGTTTGGCGCAGCGCTCGAGCCAGAGGGTGGGAAATGGCTGGTCTGCTGGGTACGTCCCATGGTCGGCTTCTGTGAGCTTGATGCCGCATTCAAAACGCCCTTTCGGACTTGCTCGAAACGCGGGAGGTCTTGGTGGTTGTATGCGTCTTGGACCACTATAATAAGAAATTGTATCAGTTGTCTGGCGGGTAACGAGAACAGCGACAAGAATCCGCCGGCCCTTGGCGAGAGGGCGGATATGTGTAATGAGAGTATTGTGAGGCGGCTGCTGGACGGGGTGAATGAGAAGTACTTACGATCTGATATTCGACGCTGGAGGTCAGCCTTGACGCCACTGCTTTTCAGCCCATTCACTTGACAGATGAACTGGAGCTGCTTGTTGAACAGGCCGCTGCTCTTGATTTGGCGCAGAATGGCATCGAGCTCCTTGCGACTTATTTTTGTTGCCGAAGTGGCAAAGCCACCGTTGGCCGAGTCGTGAAAGCCTGACGGCTGCGAGCCGCCGCCCATGCCGTACGAGCCACCGGATGACATGTAGCCGGACATGATGCTCTCGATCGTTCGTGCTCTACAGCGCTAACGCTCGACGAGCTCTGCGGACTCGCTACTGGTACGATCGTTCTTGTCTAGCCGCCCGCGCCTGCCCGTGTTGTTTGAAATCGCACTTCGCCCGCCCTCGCTCCAGCGCGTCGCTTGCGCAGCGGGCAAATCCCAGATCTTGGCCTAGTAGCGCCTACACCTCTCTCCCGGCGTGAAATATAAAGGCGTGTCTTATCAACTGTAGTAGACCCGGGGGGCCTCGCCTCGACACGCGCACGCGAGCAACAACTTCCCGGATATCGAGGAGCGAAAAGAGTCACGCTAGGACAGTGTAGCGAAGCGCATGCCACAAGCGTAAGTCGGCGAAGAGTCTTTCGAGTGTATAGAAGAAAAGTGCCGCTGCCGGTCGAGAAAAGGGTGGACTATCGCCTTGTTGCGCGGTTCGAAGAGATTGTGACGCTTGATGTTCGTGGCAGCACGTGAATCGAGGTCGGATGAAGGACCAGACGGCGGAAGCATTCACGCCTCCGGGGTGCTGGTGTTATGTATTGAGGTAAGTTTGTTTCTTGAAAGCGCGAAACATAATGTCATGTCGTGGGGGAAATCGCCAGCCAACATCGACTACGACGGTGACGCCGTTCTCGACCACGACGTCAACGATGGAGCCTTCACCTAATAATGGTCGGCTCTGGTGGCATGTCGTCTAAGGCTGCCCTGGGCCAAACACCGCACCTCATTGGGCAAACTGGGCTAGGCCGGATCCACCGCGTCCACTACGCGCAGCCCGGGTCTAGCTTAGGTACAGTAGCACCTACCTACACTTGCCCACGAAACTCAGCCACAGGGTCCAGTCCAACCAGCTTTTTCAACTTGCCTAGACGCAGGTGGTGAAGTCTCTGTGAAAAGTCCCGTCACTTCATCCCCCACCAACATTCACTGAGGATTCTGACAGTCAGGACATCTGGTCACCCTTTTGTAACGCTTAGTTCACTTCAATCTCAGACATCCGTCACAACCACCATCATGGCGAGAAGCTCAAGATCCAGCGCAAAGAAGTTCAACAACCAGCGCAAAGCGGCAGAAATCTTTGGCCCCGTCGAGTCTGCGCGCGCCGAGCGACTATCCCAGCGTCTTCTCGACTTGGCCAAGCAGCCAAAGCCAGAGACATCTGATGTCGACATGAACGTGGAGGGTATTGCACGCCCTGTCCTTGACATGTGTCCAGCGGACTGACTCGTCTCTAGAAGCGGCGGAGGACAAGACCACAGCAGACAAGACTGAGAATGTCGATGAGAATGGTCAGTCTACACTCATCTTGAGCGCAATACAGAGCCCCACTAACCCTTGAGCAGCCATGGAGGTAGAGGCATCTTCAAAGCCATCAACATCGCGCGTGAGCAAGCGTGGCGGCATCGTCAAGAAGAGGCAAAAGAAGTCCAAGATTGTCTTCCCCAAGTACACCGATCGTGTTGGGAACAAGAAGAAGGCAAGCAAGTAAGATTTGGGCGTCTACTACCTAATTACAGTACCAATCTCTCATCACGAAGCTACGATACCCTGAAATTTCTTGAACAATTCCTTATCTTATCACGGTGTAAATATCGTACATCCTTAACGCGTGCATGTGCTATGTCGTCCACCAGCCTCATGTGGCGCATGTCTGTCAGCACCGGGCCGTGTGTCAACGAAATAGACCAACGCCAAGGAAAATGAACCCTTTCGACCTGCGTCGCGCCTTGTCGCGTCCTGGCTCCCTTTACAGTAATTTCATGATGACGAGTCCGCCTGTTTTGTAACCTCCCTGAATTATTATTCGATGGCTTCGTTAGGTTGGCATCACGCTGGCTGTCCTTTTCTCGCCTAACACCCCTGCTCTGCGAGCAACCCCCATCCCAGACGCCAGATTGAATACGCTTCGTGCGCTGCGTTGCAAGCATGGTTTATCAGAAGTGGCTCACCGGCGCTCTGCTAGCCATTGCGAATGCACTGATACCATTGTCCCTGATTGTGTTCGCCACGGGATTCTTCCCATACAAGCCCTTCCTGCCAGGCCTCGCGCAATATGAGGATCTCGCGTTTGGTCCGCCGCCCGAGGGCCCATTTGACAAGATCGTTTTCATGGTGATCGATGCGCTGAGAAGGTAGACAGTCCGATATGAACCAAGAACACCAGCGTTCTAACTACGGCAGCGACTTTGTCTACTCGGGAGACTCTGGATTTCAATTCACTCAGCAGTACGTCTCCGCAACCGCCACTCCCTAGGGGCTGCCACTGATGGATTAAAGGCTCATTCGCGATGGCAAGGCCATCCCTTTCACCGCAAACGCTAGGTCGCCAACTGTCACGATGCCCAAAATCAAGTCTATCACGACTGGCTCAGTCCCCTCCTTTGTGGATCTCATCCTCAACATTGATGAAGGGGACAAGTCTTCGAGCTTGGCTGCGCAGGACACCTGGCTCGCTCAGCTCAAGTCCAAGGATATTGGAAAACTCGTCATGTATGGCGATGACACATGGCTGAAATTGTTTCCGGATACCTTTGACAGAGCCGATGGCACGTCAAGTTTCTTCGTTGCGGTAGGATTGGCGTCACTCCTTGATATCACCTGTCTGACCCGGGGAAGGACTTTACAGAGGTCGACCACAACGTGACCCGCAACATCCCAGCTGAGCTCGACAACGACGACTGGGGATTGATGGTGCTCCATTATCTTGGCCTTGACCACATTGGCCACAAGTCTGGTCCAAGAAGGTCCGTTGCTACTTATCCTGCCCAGCCCTCCGTGAACTAAACTCTGCAGCGTCAACATGGTGCCAAAACAGAAGGAGATGGACGGCATCATTCGAGACATCTACGGGGCATTGGAAACAAAGGAGCATCTGCAGTCTACGCTCTTTGTGGTGTGCGGAGACCACGGCATGAATGATGCCGGCAACCACGGCGCCTCTTCGCCTGGTGAAACGTCGCCTGCACTGCTATTCATGTCGCCCGGGATGGCAAGCCTGGGCATAAGCCATGCCTCGCCGACTGAGCCCCATGGCGAGTTTGCATACTACGGAGAAGTGGAGCAGTCGGACATAGCTCCCACCATCGCTGGCCTGATGGGCTTTCCAGTCTCGAAAAACAACCTTGGAGCCTTCATCCCGGAATTTCTACCCTTCTGGTTCAGTTCCGAAGATCAGGTCCAGATCCTCATGCGCAATGCAAGACAAATCCTGCAGATTGTGACAGCGACCTTTGGCGCCGAACTCTTCGACCCACGCAGCACGATAGACCCTTGTGCGCTTGAAGGAACAACTGTCAACGCGCTGGCCTGCGAATGGCGACGGCTCGATGCACAAGCGGCCATGGTAGCCAAGGGCGAACTTGCAAGCCTCGCATGGGTGGCTTCCACTATTGCGTGGCTACGAGAATCTCAGAGCTTGATGAGTAGCATGGCCTCAAACTACAACATGCTTCGGCTCTATCTTGGCACAGGGCTGGCACTCACCGCAGCGTGTCTCACGCTGTCAGCAGTATACGTCGCCCCTGGACAGCCGTCCGAGGCTGGGTTCCTGTCGATGCTACTAGTGACTGTGCCGTACGGCCTCATGATGTTTGCCAGTAGTTTCGTGGAGGAGGAACACCACTTCTGGTACTGGGCATCGACGCTGTGGCTGGCTTATCTTGGCTCACGCGAGATCAGAAGGTTTGCACAACGAATCCTTACATACAAACAGGACTGACGAGCCCAGATCACATCGGACCTGGTCACTCTTGTGGCCGGTTGCAGGACTCGCCATTCTACGCCTGCTGCGCGCCTGGAACCAGACAGGCCAGAAATTCGCAGGCGCCCCAGATATTGTCAAGACCTTCATCGTCCCCCAGCCTGTGCTCCTCTGGGTACCAGTGATAGCGATGTACAGTGCCACAGCCATGGGTATTTTCAATAACTTGGACGTCCTGCCGCCTTTTCTGCGAGCTACCTTTGCTGTTGCCACCATGTTCTCCGCCCTCGCCTTTAAACTAAGGTTTACGGCTGAGGATGCTCCTGAGCTGGAGATGGGCATGGCAGATCTAGTACGGTCCATCTATGAAGTATCCTTGCCGGCCAACGCACGTTTCACTTTCGGCCTTCTCGGGGTTGGCGCACTGCTTGGTGTGTATCAGAGCCTTGTAGGCAACCCGAGAGGCGCCAGATACTCAGGTAAGCGCTGCCACGCTCCTCAGTGTGGTACATTGCTAATCAAATCAGCCCGGTTGTTTCACTCGCTCTATGCGATGTTGGCCATGACGCAGTCGCGAGCCACGAATATCCCAATCTTGCTGCTCTCAGCTTTCCTCCTGCGGCATCTTCAGTCGCTGCACATGTCGGGACATCACATCACTATCACATGCATCCTGCTCCAGTTCGTCACATTCTTTGCCTATGGCGGGACCAATGCTGTCTCTTCCGTTGATCTGTCGAGCGCCTACAACGGCATTGACGGGTTCAACGTTGGTGCCGTCGGCGTGCTCACGTTTCTGAGTAATTGGGCAGGTCCCGTATTCTGGACGACTGGGACCAACATTCTTTTGGTCGAGCGCTTTCGTCGAGGCGACCGGGGCGTTCTCCTAAAGCACATCATGCTCGCCACGCTATTCACCACGATTAGCGTGGCTTTTGTCATGGCAGCGTGTACCGCATTAAGGACGCACCTGTTTATCTGGACGGTCTTCTCCCCAAAGTATCTGTACTGTGTGGCGTGGAGTCTAGGACAACACCTCGTCGTCAACGTCGCGTTGGGAAGTGTGCTCTTCTGGCTTGGGACATGCAAGAGTGATTGAGACGAGCAACATATATAGCATAAAATACTGCAATAAAATCGATATGAAACCGCGGGATATTCACGTTAGTACCACGCCGATAAATACTTGCATTCCGCTTGCATTAAGACCAGGTAGAGCCCGCCCATTCTTCGTATCGTCGTTACTTCAGCTACATCTGAGGCAGCGCTACGACGCTTGCGTATCGTTCCCTGCCTCGGCCACACTCTCATCGTCCAAGCTCATGTCTTCCTCTTTCTTCGGCACAGCAGTCTCGTCGGCAACCTCCTCTTCTTCTGGTATGCTCGTTGACTCGAGGCCTGAGCGGTCCTCTGTGCCTTGCCTGTCAGTTGGCGCGGTGTTGCTCCTGACACTGGCACGGAGGTCTGTTGGCGCAGCCTTGCTTTCATCTAGCCCATTGACAATCTTGCCTAAGCTGACGTGGACCTTGTATAATGCGTTCCGGCTGGTGGCGTCCGTGAGGATACCGTCTTCCACAGCACATGACACCTCGGTATACGTCTCGCGAAGGCGATCGGGGGACGAACCAGGTGAAATATAAAGTTTACCCAGCAGAGAAGCAACGAGCTTCTTCTCTTCCTCTGCATAGATGTCAGCATACACTCCACCAGCTAGCCATATTGACTTACTGCTAATGTTCGAATTCAGTCTTTCCAAAATGTCCATAGCAAGCTCCAAATGCACGTCGCCATTGACATTTCTCTTGTCCGCATCTGGAATCAGATCTGGCGTGTAGCACTTTCTGGGATCCGTCCAGTCAACAAGACATGCGCCAACCGTGCTCAAGCTGACCATGTCCTCGTCGACGTCGACATCATCGTCCTCAAAGTTCTCTCGGACATTGAGGAGTGCGTGTAGCGCCTCGAGAGCTACCGAGCGCATGAGATCCTGATTGTCTGGCCTTGAGTAGCAGAATACAGGCAAGAAATAATTCAGCGCCTGTCTGACAGTCTGGTTGTGAGCTGAAGCTGGATCAAAGTAGGCCACAACCAACGACTTGAGCAAGTCATGGCTTGCTTCAGGGTCGCTAACCACGCGACCCAAAAGGAGCTTTGTGGCTGCCACCGTTGCCGCTGCCTGCACCTCTGCAGACTTGGCATTGCCCTTGACAGCCTTGAGATAGACTTTGAGAAGGCCTGGTGTTGACGTCAAGAGCTGTGAACCGTGGACGTTCAGGATATCAGTTAAGATATGCAAGGCTGTCATTTGCAGCGCAGGGTGGCCCTTGCTGAAGAAATGAATAAAGAGGCCCAAGTTTTCCTCGGCCAAGGACCGATCTAGTAGCGCACATAGGCCGAGACACAACAGTCCTCTTTCACGAACTGGTGCTTCATGGCTTCGGACCGCAGGCACGACTAGGTTGTTCAACATGGCGACCAAATCGCTATTGTCCTGAAGATTCCCAGCAACATGCGTCAGCATGCATTGCACAATGTGTAGGCACTTCATGTTGACCAAAATCTCCTTGACCGCCTTGTCGCGAGCTTCTTCCTCGCTAAGTTCGGGCTTGCCCTCGCGTTTGTTGGTCTTCGCTGGGCCACTCTCCGAGCTGATCTCGGATCTTGCAGAGTGAAAGCTTTCACCCTCGTCTTCGGCTGGCTCGTCCATGATAGTATCGTGTACGTCGGTGACAGCCTCCAGAACGATACTGCAAAACTCGCGCTCGCCGGCTGCATCGGGGGAGCAGATCCCTTGCAGCACCTCGATGGTAAGCTTGGTGACCTCATCTGGCATGTCCGGGTTCGACAAGGAGGATCGCATCAAGGTGAACATTTTCCGCCGGCCCACTTCGTCCGAGTAGTCGCAAGTCATCGCAATGTGCAGTAATTGTTCGACAATAAACTCCTGCTCAGTTGTGTCCTCTTCTTCGTCTTCGTCGCCTTCTTGCTGGTTTACTCGCTTGATCGCTTCAGCAAGTACCTGCAGGTAGCGCTCGAGATAGAATGCAAGCTTGGTCACTTCCGGAAGCCTCTCGTCTATAAGGCGCTCGTACTTGCCATTGCCCTCGTTACGGCAAAAGTCATTGTAGCTGCGAGCCATGAAAGCAGACTCGGCGGACAGTGTTTCCCAGAACGTGTTGTCCAGTTCCACGTTTTCGCGATAATCGGGGCGACCTTCCCAGAACCCCTTCATGGCCTCGAGCGCGACACCGTTTTCAACCCCTGAGTTGATCACATCAATGCGCTCAAGAAGCTCCAACAGACCGTCAAAACTGGGACCAGCATCGGCCTGTTGATCGCCTTCGGCCGGTACACCAGCGCAGTCTTCGATCCACCGTTCGCGGAACAGACGACCAGCGGCTTTTCGAACATTCTCGTCTCTGTCGCGCAACCCCCACCGCAAGAGCTTCTCGCGCATCGAGAGCGATAGGTGCCGGAAGTCGCCGAGCGAAGGCAGTAGGCGCGAGTAGACAGTGCGCCTAGTGGCAGGATCCTGATCTCTTGCCCTTTCCAGCAGCAAAGGCAGGGTGGCTTGTGTGATGGGCAGTGTTACGAGTAAGGACTTGCGAACGTCTGCGGCCGGGTCGTTCTTCAACACATCGAGTAGCTTCTCCAGCAAGCCACCTTGGTCATCGCCACTGTCATCTGAGTCGGTGCCACCCTCTGTATGGTTGCCAGCAAGTCGACCAAGGCCCAGTACCGCCTGAGAACGGACCATGGCCTCCTTGTCGCGGATTCGTTTGAGGAGTCCGTGTCGCAGTTTTTGGAATAAGTCATCGTCGATCGCTTCGAGGGAGTTGACGGTGAATGAAACGAGTTGCGTCGCCCTGAAGCGCACAAATTTGTCTTTCGCAGTCATCAAAGGCAGAACGGCCTCCAACACCTCCGCCGCGAGGCGAGTGCTTGGCGTCTCGGGCAAGATACTGTCATCTGCCCCTTGGTCTCCCAGGATCTCGTAATCTTTGTCGCTCGCATGCCGAAGGAAGAACCCGGCGAACTTGATGATCTTCTCTCCTGCACTTTCCGTCTTCTTCACAGGCATCGCTTTCAGGACGCAGCGCACAAACTCCTTGTTGAATGTTGCCTCGTCAAACCCCTCCCCCTCGCTGGCCTTACCAGTGGTCGGTTCGTAGCAGCATGCCTCGTGAATCTTGCGCAGGTTGACGGCCAATTTTCGATGGGTAGCCGTAGTCTTCTGTGCGTCGCCAAATATGGAGCATATACGTTGTCGCAGAGGGTTATCCGGTGTATCGGTGGGCTCTGCGCTCGCTGATGCGCCAGACCCTCTACCGCTCGCCCTCGAGGTGCCAGAGGCACGCCCTGGGCGCGCAGCTGTCCGCGCAGGCATGATGATGTGCGCTTTTAAAAGCACAGGTTGGTAAATTATGCTGATACGTCGATCGTTCCTTGGAATGGTACTGATATCGCTGCGTTTCTCGGATGGTGATGGCGCATTGATCTTTTGTTTGGATTCGTCGCGCGACCGACGCGATTGTCCCTCGTCAACAAGGTGCCAGACCTGGACTAGCGCCGGGGTCCAGGTGGCAGGCAGCAATCCGCCCCCTCTATCACGTGCGATAAGCCCCATGTCCATCTCTTATCTATCAATCTGCCCAACTTTTTTTTTCCTTAGACGGGCGGCCATGTCGAGTGGCACCGAGCTAGGCCTCCGAATCACAAGAAATTGAAAGGCAGCACACCACTTCGGCCTCGATATTTGTCCCATCATGGCGACCCAAACTTCCGGCACAAAGAGGCCTTTGTCTGAGGTGGAAGAGGGCATTGACGCCGCCGCTGAAGCCAAAATCGCACAGCAGATTGCCGATGGCACTCTCAAGACCGAATCTCGTCCCAAATCGAAGAAGCCCAGAGTCGAAGAGCGCAGGTCCATCTTCGTTCGCTCGCTGCCTCCGGACGCTACAAACGAGACTCTGACAGATTTCTTCTCCGAATACTTCCCTGTGAAGCATGCTACCGTTGTTGTAGACCAGGCGACCAAACAATCCAGAGGTTATGGTTTTGTAACCTTCGCCGACGCCGAAGATGCCCAACAAGCAAAGGTTGCCCTGGACAAGAAAGTTTGGGAAGGCCGTCATTTGAGGATAGACATTGCCGAGCCTCGAACTCGGGGTGCGAAGGGTGAAGAGCCCCAGGAGCCGAAACCCAAGCCAGGCAGACCCGATGCGCCCCAATCCACAAAGCTGATTGTGCGCAACCTGCCGTGGACTATCAAGACAAAGGAACAGCTTGAGAAACTGTTCTTGAGTTTTGGAAAGGTGCGGTATGCAGACTTGCCCCAAAACAAGGGCAAGTTGAAGGGGTTCGGCTTCGTTACGCTACGTGGAAGGAAGAACGCAGAGAAGGCTTTGGAAACACTCAACGGCAAGGACATCGACGGAAGACCTATTGCTGTGGATTGGGCAGTTGACAAGAAGACCTGGACTGAGGAGCAAGAGAAGAGCACCAAGACTACGGTCGATGAGGACGACGACGACACTTCTTCCTCGGGCAGCTCTGATGAAGAGGATGACGATGACGCCGCAGAGGATAGTGCACCTGCTGAATCCAAGGAAAAGGAACTGGACGACGACATGAAGAACTTCTTGAAGAACCACATGGTGAATATGGAAGATGAGGAAGACGAGGATGACGAAGACGACGAAGACGAGGACGCAGCCGAAGCAGAAAACGACGAGATCGATGCCAAACCGCAGAGGACAACAGACAACGCCTCGACTCTCTTCATTCGCAACTTGCCCTTCACAGCGACCGACGACCAGGTCAAAGAATTCTTTAACCACTTTGGCGCTGTGCGGTACGCCCGCGTGGTATACGACAAAGCCACCGACAAACCTGCCGGCACGGGATTTGTCTGTTTCTTCAACGAAGAAGACGCCAAGTCCTGCGTGAAGAATGCTCCTCGACCGCAGCAGTCGGTAGCAGCAGCCAAGTCAAAGCATTCAATCTTGCAGGACGAGAACGCGGATCCCGATGGTCACTACACGCTTGACGGCCGTTTGTTGCAAGTAGCGCAAGCCGTCAACCGGGAACAAGCTGCCAATTTGGCCGATAGCTCTCTTGCGCAGCGTCATTTGAAGGATAAGCGCAGGCTGTACCTTTTGCAAGAGGGCGCCATCACACCTCGCTCCGGCCTGTTTAAGTTGCTCAGCCAGCAAGAGCTGCAGATGCGTGAGGCTAGCGCTGGACAGAGGAAGAAGCTGGTCCAAAAGAACCCTAGCCTGCACCTGAGTTTGACGCGTCTCGCTCTGCGCAACATTCCCCGCAACGTTGATTCGAAAGACCTCAAAGAGCTGGCGCGCAAGGCTATTGTAGGCTTTGCAAAGGAAGTCAAAGAAGGCAAGCGCCAGCCCCTTTCCAAGGAGGAGAACGCCCGCGACGGCAAGGACGCCAAGGAAAAGGAGCAGGAGCGCAGAGCCAAGGGCAAAGGCATTGTGAGGCAGGCCAAGATCATTTTCGAAAGTAACCAAGGCTCCAAGGTCGAGGAGAAAAGCGGCGCCGGAAAGAGCCGCGGTTACGGCTTCATTGAGTACACGAACCACCATTGGGCACTCATGGGCTTGCGCTACCTGAACGGCATGCAGATCGAAGGTGAAAACGGCCGCAAGCAGCGCTTGATTGTTGAGTTCGCTATTGAGAACGCACAGGTTGTGCAAAGGAGGAAAGCAGTTGAGGCAAATGGCGCGCAGGGTGCACAAAGGGCGAAGGATAAGGAGTCTTCCACCAAGGCGTCTACTGAAGACGGCGACAAGAAGACTGCCAAGATTCTGAAGGATAACAAGAGTGCCCGCGGAAAGCGAGGCAAAGGCAAAAAGGGCAACATGAACAAAGGCGCCAAGGCCAAGAAACCCGAGGACAGCGCTGACCATGGATCGAAGGACCATGGTTCGGAGAAAGCGGCGCCGGCAGAAGGGACATCGGACATGAAGCAGAAGCTCATTGCGCGTACGAGGTTGATGCGCAAGAAGAAGGCTAAGGCTAGAGCTGGCTAAAAGATATTCATGCGTTGTACAATAAGGCCAGCTGCGATAGCGCAGCGTTGACGTTGATAACCAGATTTCGTATCTTTTAGAGTAGAGAGTATATAACTGACCTCTGGGTAACCAGCAACCGGCAATTTGCACTGGGCAGTATTGCACCAAACTTCACTTCACCTCCAAAACCAGCCAGTCTTGTCTTGTTTCTTTTTAGATGTCGCGCTTTCATCACTCGGGGACGACACACGGTCAGGGGCCGGATACATGGCGTATGTTTCGGTCCGTCCCACCTCCACCCCGTCCTCGTCGATTTCTTTGCGGATGACCTTGGAATGGATGTAGCCATATTCGTCGCAATGCCTGTCTTCCGACTCTTCAATCCTGGTGTTCCGCTGCTTAGTGATGTGTTCATTTGCTGGCGGGGCGTGCGATGGTTGCTCTCGTTCAGTCTGGGCTGCCAAGTTATCCGGTGACGCCCGCCTCGCGGCGTCCATGCGCGGCTGCTGTTCAGGAGTGGGCATATGGGACCCTAGCTGCCGTGCGATATCGCGGAATGCCTTTTCGGCTTTTGCAAATTCTTCCTCAATTTGGGTGCCCGCGCGCGATGCATCGTCAACAGCCTTTCCATCAAGACCAAACAATGACTCGAGGATATGAGGCAAGGGCTTCACGAAAGACTTTGCAAACGCATCCCATGTGCGCTGCCCTGATTCGGCAAGACCGTGAAGGGCTTCCGATAATTCCAGCTCAGTTTCAGGCAGTGGCTTTGAACCCGCAGTGGAAGCTTCTTGTTGAGCCTTGTGAGTGTTGTTGCTATGCCCATGCATTTCGAGCGCTTCATCGTGTCGCCTCTGCGACTGTAGACGTTCCTTCGCTGCCGAGGTTCTATCCCTACGCAGAGGGCCTCCATGCGTGTCGTCCTCGATCATCTCCTGAATAGCTTGACGTCGCATACGGCGACCCCAGATCTCGTTGGCTTTCGATCTGAGCTCACTGTGCAACGCTTCAAAGTCCGACTTGGTAAACTGGTCAAGGTTCCTCGAGGCTCGATAGCCACTCAACAAGCCAGCTGCCGCAAGTCGACTATGCCAGAAGCCCATGGGCTCGCCTGACGGGAACATTTCCCGGAGGGCCAGCTTTTGCTGGTACCGTCGGTTGATGTCAGGCAAGGGCTGGCCATTGCTCACTGCCAACAGATCCTCGAATGCGTCCTGGAATCCAAAAGCGTTCCCATCACATCCAGAAGGTAGGTCATTTGGGGTAGGTTGTGGGAGATGCAGGAGCGCATATGGGCTATAGCTCGAGAAGAGAAGACTAGCCAGGCCGTGAGGCTGCATGGTGCAGTAGGGCGATGATGATTTTGATGTTCTCGGCTGAGTTACCGATGAATAGAAACAAGTTGTCGATGGAATATGTTCAGAAACGGGAATACAAGAGGCCAGACGTCATGAATGAAGTTCACGACCATAGGACTGGATTATACGAAGGCAACCGGGCCTTCGGCTGAGTGGCTTCATGTTAAGTGCCATGCGTTCTCATTGGATCATGTGTCCATCAGTCTCCACTAATACATCACCGTGACCACACAGGCGGCTACATTATGAGCTGTGCGAGACTCCAATACGATGGTATTATACGTAAGTACTTGTGCCTGCTTTTCACGATCATTGATATGTTTTTGTTCATCGTCCCCTGTATTCTAGTTCGACTTTTGCTCGGTTCATTCCACTTCTAAGAGGCTGCCTAGTATGTCATGTACATACGGATACAAGACCTCGAACTCTTTCACATCGCAGAAAGAATGTTGCGTCCAACAATCCCAACGGCTATGAAGGTACCGTTCAAGAAATCCGTCCTACTTAGCCAGCCCCTTCGATTTAGCAAAGACTGGACATGTTGGCTAAGACGTTGTACTACGTGGCGCGGTTGTGGCGTGTTAGCTTCGGGTGTGGCTGGGGTCGTCAGAGCGGACGTGGCTCGGGCCATCGTGAAATGACCGCATGGGCCGCCAAGACAACTAGACTGTCATCCGCCATGTTCTAATTACGCAGCTGGGTGAGAAGGGTCTTCCCATCCTAGTTCACGCAGGCCATTCTTTTGGCATCACCCAGCCAGGCGTTAAGCACGGTGTCTCGGATCAGCGAGACTTGACGAGCTTCGGCACTGCTAACCTGGCAGGCAGCGCCCGCGCGACGTAGCGCCATCGCGACGTCGAGGGGCTGGCTGGCGCCCAACCTCTCTGACTGCGCAAGACAGCGGACAGGGCGCGCGGCGGATCAACGACAGCAGAGCAAGTCGAAGCGAAGAAAAAGATTCCGATTACGAAGCGTTGCGTGGGCCTCCAGGGACAACAGACATGAAGCTACCCAGCCCAGCAAATGAGCTGCCATGGTCCTCGACTCATTCCCTCGACCGATTTACACCAACCGCCACAATGACGGCGACGCCGCTACCAGGTCACAACAACACAGGGCATGGCGGTGGACATGAGCTCCAGAATTGGTCCTCGCTCATCGGCATAGTCACAGCTATCGTGGGGAACGTCCTGATCGCCCTCGCACTCAATGTACAGCGTTACGCACATACGCGGCTGCACAAGCAAAGAATTTCAATACGCAAGCGAGCCCGAGCAGCTACGAAGCGAGCGCATTCAGGGCAGTCATCGACCTATGGCGCCCTCGGCTATGGCACGAACGGGAACACCGGCGGCGGCGGCGGAAATGGGGCTACAATATCTGACGACGACGAACCACCGCACGATAGTCACGAGACGGAACCGCTCACGCAGTCGTATAATTCGGGGACCACGACCGTAGAAGAAGGGAACGACGACGAGGATGAGGCAGAGGCCGAACGACAGGCCAAGGCTGCGTCGTCTTACCTGAAGTCGCCCTACTGGTGGCTGGGGCAGGTCCTGATTACACTCGGAGAAATGGGCAACTTTCTGGCATATGGCTTCGCACCTGCCTCGATCGTTTCGCCTCTCGGTGTCGTCGCTCTCATATCAAACTGTCTCATTGCGCCTCTCATGTTCCAGGAGCGGTTCCGGCAGAGGGACTTCTGGGGTGTGGTCGTGGCGGTTGGGGGAGTTGTGACCGTGGTGCTCAGCGCGAAGACAGAGGAGACCAAGCTGAATCCTCATGATGTTTGGGGCGCCATTACCACTCTGGCCTTCGAAATCTACCTGGGAGTAACGGTATTTCTAATCATTGTCTTGATGTGGGCAAGCCCTCGCTATGGACGTCGAACCATCCTTATCGATCTAGGACTGGTTGGCCTTTTCGGTGAGTTATTGCACTTTCCCATCTAAGTCGATCCGGAATATTGACGAGTTATAGGGGGCTATACGGCGCTATCTACGAAAGGTGTTTCGTCCATGCTATCGTCGACGTTGTGGCGGGCATTCACGACGCCTGTCACGTATGTCCTGGTTTTTATCCTGCTCGGGACAGCCATCATGCAGATTCGCTACGTCAACAAGGCCCTGCAACGCTTCGAGTCGACGCAGGTGATTCCGATCCAGTTCGTCATGTTTACCCTTTGTGTCATCCTCGGAAGCGCCATTCTCTATCGCGACTTTGAGAAGACCAACGCAGAGCAGGCGGGCAAGTTTGTCGGTGGCTGTCTCCTCACCTTCTTTGGCGTGTTTCTCATTACGAGTGGGCGACAACAACGTGAGGGTGACGACGAGGATGATGCACTGTCAGACACCACCGGCGTGGAAGAGACTATAGGCCTTGACCGCCATGACAGCCACCAGCCGTACGAAGACACGCCCCGCAGACCGTCGGTAGCACAGAGTCGTCGTTCTAGCAAACACTCGCGTATTGTATTTGCAGAGGGCAACAGATCGCAAGCACCCGACATTGATTACGATGCTGCCTCCGTTTTCCACCCTACTCCAGGCAGCATACCAGAGACGCCTGGAGTGGACAACAGCTCACTGGAGCACAACCCTTGGGATGGCCCTTCACCCTTAAAGCCGCCCGGTAGAGGCATTAGGACCCTCTCTGCCGACACACTGATGAGGGGCTCGGCGGTCATGTATACTCCTACGACGCCGATGCGCGATGGGCTAGCACCACCAGGCTGCCTGGAACGGCCCACGACGCCTCAGGGCCGAGCACATACTCTTGGGCCAACTCAGCACCGTCGGTCTGGGACATTCATATCACCATCCCCGTTGTCATCGACAGTCACGACGGTGATGAAGGATGGTTTTTTGCGTGGCGACAAGAGAGCCCTGGCGACGCAGTCGTCAATGCGACATCTGCGCTCACGAATACGCGCGAGCCTCTTTTTCAACGAAGATGGACCTGTCTCCGAGGACAATCTCGCACGTGCTTTCCACGATCAAGAGGAGCCGTTTCGCGACACGGTCGACGACGAAGAGCATGCGGCGCGCATGAGATCACGCAGCCTAAGCGATGCGCTGGGAGACATGTTCAGGCCGAGGCGCAAGAGCCGGAAAGAGGATATGGACGTCGATCACGACGATGGATCAACTCGCCCAGGCCCGTCGAGCTGATCGGAAGAGGACAAGCTCACGAATAGTAATACAAAGCGGATCAACGCCCTGTCTCGAGCGATTATACGTATGGAGTTGCGGAGGTCTCGGTGGCTTTTTGTTTTCGGGATGTGACGCACGGAGTTTGTTCCCTGTCTTTCCATCGCCGAACTCATGAGCAGATAGCATGGCACGTCGTCCTCGTGGCACTTGGAAGGATGAGGTGCGCAGAGCCTGTCGATGTTTTCTTTCCCTCTAGACTCGAGCAGTCCACAGCTTCTGGACTGCCGACTGCTCCCCAACCGTCGGATTGTGGAGCGGCCACTGGTGTTATTTTGCGAAACTTGGATGACCCTTGAATCTAGCGTCACTTGATACCCCTAAGTTCTCTTCTCAGAATCGCCCAGGTATGTGTGGCCTAATGGTGTGGCTGTCCCGTCAAGAACTTGTTTTCCGTGCGCAGGCTCCCACATTTGGCAGCATGTGCGCACGCATCGTGAATCAGTTGTGATGATCGCCGTTATTGGATGACAGCACACCAGGAATTTCGCCACGATTCCCAGTACCACCACCGTTTAAAATGGTTTGAGACTGCCACCCCACCACCTTCTTCCACGACATACTTGTACCAATTACTGTTGTTGTTTTATACTTCACTTCATCAACATGCCTGACCATTCACCGGTAATTGTCCTGTCAACTATTCACTCACGAGGGCCTTCCCTGGACTGATAACAAATCGGCAGGACGCCAGCGGTTCCCGAACCCCAGCCGTCCAACCAAATACCGATGACATGTCCGTAATCGACGTAATGAAGAGTCTGGTCCTCGACCCCAAAGGCATCGTCTTCCTCGGCGACGACGGCGTCCTCCGCTCCATCGACGGCGAGCGCAAAACCGTTATCGACGCCCGCGGCCTCAGCCCAGCGCAGATCAAGGAATACTTTGAGCCGTTCCAGTCCGAAGCCGGATGGGGGATCAAGGCGACCGACGGAAGAGGCGTCTCGCGTAAGTACATGTTCCACCCTGCCGAGGGCTTGCTCCCGCCCAAGGTGACGCCCGAGGAGAGGGCTGAGACTTTGCGGTACAACGAGCAGCTGAGGAGGGAGGGCGTTACCTGTGATGTGCCGAAGCCGTCTGGAGGGAAGTGACGCCCTCTCGAACACTGCACCGTGACCCTCTCTAAGTTGGGGTTTCTCTGTATGAATGTCTCTTGAGAGGGACAAGGCCGACAGGTTAGGACCGGACACGTTGTCACGTTTCTGGTTCATACGTTATCGAACTTGATTCTGCTTGCAACGACTTTCTGCAAACTGCGTGGCCCTTACCGTGTACAATTCGAGACGGTCTTCAGATCGAAACTCAACACCCCGACTTCTCATTGTTCTTCCTGCAGGTGACCATGCCGTCCGAACAAGGCTAACGCGTAAAGGGGGATCTATCTATCTTGCATAAGCGAGCTTTCCTAGTACTGGGCTATAATAACACATCAACTCACCACGGCCGCATAAGAGCGAGAGAGAGAGTAGTTTGATAAGTGTGCGTGCTCCCTTGAGCTCGCGATCAGATAAAGGTCCGGGCCTACCCGGTGCCGAACGGAGCTCGAGGCAACGGAGGAGGAGGGAAAACGGAGCGGCGGCAATCGGCGGTTCACAGTAAGCAGGAGATCCCGCTCGCTACAGTCTTTCGGCGACTCCATCTTTTTGAGGGCCAGGTCCCGTTGGTCTGGGTGCCTTTTCAGACTTTGTCAGTAGCCACTTCAAGTACGGAGTGACTTCAAGTTGTGTGGCATGGCGAACCAGGGACTGGCGTGTAGAGGGCGAGGCAAAGCGGGGAGCTAGCCAGCCACCCCGCCCGGCCCCAAAACCCGCTGTCAACTCTGCACAGCCTTGTTCCCAGCCAAGCTGTTCATCGGGCTTCTCTCGGTCTGAACTATTGTTCTACAACGTCTCTGCGTGCACAGATGGCAAAATCTCTCGAGACGGAGCGCGGTTTGCTCGCATGAGCACCCGCGAAGAAGCTTTTGGAACGTCTGCTTGCGGTCAACGTGGATATGCGCCCGAAACAAAGACCTGGAAGCGAAAGGACTCCGAGAGCATCACAGAAAGTCAATCAATTCATCCCCTTTCGGTCCCGCATCGCGAATCCTGTGCGTGGGCGGCACGATGACAAGGGTACCTGGCCCGCAGGGCCGCATGCATTGCCATGCAACTTGCAAGGAGAAGTGGTGCGGCACTTTTCTGAAAAAAAAAAGTCTGGAAGGATTGATCATTGATGAGTCGGACGCACGCGTGGCATGCCTTACAGGGAGAGCGCTCAGATTCAAATCGCAGGACCAAAAGGAACAACCTGGGGCCTGGCGAGGCTTCATCCCACAAGATCAAGCGCGTTATCATCAGAGGGGAGGAGCCTTCCCCTGCCTCGGAGACAATATGCTATTATAAGCGATCTGGCAATTGAAAAGAAGCACGCGCGTCGTTGTGGGCTGCCGAGAAATGAGATGTTACCATCGTCAAGATCCTGATGAGGGCTACGTTCTAACTTGAGCGAAAGCTGAGTGTTGGTTGACACGATCGGTGACTTTGCCTCCCCTGGACTCTCGCCCCGCGATATGCGTCTTCTGTGGCCTCTTGCGGCAGGTCAAGATGGGGGCCGCGGTCCCTTAACCCGAAAGGGCTGGCTGGCTGGTTCACTGATCAGTCGGGCACATCTCAACCGAGCAGGCCGGTACGTGAACGTATATAATCACTGTTAATATAGTTTCCAGAGGCAGCGGAGCGCAGACCTAAGTCCAGGAACGCGCGCTGTGCCTCGACTAGGCTGGGAGATGAAGACAATGGCCCATCTGGGCCATGCTGTAGGTGAATAGACGCGTGAAATCATCGCATCGGCCACCTGGAGAACGCATGTCAGCAACAACGTTGAAGATGCTCGAGCCCCTGCTGGGGCCCGCCGCCAGTGCATGATGCATCCGTGGCTCGCAGACTGTGGATCGTTATTACAATATGTGCGCAGATTGTCTTTCTGTCAGGATTGGGTGAGCAGGAGGATGCATGTAATATCCTAATAAGGGTCGACCGGTGAACAGCAAGTCGGCGATCAAATGTTATAATGCTGCATCTTGATATAGGCTGATGATTATGCGCTTCAACAAGGATACAGCCTGTTGAAAAGTGTACAACGCATGCTTGCTCGCAATTTGGCATGTACGTAGTAATGGGGAGTTTATGAGTGTCTGTTTTTTTTTTAAAAAAAAAAAAACATATCAACAATTAAAGTTGATCGTACGTGAAGTTATCGGCCAAGTCTCCCTCGTCCGTCGTTGAAATCAGCCTTCAAACAACATGTAGTGAGGGCAGCGCCTGCGTCGATGGCCCTTGTTCAGCCACCCGTTCTGTAGCGCAAGTGACCTCGAGATAATTAGAATGTGGCAACATTTCATGACATAGCGTCACGTTTCCTGGCAGGCTGATGGTGAGAGCTGTCTGGGGTAGGTAAGGTACTTTTAGTGTTGAAAGTTGAAACCAAGGACGGGGACCAGACCCCGACGTAACCCTGCACTGCAAGAACCCAATTCTCAAAAGAGACTGGCCTTGCGAGCATGTGCATGCAACCTGACGGCAGCTGGATAACTGTCAGTGTCATGCCGCATGATATCGGTCGCCTTGAAACGAGCTTTAAGCTTCTCAATTATTACCACAGGAGTCTTATGACAGTGACAGGTCTCATGCTGCTGAGTACGGATAAATGGAGACACCAACCATGATGAAAGGAACAGCCGAACAGGCTGCCTCGTGAGATGCTGGGTGAGGCCAAGTGGAGCTTCCATGTGACTTTGTAGTGGCCTGCGTATTAAAATTTATCTGACTTAATTGCTTGGAACTTGGAAGCGAAACCCAATTGCTAATGGGCCACTTACGGTATCATATGTACCTACTTGACGTATCCGTGCGTGCATATAAGTACTACATGTATGATACGAGTGGCCTATCAATTGGGATCACGAAGGACCCGATGCAACTTCTAGCCACTATGTACTCCGTAAGGCCACCTCTTGGTGGGGACTGAAGCGTGAAATCTTGTTGGATGTCACTGACAAGTTGTCACGAACATGACTGGAACTTGTGAAGGCTGTCATCCCCGCCCGTCTTCCGTCTCCTGCATGACTGCAGAATGCAGACTGGACTCTGGAGGTCCTGGATGGGCGTCCCGTGCGACCCGCCCGCAGGACGCGCCTGCGCGAGCCAATGGCCGACGCTGCTCCAGAAGGACGTGACCCCTGCCGCGTCGTGCAGATGGCTCGCATGAGGCTCCAGTCGTCAGTCACTGTTGGACTTGCTTGGACCCTTCCACGTACAGATACGTAGGCGTGGACACTCTACAGAAAACATTTCAATGCCAAGGGGGGTTCGAACACCCACAGGGCTTCCGGGCTTCCACTCGAAACGCGACTTTTCTCCCTCGGATGCATCCTGCGCACACCGCTCTCAACACGGGTCGCCAGTGTAGGCAGACCAAGGCAAGGGCCGCAAGACTGCGCAAGTCGGCGCCCCGCGTGGACTACGGTGGGCACGCAGCAGCTTGGCAATCAATCAATCCCACGGAGACCGAACCCGAGGATACGGTTCGCCTTGCCCATACGCTGTCGATCATATAGCGCTGTGGTGCGACCATCGCTGCACTGCGTCAGGTACGGATAGTGACCATGTTAACTTTCACACGCGAAAGACACGCACGTGACAGTAAGCACCAGCCATCATTGCGTTTTTTCTTGCCTAGGTAAGGTACCTTTCAGGTGTCGATGCCCAATAGCTTCCCGAGTCCCTATTGAATACGGACTGAGATGCCTATCTTTTCCGTGCCGAGCTCCAGTCCAGTCGCTATGTGGGCTCACATTACGCCGCCTTCTGCAGGTTTCGTCACGTTCCCGTGGCGCGAATCCCGCTGCATGGACTTTTTCGTGGGCTTGTTGCAAGTTGGTTACTCTTCCCGACAGTGGCTGTGAATTGTTGGTCTGTTGTTGCAAGACGATGACATTGCAACACGTTGCAACTGCGGCTTAATTAGTCGAATCGCCAGTCTCGTCATGGTCAGTTCAGCTCATTGCTGATCACCGCAGGTATTAATATCGGATTCCGGCCGCCTGATGACTCTGATCATGATCGTCGGCAGGGCCGATTGCACATCACTCCACTCGCAAGTTATTCATGAATTATGAAGTACGGCAACAGTGCGAGACCATCAGAAAACCAGTCTGACCTCCACATGGGACAGCAGACTGGACGTATGCTCAATCATATCCCAAAGCTGAGACACTCGGGAGCAATTGAAGAAGTTAGGGGTACTTTTACACTACACCGCTAGACTACCAACGTGGGGGCCCGTTTGACCTCATGTCTCACACCACGGATACGTAGTACGTACGGTAAGGCATTGACGACGGTGACCACCCGCGGGGGATGTGCTACTCCGTACGTACAGTCACACGTGTTCTTGACCAGCTCCATGTCCCGAGGGCATCACCAGAAGATTGATAGTCTGTAGCAGAGCACAATGGTGACACAGGTCGCGGGCGTCAAAGTCAGTCTCGCCCTGCGCCGACTCGAGGTAGCTATCCATCGAGCTATTGCCGGCCCTCCGCATGCCTCATGCACATCTTCGGTTTCTCTGCGTGCTGCCAGACGAGCAGCCACTCATCGTCTATCAATTGCTATCAGATCGCACTGTTGTACTACGTACAATCAATACTACGTACGTATGTCCTTGAGCAATGAGCGGCACTGTTGCAGAGAGCGACGCCGGCAGATGCAGCTTCGTGTTCCCACTTGGCTTGTTTCACGACTTTCTAGTCTAGTCTCCTCGCGCTACACATCCCTCCGGTATGTGCCACCACCAGCCAGCCAGACCCCTGGGCTGCCGTCGCCATCGTCGTAATCACTTGGGCAGCGAGAAACTTTACGACAGATGTCAAGAGTCTACTAGAGACCTGCTGCCAGTGCCCCTTGCTTGGCTGCGCCCACTCCAACGCGGCGGGCTGGCGTGTTTATCGTCAATATTTCGCAGCCGATATGGATTTGTACCAAAGGCGTACAGTGCCATGGCGCACTCGGAGCGGAACCGGGAGCCCTCTTTTCCGGGCTTGGGTTCCCCATGGAAGCCGAATGGACGGAGACTGGACCCAGCGGATGCAAATGTTGGGGAGTGGAGTGAGGTGGAGTGCGGTGCTGGCAAAAGCACCAAGCATCCTCATCCGCGAGCGGTGCGCGTTGTTGCTCAGAATCCGGGTTGCGTCTGGAAGTTCTGTTCATGTTGCTGGACGGCGGCGAGACAAGTCATTGTCTCAAGGGCTGGCAGCATTGCCAATGTGTTCGTTTTGACCAGGCGTGGAGTTTCATGACATCTTGGCTGAGTCGACATTGACTTGTAGATCCCTTGCAGCACAACTTGCCCGTTCAGTTTGTGCTTCTTCAACGTAAACGCTAACTGTTCATAGTCGGAAACACGCAGTCCCCACGTGTCTCAGTGTGTTAACGATTCGAAGCCCTTTCGCCGACCAGATGCGGCGCCCGTTGTTTCCTCAACTTGTTTCAATTGTCTTGACGTTTCGACGTTCTCCCGTCATCCCCAGAAACATGAACAGACAGAGTGATCAATTTCCGTCACCGTGCATATCGCGATTCAGGGAAGATGCCGTCAACCAACAACATGAACCAAGTGAGTAGTATGGTAACGGTAATGAGGGCAAGCGACCAACAGGTGATCAATTGGCAAGTCCAGTCCTGAGCTCTGCTAGCGCAGCTGCGCCAGCGGAGGCAAGCTTAGCCCTTCTCGGCCCAGCTACTCCATCAGGCATTGTCTAGCGCAGGAACCAGGCACGGCCAGGAACAAGCTCCAGATTGGACTCCAGTTGGCAGTCCACTGCACTGGCAGTCATACTGCAGTCCGTCTCCGTCACCAACCGTGCCCAACAAGGCTACCGTATCAATTAGGGTCCAGTCGTCTGGTGGCGGCCTGGCGTGTTGATTCCTTGAAGGCTTGAAGGACTCGACCCCTGTTTGTCGTGTGCGAGCCTGCGAGGACCTCCCCTGATCGGACGCCAGCCCCTGGCCTCAAGGTCGTGATCCCTGCCTGCTCCATTGGGCCCGTGCCCATATGGCGCGTCTCCCCGGTCGGCACCATCTGTCACTTCTCATTACAGCGAAATTATTCCTTTTATTATCACTGCCTTGCCGTCAGCGCTGCGTACCTGACTTGACCTTACCTTTGCTGTCTGTGCTACTCGACTCTGGTGCGCATCAGCAAACCGTCAGTGTTGCCTCGCTCCTTTTTCCGTTGCTTTTGCATGGTGACGGAGTCATATTATTATTATCATTCTCTGCTTCTTTGCTCGCCCGCTCTCTCTCGCTCAGTTTCATGCATCAATAGACTAGTCGGCAGACGCTCTGCTTCTTCAAGCAACCTTGGTTTGGTACCTCACCTACTTGTACCTTTGCAGCTCAGGAAGCTCTCCATGTCGTCTTTCTTTCTACCACTACTCGCCTCTCCCCACAAACGACTCATTACAACCAATTTCCCCCAAAAGACCCCGAGTTGCGGTCTTGCGGATTGACGCCCAATCTCTGCTCTCTGAGATTCTGATATTCTCCGGACACCGTCTTGGCTTGGCCCCTCGACGATCTTGACTTGCGCATTTTCGCTCAACTCATCCCCCACCTCGATATACCGACTGACAGAGCGACGGACAATACCAAGCCGGACTCTGCGTTGCTGCAATTCGCGAGCATTGGCATTGTACACTTGAAAAATCACTGCGACCAATTGAACGGATTTCGTGGAGGGACAAGCACGCGACAGTCCTTCTGGGCGTTGGAACGTACCCCAGTCTGGAGCGCGAGCTGTCAATGATCCCAGAGGGCACGTTTGCTCGTCGCCCTCTGTTATAACCGCCGCTATGGCCCAGATCAACGGCCAACAACAGCAGCAACAAAGCTCTAGGCGTGCTCGCCGCACCCAGAGCAGAGACGCCCTGAAGACCTCACTATCGGTACCCTCATTGGCTCGAGAGAACAGCGATTTTGCTAGGTCAGATCCTCATGCTACCCCAGACCTTGACTACATGGAGCCCGCCATGGAGGGGCCGCCTTCTCCCGAAAGGCTTCGCCAACTGAGCAAGCAGATGAAAAGGGCTTCGTATCTGAATCGTCCCAGGGTGCAGCGACAACAATCGGCAGGTTCCTCACCTCGGCATGCAATGGATAGGTCACCTTGGGAACAGGCTTTCGAGAACATGTCGCTCAGTCGCAACCCGTCAAGCCGATCCAACTCGAGCGGCGCGCCTTCAGAGCTGCGCACCTCGAGGGAAAGCGTTCAAATCCTGGGACGCAATCTGTTCCAGCGGGGCAACCACGCAAACAACAAGTACAAGCGCGCCAGCAGCTCTCACAGCTCGTCCAACAGCTCAATGTACTCTGCCGAAACGAGTGCTGAAGGCTTCTCCAAGGACTCGCTTATTCCGACCATCTTCGCTAGGCGCAAGCCATCGCGTGACGATACAGCCCAGAAGAGACTGCAGATCTCAGGCCCTTTCAACTTTCAGCACGTCACCCACACGAATCGACACGAAGTGCCTGACCTGCCCAGCGGGAATCGCGTGGATACCACCGCGGAACCCGGCGCACTAAAGATCAAAGCCCAGGACCTGCACCATTTCCACAACGCGTCCATTGACTCTATCCAGAGTGATTTTGACGACGCCCCGTTGGCAGCCCCGCCGTCTCGCCCTCCGTTCGTGCCTCGTCACACTGCCCCTGTGCCTGGCTCGTATCATGCTATGAGGTCGGCCAAGTCTTCGGATCAGCTTCGCACCAATCCGCCGCGAGCTTCCCAGCTGCTCGGATCCCAGCCCCCCACTGACTTTGGCGGCACAGAGCCAACCAGCTTTGCACCCGTGCCACCACCTCGCCTCTCAAGCCGCCAATCCCTGGCGCCAGAAGGCTTTAGCGCATTCGGTCCTGCAGCTGCCGACCGCCCACGAACGAGTGGGGGTTTCCGCAAGCCTCTGCCGTTCGACCCCTCTGAACAGCCAGAGGCCTCGCCACCACCGCCAGCGACGGCGCATGGAGTCGTGCCACCAGCAGATTTCGAGGCGTTTGGCGTCGAAGGCGACGGGCGGTTCTCTCACGCAATCACTACCCCTGACGATGCGGCGTGGCCACTCGCTTGCCCCCAGCTTTCGCCTAGTTTTGACAAGGCTCTACCTGATGTTCCCGAGGAAGAGGAGCAGCATGGCGTCGCTGGTCGCTCGAGACTGAGTATCGCGAGTAACTCGTCGCTCCGCGGTAGCCAGTCTGTTCCCGCGCTTCGGTCTTTCGGGTCTCGCTCCCGGCCCATGAGTACCCAGTCCGACACACTCGGCCCAATCGCAATCGACGTCAAGGCTCAGGTCGATGCTGCAGGCGCAAGCGAAGAGGCCCCTCTGACACCGGCCTCGCCAACTAGTGGCAGCTGGGAGGATGCCATTGACTACTGCTACGAGCATGAAGCGGACGCCAATTTTGATTATCAATGGGATCGCCCGTCTCTAGACAGTGCCCGAGCACCAATGCAGCCTTCGGTGCAGCTTGCCCTGGCTGATGGTGGACTAGCCGAAGCGTCGTCACCGAAGAGTCACGGCAACCTACCCGCTGTGACGGAGGAGGACATGTTTGAGACGACGGTTGCCCAAGCAGCGAGCCAGTCCCAGTTCAGTGGCCAGGACACGCCGGCTCCCTACAGCCACTTGGCTGTGTCGGGCAACTTTTCACTTCCTCGTGGAGATAGGGGAGGCCGCTTGTCCCAACTCAAGGGTGTGCGCCCGGCATCGTACGCGTCGAGCTTCCACGAATCGCATGGATTCAACCTCTCTCCCTCCCTGCTTATCCCTGGGGACTTCCATCAGCAAATGTTGGCTGGGAGGTATGAGTACCACGACGACGAGATCCTGCGCGGGCCTTACCACGACGAGGTTTCGCCGGTGGAGGCGAGGTCGCCCTTGTCCTACCAGCAGCGCTCGAGCACCTCTACTACCAACACAATGTCCAGCACACGGACCGATGATCGCCACGTCTCAGCCAACTCGGCCTTCACGGCTATGACTCGCCTGACTGTGAACAGCAGCAGCACGTCGCTCAACAAAGCTGCTGGCATCACCACCGAGGGCGAGCAGATGCCTGCGAACGTGCTTGCTGAGGCGCAAGATGATAAAAATGACAAAACTGATCAGGAGTACACGTCCCCGGTCAACACGGATACAGTGCCGGAGCTGCCACAGATGCCGGTCGTAAACTTTGCAAGGAAGCCTATGCACCGCTCGCACGCGAGTGAGTCGATAGTGCGTGAGGACATGAGCTCTTTCAAGGCGCAAGATCCTGCGAGGCTCCGCTGGCCCCGTGCGAGGACGTCGAGCCTGTCCGCACAGGTCGCACCACCTGTTGGTCAATACGCTCTGTTCCCGCGCTCCCAAGTCAAAGGCACTGGCGAGCACATCTAAAGGATATCCTCTGTGTGTTTCATTGTTTGGGAATACCCCACCAAAGAGACGCTGCACCTCAAAAACAAACAACCAAAAAAAGTCGCAGAAGATGCGCATGGCACCATAGAACGGCATATCACGATCCGCCCTCACGGGAAGGGGATTGCGGACACTCTTTTTATCTCTCTCTCCTTTTGTTCTCGAGTCTCTCGTTGAAAGGCGTTACCGCCATAAAGGGGCCCCCAAGGGATAATGGGGGCTCACGGACTCTCGGGTTTGAGCAGGCGCTTTTACGGAAACATTCACAACCATCGACAGGGACCCGGGATTGGTCCAGTACACATCGGCACTTGTTTCCTTCTGTTTGTAGGGATGGATCTGTTTAGACTTGGTTTCGAGCATGATGAATGATGGACAATGACAAAGTAGACAACAAAAATAGAGATTCTTTCTCCATGTGGTGGTCTGGTATCAACGTGCAATGCCTCTTCTCTGGGTTTTCCATTCTCCTGAACAGGACAAGATGCTCGACACTTGGAGCATTTATGAAAAAAGGTTCTCAAGGGTTGTTAAAAAAAAAAAAAGGTATGATGTGGCCAATGCCAAAGTATTCAATGATGCCCGCCCGACTAGTTAGCCTCCGGAACGCCGTGTCTCTTAATCAGCAGTGAGTTAGGTACCTCCCCCTCCTCCCATCCCCAGCAGCCCTTGATAAGCATCTTAACCGGTTTTCGACTTCTTCTTTGGTCGCTCCTCTTCCTCCTCGCCGTCATCGACGTCCATCTCGTCACCGTCGACGTCGCTCTCGCCCTGGTCGCTGCCGCTCGCCGAGTCCCCAGAGCTACTATCGTGGGCACTGTCGTACTCCTCGGCCACGTCGCTGTCGCTGTCGGCCTGAAAGTCCTCGTCGACGCTCTCCTCGTCCTCGTCGGCGGAGCCGCGGTCCGCCTTGGCGGCCACAATCTCGTCGTCGGACTCGTCCATGGCCTGCTCCCGCATGGCGGCGGCGAGCATGTTGGACTCCTCGTCAATCTCGTTCTTGACGCGGATGCCCTTGAGCTTGAAGAAGGCCTCGAGGGCCTTGAGGTCCTCGCGGTTGATGTTGCTGAACTGCGAGGAGCCGGCGCCGTTTTTGAGCTTGACGGTGATGTCAAAGGTGGACAGGGCCGAGACGGCGCCCGACACGCGGGAGAAGGTGATGGAGGCGGTCTGCTCGTAGGCAATGTACGTGGCGGGCTTGGGCACGAACATGAAGGCCTTTTCGAGGCAGTAGAGGAAGCCCTCGGAGGCCTTGATGGAGCACTTGATGCCGTACTGGTTGCGGTGGCTGCGTATGTTAGCGGGCTGGTCAGGCCATGCGAAATGATATGTACGTACGTGATAAAGTCCTTGGCCGGGGAGGAGATCTTCTTGTTGGCGAGGCCCCTGAAGATCTTGGCCATGACGTGGTGCAGGGGCTCCTCGTAGTGCGAGACGAGCTTGTCCTTGTACTTGCCCTCGAGCTCCTCGTCCTCGAGGTTGAGGTCAATGGTGACCTCCTCGTCCTTCTTGAACTGCATGACGACAAAGGGGTAGCGGGTCTGGCCCTGGCGCAGGGGCGGGTCGAGGCCGATGCAGAGCATGCAGTGCATCTCGTCGGGCTTGGGGAGGACCATGAACTTCTTGATGGCCTCGTACTGGATCTTGTAGTCGTAGGTCTTGCCGCGCAGGCGGAAGGACGACTCGTACATGTCAATGTCGAAGCGGCCGCGGGGGGTGAGGTGGAGGACGTCGAGGAAGGTGGCGATGGCGTCGCCGGCCGTGTCGCCAATGTCGGCCTTCTCCATGAGGGTGTCGTAGAAGAGGGTGGCGGCGCTCTTCTCGGCCTCGTCGGCGTCGCTGGCGGCGTCGTCGCCCTCGGTCTCCTTCTTGGTGGTCATGCCGGGGATGTAGAAGCGCATCTCGACGAGCTGGTCCCTGCCGGCGCCGGCCTTCTTGCCCTTGCCGCGGGCGCCGCCCAGGGCGCCGTTGGTGCCCGTGTCCTCGGGCTTGAGGGGCAGGGTCATCTCGACGGCGACCTCATTGCGGCCCGCCAGGTTGGTGTTTCCGATCTCGGTGTAGGGGACCTCGAAGGCGGGGCGGTTCTGGACGTTGAAGATGAGCTCGGCCTTTGAGAACTCGGCCTTGCCCCAGTTCCAGCCGCGCAGGGCATGCTCCTTGTTCTCGAGCGGCGCGCTGTACCAGTTCTTGAAGATCTTGGCGAGGCGCTCATAGTCCTCCTGGGCGAAGCCATCGAGCTGGATGATGGTGGACGAGTTCCGCTGGAGGATGCGCACCTCGTAGCCTTTGGAGGCGCGACTCCAGTGGCCGCCGCCAATGTTGCTCTGGTCGAGGGTGAAGGTGTCGCCGCCGCTCGCGGGCTTCCAGCCAAATCCGGTCTCGGCAAATCGACACTTGCCGCTCTCCTTGGAGAGGTCGAGGTAGATGTTGTCGAAGCTCTCGCTGGCGTCGAGGTTAGCTAGCTGCCGGCGCAAGTCAAGCTGCATGGGGCGGCGCGCGGACTCACATGGAAGCCATCCTGACGACTGATGGATGGAGGAAATGGGGTGAATGAAAAGTCGATTGGTCCCGAAATGCGCAAGACCTCGTAGCCGCAGAGAAGGACGGCAATCTAGGTCGGTGCGGTTGATGACGATGCGCAAAGGGCTGGCCGGTCGGATTGCACAGCTCGAAAATTAACAAGAGGCGTGACTGGAGTGACTGACTAGAGGTTGCTCGATCGCGCTGCTGCAGGTCCCTCAAGCCTGGAGACGCGTCGGTGCCTGGCACTGTACAACAGCCCGCAGGGGTCCGGGGGACTGGGCCACAGAGGGTCACATGCGCTGAGGGGCAGAGGTATCTGTGCCGGCTGGGCTATCCTCATTTATCTGGATGCGTTAGTGGCGGCACTGCAATCTCTCCTTTACACTAACTCTCGAGCTAGCCCAGTTTTGTCGCCGTCACGCGATACCTCGAGGACCCAACTGATAACGTGATAACGAACGATGACAACATCAGCGTCCAGTCGATGGATGGATGGTTGACTTCACTTCACTGCCAACTCTCCCTTCTCACAACATCCTCAGCTTTGTCGTTCGTCATCTTGTCTAGCTATCTTTACTTCACGTCTTCATAATCTGCCCTCATTAGACTGCTCTGCTCATCTGCTTCGCACACTATGGAGTCGCACAGGAAGGCCTCCTTCGGGCGTCGATGCGCGTCCACTGGTCGAGTCACGGCGGCAATCCTCTTGTCATTCCTCGCGGTTGCACCGACTACGGTGACCGCATCGACCTCACAACTTGTTGATGACACATTATTCGCACCAGGCCCTCTCCTGCCATCGAATCCCGAACCGATAATACCATCCGAGCATACGTTCACCCTACGCCACATTTACCATCACGGAACCAACAAACACCCCTCTCTACACCGATCCAAGGACATTTTCCACGATGAGTCGCGTGTCTTCTTGGCTGCCGAAGACGATTTTGGAGAGCATGATCTCACCAAGTTAAAGGCGCGGAGTCGAGCCGAGACGATTGAGCGACTCCGAGACCGGCGTCCATCAGTGATTGACCCCATGGTGGCTGAGGCGAGACGCACAGGCGCGGCAGCCGTGCTCGACATGTCTGCCTGGACGATGGATGATTTGCCAACGCCAGACATCACGGACAAGGCCACGGTGCTGAGTATGGCTTACATGGCAGCCGACGCCTATGTGGAGAAGGAAGGCGAGGGTGACTGGGAGGACGTTCGAGGCCCCTTTGGCCGTAGCGACGATTTTGGCTGGGAAGGTGACGGGCTTCGGGGTCACGTGTGGGCAGATGAGAAGAACGAAACTATCGTCATCGGTCTAAAGGGCACATCCACGGCCGTGTTTGACGGCGAGGGCACAACAACCAATGACAAGGTCAACGACAACCTCTTCTTTAGCTGCTGCTGCGGCCAACAGGGCCAATGGACGTGGCATCAGGTATGCGACTGTGCCACGGGAACCTACTCATGCAACAATACATGCGTGGTTGGAGCCCTCATGGAGGAGAATCGCTATTACACCGCAGCCCGCGAGCTCTACTCGAATGTCACCGAGCGATACCCCGACTCGCACATTTGGTTGACGGGTCACTCCCTGGGCGGTGCTGTCAGTTCGCTATTGGGGCTGACGTACGGCCTGCCCGTGGTGACCTTTGAGGCTGTGCCCGAGGCCTTGCCGGCTTCGCGCCTCGGTCTTCCAGTGCCCCGAGGCGCTGACGTCTCGGCACCTCAGACGAGGAAGAACACCGGGGTGTATCACTTTGGACACACCGCCGACCCGGTCTACATTGGGACCTGCAATGGCGCCACAGCCACCTGCTCCTTCGCAGGCTACGCAATGGAGTCCATGTGCCACACAGGACAGGAGTGCATCTACGATGTGGTCACCGACAAGGGATGGAGGGTGGGCATAGGCACCCATCGCATCCGATCCGTCATCAGCGATGTGATTCTCAAGTACGACAATGTTCCCGAGTGTAAGTCGTCCCCAGAGTGTCGCGACTGTGGGCCGTGGAAGTTCTACGAGTCGAATGGCACAGAAACAACGACGACTGCACACTCGTCGACCACCACGAGGACGCGAACAAGAACGTCGACATGCGAAACGCCCGGGTGGTGGGGTTGTCTCGACAAGACGTCAACGAACACGGAGCCAGCCACAACCACATCATCGACTAGCTCGACTTCGACGTGCGAGACACCTGGCTGGTTCGGCTGTTATGACAAGACGACGAGTACCGAAACCACGACGACACAGGAGCCGAGCTCGACAACCTGCGAGACGCCTGGCTGGTTCGGGGGCTGCAAGGATAGCGTCGAACCCACAGCGCCTTCAAAGGGAAACACGGGGATGCCACCCATCACCTCGGCGCCTGAAGCGTCCCAGCCTAGGGCTACCCGCGAGCCTGCAACTGCGACTGCAACTAGCTGTCATCACCGCAATTGGCTTGGGTTCTGCAAGGATGCGACGGTCTACCAAGATCATGTTGAAGATGAGATGTGAAGAACGTGTAGAAACGGACTCGGAGCGTGGGGCGTTACAAGGAGTTTGAGGTGCACACAATACAAAGAGGCATACTACATGTACATATTTGCGTTTATCAGATTAGAGCGTTTGCAATGGTATCAGCAGTGTCTATTAACTTATAGTAGTCTTTGGGTTGTGCGCCAGTCCCCCTTTGATATGGCCTACCCTGTAACCCCACCAGGATTAGTAGTGCAGATGCGCTGCGTTCAGACGGACGTGACTGGACGCGCTTCTTCTGCCACCTTTCGAATTTCTCCAGTTACAAGCACACGACATCACCATTTAGAAACCTGCATGCGAATTCCACAGCAAAACGCCACGACCATGCTGGATGAGCGACAAATAACGATGCCTTTTCTTACTCCCGAATAGTTTACTGTCTACATACTTTCATCGATGATAATGTCCGCCGACGCGGAACCCACACCTGCCGAACGGGACGATGCCGACCTCATCACCACCAGTCGCGAACGATCCAAGGATGTCGGAAGCGATAGCGACACGTCCACCAGCGACGACGAGACGCCTTCCTCGGAGCAAGCGACAGAATGGCTGGCCACGGGACGAAAACGGCGCTCCACCGCGGGCAACAGGATGAAGTTCATGCTCGCCAACGAGGAGCCCGACTCGGACCTGGAGCTCCTCTTCGCTGAGGACGATGATGACCAAGGCTTCAGCGAGGTGGGCGACGACGCGTCCGACGTGCACATGGACTCGTCCTCGGACGACGACGAGGACGACAAGAACGGCGCCCAGGTCGACGAGCTCGAGGGCGAGAAGGAGCTGGAACGCAAAGAAAAGGCACAACGCGCCGCCGCGCGGAAACGCAAGGCCACGGACGCCATCCCCTCCAGGTTCCGGAAAAAGGTCCGCGTCGACGCGACCCCGCAGCGACAGGTCGTCCCACCGCCCGCGCCACGTCCCAAGAAGAAGTCGGAGCGGACATCGTGGCTGCCCACCACGTCCGAACTGCCCACGCGCGCATCCTCCCGATCCACGACCCGCATGTCCAAGGAGCAGCTGCACGCGCAGATGGAGGAGCGCGAGGCGCGACGGCTCAAGCAGATGGAGCACATGGCCAAAAAGGCCGCCAAGGCCGAGGCCATGAAGAAGCCGCCGATGACGCAGGAAGAGAGGCTCCGCGAGGCGGCGCTGGTGGAGAAGCGGAACGCAAAGAGCCTCAATCGGTGGGAGGAGGCCGAGAAGTCGCGCGAGGAAGAGCGAAAGGCCAAGCTGGCCGCACTCAACAACCGGACATTAAAGGGCCCCGTCATCACCTTTTGGAGCGGCACGAGGGCGTGGAAAGACGGTGGCTTGACGAGCTATGTTGTCATGGAGGAGAAGCCGAAAAGAAAGGAGCGGAAGCCCAAGGACAAAGACAAGGACAAGGCGAAACCAGATGGCAGCGGCGAGACCCCGGTCACAAATGGCACAGGACCCCCGAAAGAGATACCTTCAAAGACTGAAAATGGCAATGTGGCAACGCCAGTCAAGGAGGAGCAGGGGACTTCACATCAAACAAACGGGACTCTAGAAGTGACAGAGCCGCAGATAGCACAGCCGTCTGCGGTGTCGCCTCCGACAACGACGACAACGAATGGATTGGCGGCTCCAGTGCCAGGGCCAGCATCGACCACGGCGGTATCAGAAAACAACGACAACAACAACGACAACAACAACAACAACAACAACAACAACAACAACAACAAAAACAACAACAACAACAAAAACAACAACAACAAAAACAACAACAACAACAACAACAACAACAACAAGGCATCTGCCGTACTAGCAGCGCCAGTCCTGGCGGCCCCCGCAGGCGTCGATCCCTCGCCCAGCGCCCCTCCGCCAAACCATCCGGACACGCCAAAATCTTCTGTATTGGCCGCACCGACACCGCAGCCATCCGAGCCTCCCACGCAGGAACAGACGTCCCAGAAGCAGACGCCCCACCAGCCCGTTGCCGCCTCGGATGGGCCCGTGCCTCCTGTGAACAAGCTCACACCACCTGTCGACAAGCCCATCACACCCACAGAAAATGGCACGGGTGCCACGCTAACTGAAGCCCCTGAGCCGCCGTCCGCGGCCACAGCGACAGGAGAAACAGCGCCGGAGTCCACTACCACGGCGACACGCAACACCATTATCTATCAGAACTTTGACGAGAATGCCATCAAGGACAAGTCCATACAGACGCAGGTTCTGTTTGGTCGCAAGATGACCAAGCTCGCCAGTACGTCTTCACCTCCTCCCACACCGCGTTCCCGACAATGTGGTAGCCCTTACTGACGAGAACAGAACCCACTGCCGCCCCGGTGTGCGCGATCACCAACCATCCAGCTCGCTACCATGACCCCGAGACCGGTCTGCCCTACTACAACGCCTATGCGTACCGCGAGATCCACAGGCTCATACGGGGCAACTATAAGTTCAGTGGCGCCCTGGGTGCCTGGGCGGGGAGCGGGACGTATGCGGCCAAGGGCGTGCCGGAGCGCTTCCTGAATCCCGCGGCCAAGAGTGAAAAGCAGAAGATGGAGGAGACGAAAGCGCAGGAGCAGCAGCAGCAGGCCACGGAGAGCAAGGTCAACGGTGCGCACGGGCAACCCGCGCAACCCGCGGAACCCATGGAAGGTGTGGAGACAACCGACGCCTTGAGGACAACGGACCAGATCAAGCAGGTGGAGGCTGTCCAGCCGGCTCCTGCGGCAGTCAACGCGTAGGGTGTTCAGGTGTAAGGACGGACGGACAAGGAGGGTGTTTGTGGGAGGGGATGGATTTGTATAACACTTAGACCGGCAAGTGCTGCAAAGGTCTGTTACCGTGGAGTTTCTTGGGTTCAATGGAAGCGATTGTTACATTAGCATTAGACGGGGTACAATATGCATGTTGGGAGATACCCCCAGGTTGTCATAGTACTGAAAATATAGAATCAAGCCTCACTTGTCCCAAAAGTACGTGCGCTGGGAGCGTATGTTTTCATGCCGTTTGCATGGCTGTCTTCGATTTCACTTTGTGTCTAGCCCGCGAGGACGCTTTGCGAGCACAAATATCTGTGTCTCTAATAATAACATTAGAATCAAGCCAACCCAGTGGCCCAAGCGCCGATTGTTCATAAGCCATGTTCTCCTCGCCGTCATTGGGTCCCGTTTTGATTTGCCCTGCAATGTACCCACCCTAATGCCAGCCTGCGCCCCATAGTCCAAAGCGCCATGTAAACGAATAAGAAAAGAAGGTCCCCTGACCAACGCCTTCTCGATGCTTCAGGGTCTTGTATGATAGTATGATGTGTGTGCTGTTGGAGACGAACCCACTAGAGTCGCCAACGCGGATTAATGAGTGGTGGTGTGTTGTGTGTGTGAGAGTGTGGTTGCGTATCTGTGTAGATCGCGGTTCGGGCGAAGACGGATCATCGGGAGCCGATGCTGTCGACCATCCAGCCCATCTCGGCCACGAAGTCGTCGACACCAGTGTCGGCGGGCGTGGGGAGATAGTGGGCGTTGGAGGTGGGATAGAGAGACGTGTCGACGGGTGCCAAGAGGCGCGGACCGTCCTTGCGCCCAAATGTCGGCCGGTGCTTGAGCTGCTGTGGCTCGTCCGCCTCGTGGACGCGAGGTAGGCTGTAGCCTGTGAGGCGCGATCGAAGGGCGGGAAACTGCTGGATCGGCAGGGCCTGCGAGTCGTGCGCGGACGTCGATGTACAGTCGTCGTCATCCACGGAGTCGTCGTAAAAGGTCAGAGTCTCGGACTCGGGAGTGCCCGCCGACTCAGGCGAGGTCAGATCCGAAGATGTGGCCGATGTCAGGTAGCTGCTCTGCGGCTGGGAAGCAGGTCCAGCAGGGTCAGCTGAATCGCCTGGGTGGACCGCCGTCGGTCGTCGACTCGTCGGACGTTCCGTTGTGAGGGTGAGTGAACTCAGGTTCTTGATTGTGAGAGGCACGGTCTCTGAAGATGTTGATCGTTGAGCAGGTGGCGGGGACAGTCTTGTGTAGTACGGCTGTGTCTCTGAGACGGCGGACGTGGCGAAATTGTCGTCGTCCTCATTCTCCTCCGCAATGTCCTCTGGGATGACCAAGGCCGGACGCTCACTTAGGTTCGAGCCTGGCCTGCTTGGTTGATCGTCGGACAGAAAGCGTCGTAGTGATTCTGGGGATATCGATCGGTTCCGACTCCTTGAGGAACCAGTACTGCGATCACAATCGCGCGTAGTTGCGGAGCTACCACTCTGCGCATCACGATCCCTTGACCGTCCACGGTCATCCTCGCGGCCTTTGCTGCCGAAGAGCTTCTTCCACGCTGGCGCAGGCGATAGCGAGCGACTGGAGGCAGCGTTGCGAAGCATGGTGGGTGCTGTTTTTTTCCTCAACGCAACTGAATCCGTAGGTGAAGTGAGCATGGGCTGTGGTGGGAGGAACTTGGCGGCAGGGTCGAGAGCTTGGTAGTCGGTGATACGCATTGATGTGAGTGACGCACTCCGTTGACGAAGGCTTTGCTGTGAGGGCACAGCCAGACTGTTGACTGTCTGTCCAGGCAAGTAAGGACAAGCATTGGTTGACGGCATGCTCGGATCGTGTGTTTCCGTATTGCCATCCACTTCGTACTGTGAGGAAAGCAGCCGTTAATAGTGATCGGCCGTGGTGAGCTGAGGAAGGGTGGATGGCGCAGCAATGGTCATCATGGGGGAGAAGTTGACTTACATAGTAATAGTACGTGTTCCCCATAGTCAGGCCCCCGTCCCTGGTTCTGGATAGGTCCTCGTCACATATAATGTCCCGGAAAGTATGGCACCCCTTCCACTGACCCTTGCCGCGGCGAGGATCACGGTCCATGGGGTAGCCAGTGCTGAAATTGTCCCAGGACCCAATGAGGTTGACCGACTGGACGGAAGGATGTGTCTGTCTGCACGCGCGGTGTCAGCGTCTGGAATGGTCTGTAATAATCACAGAAATGTCTGACTGGGCTTTGGGAATCATCGAGCTCTGGTGGTATGCAAGTTGCCATTTCGGGCACGGATGCAGTTAAGAAGCCACACTTGGAGAGGCAGGGCAACGTGGATGCGTGTCACTCGACTCCTGATCCGAGTCTGAAACGGACGTGCAAGCGCAGAAGCGGGGGGAAATGCCGGTGAGAGTGAGACTGAGACTCGAGGGCTGTGCTGTCTGCTATGCCTGGATACGGCAGTGGTGGTGCTATGTCCGTGCTCTTGTCTCGTCCGGCGCCAGGGGTTGGTTGATTGGATGGCTGGCCCCAGGTGAGCAAGCTCACAAGTAATGATAAGCCAGCATCTGGTGCTTATGCAGCCTGCAGGCATGCGCAGATGCGATGCCACGAGGCCCAACAAGAATAAGATATATGCATGTGTGTCTTTGGCAATCAACAGCGAGCCCGTCCGCTTGGGTTGGCTCGCCGCGCACTCGCAGCACGGTAAATGAGAATGTCAATCATTTTGAGTGACACATCATGGATTGACCCAGGGGCATCCATGAAAGTCCGATGCGCAAATGACTGATGTGGTCATGGGCCATGGGTACGTGGGCGGAAGAGACAGGCAAGGGTTCTTGGAATTTCGGGAAATAAAGGACAAGAATAGCAAGGCGTATTATGGAGACCATGGGAATGGGTAAGGCTGAAGGGAAATGATTAATGAATGAAACGCATACCGTGTTGATGACAGCACCGGTGGCCCCGGCCGTGAGGCTGAAGCCCCGGGCAAGACACGGTGAGGCTCGGAATGAGCGTGCTTGTGCTTGAGGTGATGCTTGTCCTGTCTGTGCATTTGGATGTTTTTCCACCTTGTCGTCATTGTCACGGCCATTGCGGGATGTCGCAGGCGCAATCCTCAGTCAGGGGACTGGACTCGCTCGGATTGGAGCACGCGGTGGGCTCAGACAAGTGGGAAACGGTGGGTGGCAGTGAACAAGCCCCCGGGAAGTTCGGCCAGCGAGAGGTGAAGAAGGTAATGACTGGAACGGACTCGAGAAACGAAGAGAAGAACTCGGGATTTTGAAAAGCAAGGAAAAGAGAGATGCTCACAATAAAAAGGTGACGAGCGTGGTCGAAGGATCCATAGTGAAGGATGAAACAGAGGAACCACGTTTCTAACTTAGAAATTCAATGATGGAGCCAAACATGGGGTTTCCTCTTTCGTTTCTGTTTCTGGATTCTCTCGTCCTCTCGAAGCGCCCAACGCAAGCGATGCGTGCTGCTCGTTGGCTGTCGATGCTTGGAGGACTGGCTGGAGTGAGTCCCTGGGCGCTTACACGGACTGGCTGTGGAAGCGCCGGAGCTGACACTAACAGACGCGTGTGATCTGGTGGTGGCTTGCTATTAGCACCACGTCAAGGCGCTCCAACACACCGACTGCTGCTTGGTCTGTCTCTGCGCCTGAAACACCAACACCGCCTGCGCGCCCAACAACTCGAGGTCGCAGGTTGTCGCAATGCAGTGAATGCACAATGCCGCGCTTGTTCTGATTGAGGATCCAATTCCAGGAGATTGGGTACCACAGGGCATTGGCCAATGGCAGGCCTCTTGACCGTGTTTGTACAGAATTGGCGCCGGCAAGCGCTGAGCCGTGCGAAGAACTGCTCCGTTTGTGAAATGAGGCCCAGCTCTCGCCAAGCTTTCTTTCCCTTTGCTTGCAAGCAGCGAGGGCGCTGAAGAAGAAGCTGTTGAGGACTGGACTTTCGAGCTCTTCGTATGTCGTGTTCTAGGCCTGATCGCGCCTCAGTTCGTCTCACCGTTTGAGGCGAGGTTTCCAATTGTGTCGTAAATGGGGCGATTGATCCACAGCCACTTTCGTGTTGTGCTACGTGGTGACAACGGTCCGTCCAATGGCAGTTCCGCAGACTGCTGAGGCTGGTCACACAAACGCGTACGCACAGCACAGGCTGAACTCTCAGGTCGTTGAACTTGGGGTCGTCGTCGAGCGGGAGATGGAGGTGAGGACGAAGAGGACCGGCCTTCAGGGTCAGGGCCCTTATGAGGCTGGTCTCGCCCAGTTCCATCTCCCGCATTTACCGGAGAGCGGCAGGTAAGCTTCAATGGGAAAGGCCATGGCGGCCTCGTCAACAGCTTCAGGCGCGCCAAGCTGCCACTTGGAGACGCCTTCACCTTGGATTTCCCAACCAGCCGTTCCGAGATCTGGACAACGCGGCCCCTGATTGGCAGTGCGCCTCCGCCATCGACAAATGAGGGTCCGGCTGTTCAGGGGTCTTTCAGCCTGCTCATCTTGCCATGTGGGCTGCGCGTCGGCGTTTACTGGATCTTGTTCAGCTTGGTAGCCAATGTCTTGCTTCATTTTCCTTGCTGTTGATTAATTGAAACGCGATAAACTTGGTCCGCTCTTCTGAATCGTGATGCGGGCAATGGGCTAGACACTCATCAATGGCAGCACATTGACAAACTTTGGAAGCTTCGACTCGTCTCATACCTCACCTTGCGCAACTGCCGCAAGCAGCATGCATGATCGGCTTCAGCCAAGAGCACCTTCCATTCCATCCCGGCAATGAGGTCACTCCGACGTTGGTACCTGGCCAGCCCTGTCTCGAGTCATTATTGCTACTAAGTACTAATGATTAATACTACCACCAACTGGCGGCATCGAATGCCAATTCACTCAGCGCCGCCAAGGCCCAACGCTCCCACCTCGCAGGTTCGCACGACTTGGCTTGCATGCTCACCGAGATGATGTAACTGTCGGAACTAATGCTCCCACATATGCCGCATCACAGACGCGCCGGTGTAAGGTCAGATTGTGTGATAGACCGCGCAAACTTACCAGAATCATGACACGCCAAATCTCAGTGGTTATATTAGATGCGATGGATCAATACCTGCGGTAGCTATGCAACGATCTATAACTACGTAGTACAAGAGTCCAATCGATAGCTGTCGATAACTATGAGAGTCACGTGCACAACTATGAGAGTCGCATCTATAACTATAGTTACGGGCCAATAACCATCCATCACTGAGAGTCACATTGGTAACTATAGGTAGTTATGAGGACATGGATATCTGTGAGTCTCCTCCAAAACTATAGTGACGAGGAATAACCATATATAACTGTGAGAGTCATATTGATAACTGTAGCAACAAGGACATAACTTTTGATAACTGTGAGAGTCCCATCGATAACTATAGTGACGAACGGGAACTCCATTCATAAACGTAAGAGTCCGATGCGATGAAATACACTGGCATGCGAATTCCAAATGACGCGCACTTCTTAGACTAGCAACTACGTGGAAAGCAGTGCTTATGTGAATGATTAGGATAATGTAATTATTCCATGTAGATGAAATTGTAGGAGCGAACCTCGAGCTCGCCCATCTACGTGCCGTAGGTCTGCAGCGCCGAGTGCGCCCAGGCAAAGCCAGCCAACCATACCAGAATGACCCGTATCCCAGGCCTCCTTTTCGCATAGGTCAAGGATGGCGTCTCTCTTTGCGCAGGGCGCAGGCCAACGACACCAGCATTACTGGCCTCGCGCCACTGGTCCTACCAAGCAAGCAAGTCCGAACGCCGCCATGCTCCAAGAGGAAAAAGACTGTGTCCCAAATTTGTATGCAGCGATGCTAGTCTTGCTGCAAAATCGAAGCATCATGCAGAAGTAAAAAGACGCGCCCTCTCTTGTCGAATTTGAGAGAGCAGCATCACGAAACGGAAATCATGCATGTCGTCGCTGTGTGTGTCTCCCGTATTCCCCGAAATGCAATGTCGCTTGATCCAACTCACTTCGCCCTGGTTGCCGCCTTTTCCTGCTCGCGCTTCTTGTCTGCCAAACGGTCTGTCCGTTTGCCCTCGTACTTGGTCCCGAGCAGACAGTCCCAGAAAGTGAACCAAGGCTGCGAAAAGTTCGTCTTGATGCCCCATGTCTGATGATGGATGTCGTGGTATGCAGCATTGTTGCTAGTAATAGCTTGCAATGGGTCCCAAGGGAACGCATAGCCGCAGTGGTCGTCAACGGTCTTCATCGAGGAGAAGCAGAAGAAGAACATGCCCTGACGCAGGGTCATGCCGGCGATTTTGAAAGCGATGGCGGCGCCCAGTGTGTCCAGCAGGAAGCCCTCAAACGGGTGGTTGTACAGAGCGCCATAGGCATAGGGCACGTAGAGACGATGGTGACGCGAGTGGAAGGTAGCTAAGAAGAAGGGTCAGCGTCTGCCTAGTAGTCCAAGGACAAGGGGATGGGAGAGACTCACTGTACATCCACTTGTTCATGTGCATGAGACGGTGGAGAAAGTACTGCCAGGTGTCCAAGAAAGCAACTCCTACGAATAGCTGGACAGCTGGAATTGCTACCCAGTAGATGAATTTGGCACACATCAACTCCCAAGGCGCAAACGATGGCACGTGTGCGTCCGTGGTCAGGAAGGGGTAGTATCCTCCAGCCAACGCGCCAGCCAAGATGGGGTGCGACGTAGCCATGTTCTTGGAGATTGCCGTCGCATTGAGTCCAACGAGACTCAAAAGGCCAGGCAGGATGCGCTGCGACAGCCTCAGGCGGGTCGCCCAGACGGCAACGTTGTACTCGTCCTTGCCGGTCATCTCAGGCGGTTCAGTCAACGAAAGCACAGCGCCGCCCAGGACCTGGATGATGTGTTGAATGATGACATCGCGCAAGACCTCGTATCGCGAGACGTGATTCCTCTTCGTTATTTCCTCTGGCGTATGGAGGCGATATTGTGGGAATAGGTCTAGGGTATCGACGGCGTGGAACATCATAGACATGGTCCAGTACACGATAATGGGTGCGATGAGATTGAGCCAGAAGTCCGATATGAAAGGCAGCATGTCGGACTGTAGGGTGAGCTCATAGTCTGGCAGTGGCGGAAGGCTGGTATCGAATAGAGAATGATTGGCAGCCATGTTGTTTGGGCTGCTCGCCGAGTCGTTCACCATGGCTGGCAGTGGTCAAACTGGTCGTGTGCGAGTGTCGGTGTATTCGAGGACAAGCCAACAAGGGCGTAGTAATAATTATGTATTCGTCGGGTCGATTAGGAGTCGATTAAGCGCGCCCGCGCAACGTTCTTTGCGATAGATAGGCCCAGTGGCGGTCGTGGAGTATTACTACTCGCAGGAGAGGCGCTCGGAAGGGGCGGATGAGACAAGGTTCTGGAGTAATCAAGGCAGAACGGCTCAGTCAACGTCTGGAGCGTGATGCGCGTCGAATGGCTGAAAAATTGCAGAGGATCTTCGAGGTGTGATAAAGGAGCGGCGTGAAGGAGGCAAGGAATGTCAATGAACAGGGAGTGGTATCTGGCCCAGGAAAGGAGTGTCGGGGTTGAGTTTGAGTGGAAGACGTCAGGTTGATGGCGTGTGTCTGGCAGGCAGGGGCGAGATCAGCAAAGTGGCGTTGTTGCGTCGGAAACGGAACGCGCGATTCCCGGCTCTCCTGATTGCCATGATTTTATCTGATCGAATTTGCTCCACATCTGGGCTGTCACGGTTCCATCTTCAACTAGTAGGTTTACTTTTCTGAGTGGAAACCCCTGATGATTTGGATTTCGACGACTAATTACGTAGCGAGAGCGAGGAAGCGACGCGAGTTCGCGAGTCCGAGGGCTTGTTTGAGCCAAGGAAATCCAGGCCACCACGTCGACCGCGCGCCCAAAGACCCTGCCTGTATTACGGAATTGGACTGTCAGTGATTCTCCCACCCTATACCCGACCATGATGGTACCTTAGTGTTGGGCCGCCAAACTTTGATCGGCGCAAATTGGGTGTGGAAGCTGTCCATGAGCCTGGTCGAGGTTTGCTCACATAAAGATCCACACAAGTGTCAACCTAAGAGTTTAGTTGAGCCGACAATTTCATGTGCATAACTTGCATCCATTCCGCTGATATATTTGTGAGCTGGCTGGCCATACATAGATAGTCAGCCTCACTGGCAAGATCTTCAAGCCCTCCAATTTCATCATTTGACAATCAGAAGATAGACCCAGTGTCAACCACACGATTGCCATCCAAAAACCTACCTTTAACAGTGAACACGCGCTGTAGATGTCAAACGACGAGAAGACTGGCTGCGCGGCGCATTGACCCAAAGTGGCCTTTTCATTGGACGAAGTTTTTTCCTGCGCAGCGGCTCGAAGCGGAATAGCGTCCCAACCCCACCAACGATATTGAAACCCTTGGACAACCTTTTGACTTCCCTCCCCTCCTCGCTCTTGAAATTGTTCCTCTAGCAGCCACCTAACTCTTCTGCCCCATCCACATTCCAAGTCAACCCGAACACCGCCAACATGCTCATCTACAAGGTGCGTTCCCATCAGCGACACACTCGCCCGCCTGTACAGGACACAGAGCGTGTCGCGATCCCACGGACTGCCCCGCCATGTACTGACTGACCCCGCTCAGGATATCCTCACCGGCGACGAGATCGTCTCCGACTCGTACGACCCCAAGCTTGTCGACAATGTTGTCTACGAGGTCGACTGTGCTATGGTCACAGAGGGCGCCGTCGAGGTCAACACTGGCGCCAACGCCTCCGCCGAGGAGGCCGAGGAGGCCCTTGACGATGCCGAGGTCAAGGTCAACAACGTCGTCAACTCTTTCCGCCTGCAGAGCACCGTTTTCGACAAGAAGTCCTACCTCTCCCACCTCAAGGGCTACATGAAGGCCGTCAAGGCCAAGTTGACCGAGAAGGGCGCCTCGCCCGAGACCATTGCCGAGTTTGAGAAGGGCGCCCAGACCTACGTTAAGGAGAAGCTCCTCCCCAACTTCAAGGACTTTGAGTTCTACACTGGCGAGTCGCAGGATGTCGACGGCATGTGAGTACAAGTGCTCGTCCGTCTGTGACGCTCGGAATGCTAACTAGACCAGGGTCGTTCTGCTCAACTACCGTGAGGACGGTGTCACCCCCTATATCATCGCCTGGAAGCACGGTCTTGAGGAGATGAAGGTCTAAGCGATCGGACTGGAGCCTGGGATGACGAAAACGATGGTGGATGGATATGGCATGTGATATGAAAAAGCACAGCTATACAACTGCGCATGAGCTGATTCAATGACCCTCTTCCCTTTGTCAAGATGCTGGATCTACATGAAGATATGAATAACCAGCCAACCCACCTTGATCTACAAACAAATCGATGCGCGCTCGTGTGATGTGAAAATAAATTCAAGTTTAGAATGTCGGTCGCGTAGACATGGGTATCGGAGGTGGCTGATCCTCATCAGTGCCCACTTGAGTCGCAGCTGGCAGCGCTGCAAGACCCGGTTTCTTCTTCGGAGGAGGCGGCGGCGGCTTCTTCTTGGCGGCAGCTACTGCTTTGAGAGGCTGACTAGGTAGTAAAGCTGGCTGCGCCTCCTGATGCGAGGACTGGATAGGTCGCGTCGGCAGCAGCTGCGGCGCGGGTGCTGGCGCGGACGCTGGCTCGCTTTCCTCTGGCTGTGCCTGTTGGCCTCTGGCAAACCCACCAAGCTTGCTCGACACTCCGAATCTCTGGTCCAGACTGTTTGCTGTCTTGGCCCCCGAAGCAATCTGGGCCCCATGTCTTTGCCGGAAGCTGTTCGCCGTGCCTGCGGCCGACCTCGCGTCCGACATTGATATACTGGAGGGATCCTTCTGGAAATTCGAAGCCGTGTTGAGAGCCTGCTGTTTCTGCGCCCACGTGGTTCCCTCAGATGGCGGATCTTGGGTTTGCGATTGTGTAGTCCTGAGCTTTGAGAAGCGGTTCTGTAGCTCGTTGACCGGCGCAGCACTCTGCCTGGGTGGTGGAGGTGGGCTTGGTGATGCCTGCTGGCCCCTGATGCCCAACCCAGGGACATTCACCCCAGCAGCGCCCAATCTGTTCACTGCGCCTTCGTTGAGCAGGCCTCCGGATGGCTCGGACTCTTGACTGCTGTTTGTCGCCGCCGAGTTAGTCCTCGCGGGGAGCCTGGGTGGGAGGCTTGGCTTGGCGCTCGGTGGGGGCATGATCGCGGCTGGCTGCCTCGACGGCAATGCTGGCGAACCTCTCGCCGGCAGTGAAGGGGACTGTCGGGCTGAGGTGCTCGCTTCGAGCTCGGGCGGTCCCCTTCCATCAGCGCCATCTCTCCTCCCCGGCGGTTTCGGCAAGTGATCCACACTCAACCCAGTTGTGTTGGCCCTGTACGGGCCCCTGGGCTTCTCCTCTTCCTCCTGCTCCAATTCTTCCTGCTGCGAGATGCCATACTTCTGATAGTATTCCAACTGCGACTGCTCCGCCGAGGTCTTGGGCGGTGGTGGAACAGGTGGTCCCCTTGGGTCTTGATACTTGCTGGGCGCCGCGACGACTTGCCGGGTCTCAGTAGAGCGTGGGGGAGGAGGAGGGAGCGCGCCGTTGGCGGTGCGCTTCGGTGGCGGCGCAAATGACGAAGGATCCTTGAGAGACGTTATAGGCACAGACACATGGTTTTGGGCCTTTGTTGAGGGATCATCTTTGTTACCGCGGACAAGCCCACTCTGTCTGGGTCAGCGCACAGCGGTCGTCAGTAGGGAATGGGGAGGACTATACCACTTGACCACGGATGCCCTTCTTCTCCGTGCCACGGCTTTTTTCTGGATGCCACCCACCCTTCACGAGGTCTTTGTACTTGGACATGATGAATGTAGACCCATCGGTGAAGAGAAAGGGTGTGATTAGGCCAAAGCCCAATGTCTGGGTCGTGTGTGATAAAGTGGTGCGTGCGCGGGGTGACGTCGCGGCAAGTGGGGCGGAGCAGTCCGACATTCCAGGCAAAGGTACAGGCACGGGTACAGGGTAGACATGTTTTGATGGACGTAGAATTGCGTTCAGGCCGCCATCATGACCAAGTCAAGCATCTCAACAAAGGCCGCTCACGACAAGCTGATAGCTGCTCTGACGCGTCGAATCTCACCAATTGCTGTTCTATGACTAGGATTTTGCAGTCGTACTCGTCACAGAAACACCAAACTCACAGATACGCAAAATAAGACGCGTCACATTGCGTCTAAAGTACCATCATGAGCACCAATTCAGACTACGAGCTGCTGACTGAGCATCTTGGGTTCCCCCCGGTCACTCTGCTCGACGACATTATCAACACAGTAAACGTCCTCTCCGACCGTGCTCTGGTGTCCATTGAAGATCTACTTCTGGGCTTGCCGGCAGCCAACATTGGGTTTCGCGCTGGGGAAACAGGCACGGCCGAGGACGCGGCGCGCCATGAAATCGAGAATGGCACACATCAGCTCGAAACCCTGCTGACGGCGTCGATTGATCGCAATTTTGACAAACTGGAGCTCTACGCGATGCAGAATATCCTCACGGTGCAGCCTCGGGATCTGCGACCTTTTGTCCGGCTGGCACACTACCAGGGTCTTGACTTTGCGGACGACAGCAGCGCGGACGTGGAGGGCACCAACGCGCTGCGGAGGCGATACCAGGCCAGCCAGAAAGTGAATCTTGCCCTGCAGAAACAGAGAGCGAGGAACGAGGCGCTGCTGCGGGCACTGCGGCACGCCGTCGGGGCCGCTGCGGACGACAGGATCAAGGTGGAACCCAAAGAGGGCGAGGAGGACAGCGAGAGCAGTACGTTTGGCTTCCTCAATGAGAGGAGGGGATTGGCAAGCATTGGGTCCGACACACCGATCACAACAACGGCACAGTTCACCCTATCGCAGCTTAATGCGTTGCGTGGGCTTTCGACTTCGTTACGAGAACTGATACCCAATCTCGCGGTGTTGGGCGACGAGCAGGGCACGGCAAAGTCATGGAGACGAGAGAGGAGCGAATACGTGGAGCAGTCATCGAGAAAGTACCTCGAAAAGACCAGCGGGCTGGAACTGGGCTCGCAGGGCGAGGTGCGCGACGGAGAGTATCAGGGCGCAGGACGGGGGATTAGCAAGGACCAGGTCGAGGGATTCGAAGCCGTCGTGGCCATGTTGGGGGACAAGTCGGCACCAGCTGGTGATGAACGAATGCATGAGTCGTAATTTGTAATACAGTATCGCTTTGTGTGAACATATAATACAGTCTATGATGATGATGATGATGATGATGACAATGGGGTGGCCTCGTCCGTCTTGGTCCGTCGCGCGTCGAGAACTTTGCGCAGTTCCAGCGGTGCGCTCTCCCACTCCAGCAGCCCGTACTTGTACGCCTCGTGCCAAAAGTGATGACCCCATCGCCTCTCCGCGCTCAGACCCTTGAACACCTCCAGCGTCTGGCTGACGACCCTCCGCGCGCCCTGCTCATCCTTATTCTCCACCAAGGCTGTGAGCAACGACAGCAGGTTGCTCTGCGTCGTCATGGGCCGATGGCGCCTTGCCAGCTCATCGTACAGGGCCATGGCCCGCTGCGTGTCGCCGAGATAAGAGTACACGCCGGCGATGCTCTCCCACAGGCTCTGGTCGCCCAGCTCCCGCGTCGTGAATCCGTACTTGACGAGGAAGGCCTCGACGTGATCCGCGGTGGTGTGTGGCCGCTTGAGCATGCGGTCGACAAGGGTGAGCGCCATGTGCGGGCTGATCTGCTTGATGCCAGCGGCGTGCATGTGCTGGAGCACCGCGTCGACGACGGCGTCCGAGTTGTTCTGGTCGGACGCGACGGCGTGGAGCATCTTGCCAAAGACGATGAGGTTGGGTTTGACGCCCGACGCGTGCAGTTCGGCAAAGGCATGCTCGACGGCTTTGATCTTGTCATCGGACGAGGCTTGGGAGATGGTGCCAAGCGAATGATCCAGGAGAATGGTAAAGGTCGAGGCGTCCGGTTCGATGCCTTGCTGCTTCATCGCCTTGAGGAGCGCGGGCAGATCCCTCGCCGGGTTCTCCCCCTTGAAGCACTCCCGAAGAAGGACGTTGTACGTGAATACATCTGGCTGTATGCCTTGCCTGCCAGCCCACTCGAGGATCTGAAAGGCGGCCTGCCTGTCCGAGCGGATGACGCGGCTGAACGCTGTGTTGAAGACGTCAATCGTCGGCTTCACGGCCGTCTCCGGCTGGCCTCTCTTGACCGCATCCTCCCACGTGGCCTGCATCTTGGCGAGCGCCGCGATGCCGCCCTGCAAGTCACCCAGCTCAATCAAGCCGGAGATCCTCTCTGTCCACGCCGTGGTGTCCAGCGGGATGCCTGCCTCGATGATACTGTCCCACAGCGCATTCATCCGCCCACGATCTCGCGAAGACCGCCATCCGTGCATCATGCCCGTGTACGTCTTGATCGTTGCCTTGAGCCCTATCTCATCCATCATGGCCTGCGCGTCCGCCACCCGTTCGGGCCGGCCTATGGCGCAGAAGACAAAGAACCAAAAGTCGAGGAACTCGGGATCGCTCCTGATCTGCGCGGCCAGGCTGGGATCCTCGCGGATCCATGTGCGCAGCTTCTCCCAGTTCAGCATGACGGCGCCAATGTTGCCTGTCGAGTGGGCGCGGCTGGCCATCTTGTGGAAATGCGTGAGGGTCTTTGTCGAGGCGATACCGGCGTGCGAGATGGCGAGCTGCGGGTTGTTGGACTCCCAGTTCGTCTTGTTCTGGGAGAGCACCGTGGCTGTCATGGGCCAATCTGTTCGGACGATGGTGGCCAGAGCAGAGGCCTTGTAATCGGGGACGAGGAGACTGCCGGTCCCAAAGACTTCCTGGATATAGTCCTCGGGCATGATGCATCCGTCCAGGGCGGCGGCTGCGATCCGGAGCAGAGGGATAGCCTCGGCCACCCAGGACGCATGGACAATCTTTGGGTTCGTGATGGTGACAAGCGTGATCAGGAGAGCCGGGATGACAGACTGCAGCTGCGTTAGGGAGTACTGAGGAAGAATGGCGCCCAGGCAAGCTTCTGTCCTTGCAGCTCCCTCGGCGCGCTCATTTTGCATGGATCTCCTCCTCTCCTGGATCTCCTCCAAGTCGGGGAGCATCCATGTCGTGGTCTGGGCCTTGTCTCGACCCGGGCGCACCTGAGAAATGCTCTTCCAAATCTCGAGTATCTCGAGAAACATACTCCTCCGTTGCGGCACAATTCGCAGGTGTCTGAGATGATTGCACAGTGTGGCGACGAGAGCGGCCTTCATGTAGACACCCATGCCCGTGGCGTCCACCAGATTCGCGACGCGCAGACAGATGCCCGGCAAAGGCACTGCTCTGCCGACAAGCTCGCGCCGGGCGCTGCCCAGAAATTGGCGCGTCACGATGAAGAGATCTCGGGGCAACGGCAACCCCAGAACCCGGAGTTCTGGGAGGAGCTGCGACTCAAAGTGATCCAGACGCTGGCTGACGGGGGCATTGGATTTCATGGCCTGGTCGATTCGCGCTGTGAGCTGCCATTCATTCGTACCGAGCGGGGTGTTGCGACTGGGTCTCGAGTACTCCTCGAGATCTGGTGGATCGACGTCGTGAGTACCGTCACTCACAACGTCGTTGAAGATGGCGATCGCGGCGTCACCATCGTCGGGCGAGGGACGCCTCCTCTGCCGCATCGGGCGTGGCCGTCGGGCCCCAGCCTTGGGAGCATGCTGGCGCGTCTTCTCGGCCGCTGGAGAGTCTCTGCGGGCACCGGCCAAGGCAGAGCCGATGGGATCGGTTGAGCTCGTGCTGTTTGAGCGTGTCGAAATGGAGTTGGCCAAGGTGATGGCGCCGTGCTGGGCAGCTAAGCGTGAGTGGCCCAGCTTGCAGGCACTCGTCGCGGACAGTGCACGTGAGAATGACATGACATTGTGTGCTTCCTGACAGAGTCCAGTCAGTGACCGAGGTGTCGCGTCTCAGTGAATTTTCGAGATGAAGGCCAACCCATCAGATCCCTGAAGGCTTGCTTCCCCGAGGTGAGCGACGAATCATGTCGCAGGCTCTGCGCGTATGCACATATCCGTTTATGCGGTAAAGGAGCCGGCTTCATTATGCATTTCGCTTCGACTTGTCTGTGATCGTACGGTATAATCAAATTGTATGGTATCAATTACTGGTGACATGATAAACTACAAAGACGGCTGGAATTTCCTGCCCTCGAGCTCCTCCACCTTCTGCACACTCTTCTTGTAGCCTTCCTCAGCCTCGAGGCGGTCCACGTACTCGTTGATCGCCGGGAAGGCCTTGGCCCAGGAGCCGCCCTCCCAGTTGCCAATCTCATCCAGGCGTCCCCGGGCCGCGATGAGCGGGAAGCTCATGAGGATGTCCGCCGCCGTCAGCTTGTCGCCGCAGAGGTAGCGCCCAGAGGAGGACTTGAGCATGCCGTCGAGCATGCCCATGTGCTTCTGGGCGTTGGGGAAGATGAAGGTGGAGAAGATGCGGTTGGCGGCGGCGCCCGTAATGGGCCGGATGAAGAAGGGGACCTGGGGCGACTTGAGGGCGTTGATGACAATGGTCATGACCAGGATGGGCATGAGGCTGCCCTCGCAGTAGTGCATGATGTACATGTACCGCATATACTCCTCGGTCTCGCCTCCAATCTTGCCCTCCTGGCCCTCCTTGTACTTGGGGGGCATCAACTTGGCGCCTGTGGGCGTGTTCTCGACGAGGTACTGCGTCATCCAGCCGCTCTCCGCCAGCGTGAGAGGCGCGCCGCCGTTGGCAGGCGTGACCTTGATGACGGGTGATTTGCCGAGCGGGTGAATCTTCATCAGCTCAGCGGGCGCGAGCATGGTCTTCTCGCGATGGAAGAGCTCTAGGGTGTAGGGCAATTCCAGCGCCTCGAGCAGCCAGACGATGCGCTGGGAGCGCGACTGGTCAAGCCTGGAGGTCTAGTCAGTTTCTCAGGTCGCACAATTGGACAACTCAAACGACATACCAGTAGAGAGTGACATGGGGGAGATCTGCGTTGGCCATGGTGGTTTATCGCGTTGCGCTGTGCTGCTATCTAGGTCTGAGGTGAGTGTTGTGACGATGGCAATTGACCGAGGGAGAACTCGACTATAAGGGCCGTGACGGGGCGTCAAAACTCCAGTCAGTAGATAACCACTAGTCTAAAAGTTAAGCTCGTGATTATAATTAATAAGAGCGCTTATGACGTCTAGCCTTCTCGGGTACTCAATGGACCGCTGCGCCTCGCAAGCGGCGACCCTTTGATCGTCCGTCAAAGGCACCTCCTCGACATTTCTCGGCTCCCCACTTCCTTGTCCACTGCAGTCGCTGTGCCGAGGGACGTCGTTGATGGAGGTACAGTAGCTTATAATTAATGTCTCCGATGCATGCGGGCCCCGAGTGGTCTCCAACGGTTCAACAATCAAGCAAAGTGTAAAGAAGCATCCTAATTGATCGCCCAATGCTCGACAATACGTGGTCTAACACCGCGTTGGCTTGTCGCCGCATGTGCTCGCGTACCTCGGCCCACCAACCTCCAACTCTCTCCATCGCACTTCGCAGCCTATGTGCACTTTGTGCTTTCTAAACGGACCGTAGCAGTTAATTAACCAATGCTTCCTTGTAAATTTGCCTAGCATCCATCAGGCATGCAGTACACCTGTGCAGTGCAGTCAGGCCCTCCAAGACAACGCCAACCCGCTCCATCCAAGCACCGCCTAGACGAGGCAAAGTCAATGTGCTCAGCCATGCACGCATGCTCTCTTTGATAAAAACGTCAAAACTCCTGTCCCATGCGCAGCCCCCCTGACGCAGCATCGTTGGCGTATGCCAGCCCAGCCGCTCTGCTGTCAAGTGCTATTCACCTCTCTCCCTTCCATAGGACCATTGCTCGTCGCATCGCATCTAACGGCGGCCCTTCTTTGGCGCAGACCCCTGCGCAAGGTCGCTCATGGCCTCGCGTTTCTTCGTCTGCTTCCGCGCACGTGGCCTCGGCGGCGGCTCGCTGTGCAAATGACCCAGGTCCTCCAGGGCCTGCGAGTTCTCCCACGCGAGACACCTGTGGTTCGGTGGCTCGGGCGTCTTCTCCCGGATGCGCGAGCTGCTCCGCTTCGTCTCTTCCTTCTCGTTCTGCTCATCGCGGCCCGCCAGATACGCCTCGCGGTTCTTCATGCCGAGCACGATCTTGTCGCGGAAGTTGTAGAGCTCTTGCTTGAGCTTCTTCTCGCGCACGCCGCGAATGTCAAGCCAGTTGATCAGCTTGTCCACATCGTCTGGCTTCGAGATGTAGCCCCATTGGTGCGCAGTAAATACTCGCGTCTTCCCCTCCTCCTTCTCCTTGCGCGTCTTGACCGTGTGGCCAAACTTGTGCCAGTGCTCCTCCTTGCCCTCGCCCTCGAGATCGATGAACCCTTCCCGCTCAATGTCATCAGGTCCCTGGATCCAGATGCAGCCATTTGCATAGCCAGCATGCGCCGTCGAGCTCGTGGGTAGCCCACCGTAGGGCATGCCGTTACGCTCAAACCAGTAGTATCGATTCCAGAAGCGGTCCTTTCCCAGGACGCGGGTGCGAGGGCAGTCAGCCTCCCGCAGGTCGTTCTCGATCACGCCAACCTCCTCCTCGCATTCCTTGACCTGTTCTTCCTTCTTCGCAATCTCCTTCAGCAGCTTGATGAATGCCTTGGACTGGGGCGGGGGCTTGGGCTGAGCCTTTTCTTTCTTGGCCTTCTCCTCCTTCATTCGTTGCTTTGCTTCGTCAAGCTTTTGCTGTTTGCCCCTGCGCTTCTTGCGCGAAGGGACTTCGTCGTCCGTGTTCTCTGTGTCACGGACAGTCTCGTCGGCGTCCATCATCGTGCTGTCTTCGCGGTTGGCTGCTTCTTCATTTTCCTGTTCGCGGTCCTCCGGCGGTGATGGGGGCATGTTGTCGGGCAACATGATTTTACGCTGCTCGTTGAGTTGCCGCAGCTCCTCGAGGCTGCACCGTGTTAGTCGGCCGGCCATCCATATCACTGTCTGTTCAAGTCCACTTACGCTTGTTTCTTCTGCCTTTGCCACTCGATCCTTTCCTTCCGATACTTGGTCATCGTGTCACTGCACTCATCCATGTAGCCCCGGACGGTCTTCGTCTCCATCGTCAGCATGCAGATCATTTGCAGGATCCTCACGCGCAGATTGACGTCGAGGTTCGAGTATGCCTGCAGGACGCTCTCCTGGCTCGGCTCCTCGCCAGGCGGTACCAGCTCCAGCAGGAGCTCGTCACAGGCAGCTTCATGCCGGCTGTCTTTCGACAGCTGGTACAAAAGCCCAACAACAATCATCTGCCAGCCGCCATTGGCAAAAGCGCGCTCACGCAATTTCTCAATCCAGTCGAAATCTTGGAGTAGCTCCTCGGCACGATGGTGCGTGGCCAGCTCTGCCTGCTGCTCCTCTTCCTCGGCCGCAGCAGCCTCAGCGGCCAGCTTCTTGGCTTCCAGCTTGGCGAGACTGCTCCGTGTCGCCCGCGCGGCCGGTTTGGGCTCCGGTTCCGGTGTGGGCGCTTGGCTTTCTTCCTCCTCCTCCTCTTCCTCGTCACTGTCCTCCTCGTCCATCTCCGGCAGGGTGATCCTTACTTTACCGCCGTCGCGCTCTGAATCCACGAGTATCTTGAGAACCGCGCAATGAACCTCGTCAAAGAGTTGCACAGGCACTTCCTCTGACGCGACAATCATCGCCTCGACGAAATCGTCAAACGTGAACGAGTCAAGCTTGAAAATCTCGCAGTACACATTCAGCGTGTCCCACGTTTCCAGCAGCCCGCCGACGGACTGCATCTCAATCTTTCTCGACCGCCAATCGGGCTCATGCGTGACGCCCTCCCCTTGTCCAGGTGGTGCCTCCTTGCACATGAATCTCATTTCGGGTCGTGTCTCGCTGTCAGGCTTGGGCGCAATCTCAAGATCCTCAATGGGGTATTTGATGGGAGGCGGCGGCGGAGGTGGCGTCGGCTCCTTGACCACCGGGTGGTGATTCGAGTGTTTGCCTTGCTGCCCCTTGTGCCCCGGTTTGAGGTCAGGGAGTCTGGCGGGTTCACCGTTGGTTATCGCGTGCCCGTCTGCATCGTGCCCATGCGACGCGCGCTTCTGGGCCTGTATCTGCTTGCGCTCCGCACGCTTCGTCTCGAGCCGCAAGTGAGGTGGGATCCTGGTATCTATGCGGAAGCGGTTTGCGTAGTCGTGCTTCACAAGCCAAGGTGCCCCATTCCATGAGTCCCTAATCGTCGTGCGTTTGATGAAAGATCGTAGCAAGGACTTTGTAAACACGCCCCGGTCCCTTGATACGTCCTCCTCGAAAACGCTGATTTCGCGTTTGCTGTCGTTCAACGATACCATATACCGCGTCGTCGGTGCTTTGGTTTCAAACTCTGAAATGTACCTCGGTCCCATCCTCGTCTTGTCTCGAACCAGGCCGTGCAGTCGTTCCCCGTTCTCGACGACGACGGTGACTTCCTCGCCAGGAAAGTAATCCGACTTGAACTCGGCGTATATTTCGTCCACCATAGTGTCCAGCCGCGAGGTAGTTCGGAACTGAACTTTCCGAAGGACCGGACCTTTGAGCTGCTCTGGGAAGCTCTCCTCGATCTCCTTACCCCCAGTGAGCTGCGCGGTCAGTAAAGCTGGACTTGGCGCTCCATGATTTGGCCAACGAACCTCGCTCTTGAAAGCCTCGAAGAAGGTCATTCCTGATTGACCGGTGATCTGGTCCCCAAAGCGACGCTGCAATGTTAGCTCCTCTGATAGAGACTACCAATGAAGGATTGCCCAACCTGTTTATAAAAGTCCATCCTGTGAAGCATGAGCAAATGATTACGGTAGTGCGCAGATCAGGGCTTACCGAGTAAGATAGTCCTCATAGGAGACGAAGACCTCCCCCGTCTGGGGAATCAGCCAGACCTGCAGCGCGAGCATGAGTATACTGCGCAGAAGACAGACAAAAGTGCGTCGCGCGACTCACCTCAGTTTCATCGTTTGGTACAAAATCTGGCTCCAGAAACTGCACGGGTTTGCGCTTGAAAAGTACCTATCTCGTGTAAGTCATCGCGCGTCATACAAGAGTGTTGTCGCAAATACCATGATGCGAAAATTGAAGCAAAGCAAGGCTCAGCTTCGAGAGCCTTGGCCGTTTGTTCTTTGTAGATGTCCGTCTCAGGACCGAATGAATCCTCGATTTCGCGACCCTCAATCTCTCAAACCCGTAACCCCAAAGAAGATCTATCAAGCGTTGTTGCCCATTTGCATATAGTTCAATTTGGCTGTTACGTGTATCGGGTGTCTTGGTCGCGAATGTCGTTCTAGATGGCCGAGGAGGTCAATTGTCGTCGCAGTCTCGTGGTGGTGGCCGGGAGGGCCTGCAGCAAAGTCGGGTTGCCGGACCCAAGATCCAGGAACGCGCTCGGTTGAGTCCAATGGTGAGGCGCGCTGCGCGGGGCGGGAAGCGTGTAAGTGAAGCCAGGCGACGACCAAGTACTTCTAGTGTTGTCTATGGACGTTCAGGGTTGCGAGCCAGGGTGGATGGGGGCGGTCGGCGCGACTGAGGCGATGCTGTGTCTGGTGCGTGACGTTTGAACAAAGTTGGAGGAGGTGAAGGAGAAAAAGAGGACGGAGGGCGAGATATGGAGTGGTAGACGGACGGGGTGTATGAGCTTGCAGCGGATTGACGGGTTTATACTGGGGCCTTTCCAGGTCGCGGTACTTGGCTCCACAGCCAACCGCAGCCTGTAGCGCCGTACAGGTACTTTCTTGGCTAGCTCCCTCGTCATCCCGCTGGAGCTGCTTTGCCTGGTCATTTTATCCTCTCCCACCCGCAGTCTCCTCTGACGCGCCGTCCTGCCTCCCAACTTCGTGTTTTGACCACACTTTTTGGGGTCGTTCTGCTCGCTGGACATCAGCGAACACGGCAGAGGCCCTGTGAATACAATCAAAAGGAAATCCATCAAGTAGTCGCCCTATATCAATCGCCTCCTGATTGTCGTCTTTGATGGGAAGTCAACAGTCCTGGAGACGCGAGGGCCAGGGAACGTGTCAGCATGCATCATTTTCAACAAAGTACTCATTGGGAATCGTCTGAGTGTACTATCGTAAGCTTGGTGCATTGTACAGTGTCCTTTGCCTTGTTGTTATGGTTCAACGTTCACTTAGACATCTAGTATCCCAATCGGGTAATCTTCAAGTCAATAAAGACACCCCCTACGGAGTAGCTGAGCATTAAGCTTGGATTCTTGTGCTTTCACTGTATTTTGTATTGCGATTCGACCTCGCAGCGACATGACCCTTGTTCCTTTCGCTGTCTGTTCGGTGTCGAAAGCAAAGCCTCATGACACGCGCCCTGGCGTGGGCGATGCATCACATCCCGTCTCCACGTGAGCCGGAACCCACTGCTCCCCTGACGGTAAAACTGCTGACTCATCAAACAAAGGCCATGTATTAAACCAGGGCAACATGTTCCAATCATTCGCACACACAACTCTCTTGAAGGCAATGTTTTGATTTGATGGTTCTGGAAGAGGTCCTTTTCTCTGTTCCTTATGCGGTGAAATACACAACCATGTAACCCACCCAGCTCCCAAATACCCCAATGGCGGCGTAAGAGCTGGTAAACATCAGGGGCAGGAACTCGTAGCGTTTCCCAAACACAATCTGATGCAGGAGAGAAGTGTAGGCAATGAGTGGAATGCTCACTGCAATATAAAGGGTGCTGAAGCGGTCCAGAAGGAAGAAACGCGGCTTTTTCGACGCTGGCGCCATCCGCTCAAATATCATCAGGAATAAGACCAGCCAGAAGATGGTGTATATCGTCTTGATGGGAAATTCGGCCGGCGTGAAGAGCAAAGGGAAGAGCGAAACATGACCCGCGACAGCCAGCGGCTTGAACGCGCCGAAGTGTCGTCGATCCCTGAGCGCCACCAGGCTGAAGGGGATGATCACCAGCAAGATGGCCTTCTCATGCACATGCCATCCGAACAGAAACGAGGCGTATCCGCAAAGAGTGACAGCGCCAATGAAGTTCTCCCATGTAGGTTTCGAAAAGAGCTTCAGAAGGGGCAGGATCTGGAAGAACAGAGTGAGGATTAAACACGTCCTTGGGGTGATCTCGGGAAGCACAGCAAACGCTGTGTCGCCGACAAGTCCGCGCGTTACGCTGGACAGAGCGTCTTCTTTCAGTGTCAATCCCAAACGAGGGGCAACTATGATCTTGTCAGCCTAGTCCTCGGCAGCTCGGGAGAACGGAGCACGAACGGTGGATGAGGACCCTATCGGTGAACGAGTACATGGCCCAGACGTTTGGTGCCCAGTAAGCATGGCACAAGCCCCTCGAGAATGGGAACAAACGGCTGAGCATCTGTGGCATTTGCTCCGTGAACACAAACGGGCCAAAGGCTGCCCCTAAGATGCCCGCGATACCCCCACCTAGCTTGATGCAGTTGAAGATCCGTGGACGGAAGATGGACTTGGCCGACAGGCAATAGGTGCGGAGTAGAAACACAAAGTAAGCTGGCGCCAGGTATAGGTAAATGTGTTTGAAACACAGCAAGGCCGCAAAGATGAGGCCGCTAGACAGCAGGGTGGTCTTACAGCGCGCAAGTACCAAGGACCACACCAAAATCCCATACATGAAGCCATTGTACTGGAAATGAATGTGGTCAATGATGAGCAGTCCAGGCGAGAGAATGATGGACAACGCGACAACATGCGCTGCTCTCCTTGACTGCAGCGGCGAGGTTTCCATAAACAATTGGAGGGCGTAGACAAGCATGACCTCAGTCACAATGACTGAGGTGCGCTGAAAGTAAATCGTCTGCCAACTGTCATAGTCGAGATTGTGTATGCGGACCATGGCCGTGTCCACGAGTCGCGCGATGTGGGACAAGGTCCATTCGAAGTAGGCGAAGAAGGGAGGGTAATCGAGGGTCCATTCCGACGTCTTTTCGTAGTACCATTGAGAAAGCGGCAAGCTGTTGGTAATGGCGAGCCAATTGCGGTGCACTTCGAAGTCGGTGGATTTACTGTGGAGGAAGGATCAGCTTGAGAACATGAAGATGGAGGCAGGACGAGGAGCATGCTCACTATGCTGGGAAAAGCAGAATCTTGAAGGCGGCCGCGACAAGCGCGCATTGCGCCAACGTCGGGTACTGTTCGGACATGATGTTGTTGCTCATGAGTACAATGGTAGAAAAAGTAGCGGCGGCGCGGTCATGGTAATTGGCAAGTACTTTGACCGGCGCAGAGTGATGGAACGAAATCACCTCAGACGTGTGCTTGACAATAAATCGCAGGTTGGATTACCCTGGTCGTTAGTGCTGCTCCGCGATGGTGGAGAAGTCTGGAGATTTTGGAGATGTGGCTGATGCAGATCCACCCTGGTGCCAATTACAGGGGCAGCTCGAGCTGCGAGTGGTCAAGCCACGGCCAAGCAAAGGACGGAGCTGCAACGCCACAGGACTGGAGCTGCAGGGGCTCGCTCAATTAATAGCTTATGACTGCGTGTCCAGATGGGCTCACGGTAGAGCAACCTCCAGTCCGTGTCACTTGTTCATGCGAGCAGTCTTTTGGTATCATCACACGGCCTCGCGTCCGAATTTGTGGATTCCGCGTCTATTCCAAGAATTGTTCTGATTTTTCATATCCAATTGCAAGCGCTGGCGCCGAGAACCGACCACCACTGAGACGAAGCTATCCGCAGCGAGAACACCTTGACGAGACACACCACCAACAGTGCTACAGCGCGTGCACGCAAAGCCAAAGTACTTGGAGACACACAAACACACATAATGCGTGTTACCGTGGCAGCGCTGCTGGCAGTGGCCACTGCCTCTGCTCAGCAGATCCTTGTCAGCGACCTCAGCTTCGGTTACCAGGGCCGGTAAGTTCCACGAGCATGCTCAACAATGGACGTCGCTAACGATCTACAGATTGAGCGCTCCTGGCAGCCGAGGCAAGGTCGACAACTTTGCCATCGCCGGGTCCGGCGTGCCACCACAGGTTCTCTCCAACAAAGTCATCCTGACCCCCGTCTCTCCCGGCAACCAAAGAGCGTCGATATGGTCCGAGAAACAATTGCAAGAGACGGAATGGGTGGCTGACGTCGATCTGCGTGCCAATGGTCCTGAGCGCGGAGGCGGCAACCTCAACATCTGGTTGGCCAACGACGGAGAGAGGCAGGTCGGCCAGAGCAGCATCTACACTGTTGGCAAATTCGAGGGCCTGGCGCTGGTCATCGACGCTCACGGCGGCTCGGGAGGCATGCTGCGTGCGTTCCTCAACGATGGCACCATCGACTACGGTGCCCGGTCAAGCGTCGATGAGCTTGCCTTTGGCCACTGCCTGTATTCCTACCGCAATCTTGGACGCCCCTCGCAAGTCAAGATGAAGCAGTCACGCGACATCTTCAAGGTTGAGATCGACGGTCGCTTGTGTTTCGAGAGCGACAAGGTCAGCATCCCTCAGGGCTACAAGTTCGGTATCACGGCGGCCACGCCCGACAACCCAGACTCCTTTGAGATCTTCAAGCTCGTTGTCATGTCTGACCGCACGACGCCAAGTGACAGGTCCAGCTACAGGACGCGGCAGCAACAGCCCAAGCGTGAGGCTAACCCCAATGCCAACGTCAACAATAACAACAACAACAACAACAACAACAACAATATTGGCACAGAGCCGCTTGAGGATTTCGACGACGGGCCCCTCGACGAAGATCCTGATATCTTCCAGACGTCCCGAACGCAATTCCAGGACCTGCACAACCGCCTGCAATCAACAAACCACCAGCTGTCATCTGTCTACCGCTCGGTCTCGCGCCACCACCAGCTTGACGAGCAGCGTCACAATGAGATGAAGGGCCTGTTGAACGACTTCAGGGCCGAGTTTGGCAAGTTTGACAAGATCGCCGCCATGGAGCAGAAGATCAACAACATGGAGAAGGAGATCCGGGGCCTGCGGAACGAACTGGGCAAGAAGATGCGCGACAATGAGCGCAACGTCAAGGGCTTCCTCAATGACCACCATGCCACCCTCTCCCAGACTCTGCTCGACAGCGTCCCCGGCCACGGCAAGCTTATCTGGATTTTTATTGGCACACAAGTGCTGGTTGTCGCAGCCTACGTGGCATACAAAAGGCGCAGGGCAAATTCGCCCAAGAAGTTCTTGTAGATGCTGTCGCCAGGGGAGAGTGGGTTGCATATCGAGGTGTATACTACTACGCGAGCGTGTCGCTATGAGCATGACGGGACCTTCGATTTTGGGTAGCATAGTATGATTTTATGTGATTTGATGCATGATGCATTCCCTGATAATCGCAATTGACATTGAAAACCCTGTGATGCCGTGTACACTGCGGCTTGGTTGCTTGCTGTACTTGTGTGCTCAACGCGAACCACCAGCTCATGTGGCAATGCTTGGCCTGTCATCCCATGCCGTGTTCATTTGACTCTGCCGTTGATGATGTCCAGCATAGCCTCTCCCTTGGGTGCCGTAGTCAGGTTCTCGAAACCTTTCTCGGTGACCAAGATGTCATCCTCAATTCGTACACCGCCAACGCTGTAGTACTCCTCCAAGACTTCCTTGTCAAAGAACCGCGCGAACTCAGGTCGACAGAGGAAGTACCCTTCAATGTAGTCGCGGTTGAAGTAGCTGCCACATCTTAGTATCACGTATGAAATCCGTCGCATAAAAAAAATCCAACTTACATGCCAGGCTCGACGGTGACAATCATGCCCGGTCGCAAAACCTGATGTGCTCTCCATCCCCCCTGCACAATGTCTTCCATTTCCATAGGCGTAATCATCTCTCGTTTACTGCGTTCTGTCCTCTTTGACGACGACGCAAACAGCAGCCTTTCGTCGCCGCTCACGTCGTGGCATTCTAACCCGACGTGGTGGCCCAGACCATGAGGAAAGAAAGCAGTGACGACATGACTGGCTATGATCTCGTCTCTGTCACCCACAAGGATGTCCACAGCCATCAGCCCATCAACAGCGATATCCGCAGCCGCCGCGTGCAGGTACGCGAATTCCTCACCAGGGATCATGGAGGCGATGACTTCCCTCTGCATTTCACTGACAATGCTGTGGATAACGTTGCTCTTCCCGGTGAATTCCCCTGAAATCGGAAGAGTGCGTGTGATGTCACTGGCGTAGCATCGGAACTCGCAACCCGCATCCACGACAATGAGTTCCTTGCCCTTCAGAGGCTCGTTATTCGCGCCGTAGTGCAGTGTCGCTGCGTTCGCGCCAGCTCCGGCGATGATGTCGTAAGCCTGGCTGTGTGCGCCTTGGGCGATCGAAAGCGCCTTGAAAGTAGCTTCGACCTCTTGCTCGTTGCGCATCTTGAGTAGGTTCTTCATGACCTCCAGATGTGCACGGCTCGAGATGGCATTCGCGCGGCGAATCAGTGCGATCTCGTACTCATCCTTGATGACTCTCGCCCTGTCCATAGCAGGCCGTAATGCTGACGTGTCGAATCTGGGATGGTCCCGGCCACTGTCCGTCATGTCAGGCTGCTGATTGCGATTCAACGCAAAGATGGTTGTGGATGAGTCACATTGAGACTCCAAGTACTTGCATAGATCTCTCTCCAGGCGCACGTCGTCCACATCGAACATGGAAGCCGCCTTTCCTGGGCTGGGAAAGGAACCGTACCACATTGCCTGCCTTGGCTCGACAAAGGGGATCCAAAGAATGAGATTCTGTCGTACGATGTCATAGGTCACTGCGCAGTCCGGCAGGTCGACGCCGGTCATGTAGAAGAAGTAGCGGCGTTGACGGAACCTGGGACCCATGTCCGAGTCTTCATAATGAGTTGTGACCTCGCCGGGCAAGTAGATGAAGCCCTTGTCGACGTTGTCTGCTCCGCCGGCCCGCAGTTCGTCTACGACTTTGCGAGCATGAGCCCTCGCTATCTCGCGTTAGGATCCACATTGGAGGCATATTGGACAGCACTGGTCGATACCTGGGTATTTCTGCTTGAGTATAGCTTCTTCTTTGAGATCGGGCTCTCCGTTTAACTTCCTATGATTCTCATCAGCAAGCGCTGTTGATAATGAATCGTGTACTTACAACGCATCGAATTCCCGGTCAGGGACCGGGTCGATGTTACGTCCTTCCATGACACGCATTGGTATGGCAAATTTGGACGATGCTAAGTCAAGGGAATATGTAGACGCTCAGTGACAAATCGCAGGTGCCTCAATCAATTGAATGTACGTAGTAGCGTCGTTGCACTGAACACATGACATGGCCGTTCTCAGGTGACGACCCCGTGTCCTCGTATGCGGCACCGTGACAGCGGGAGGCTGGAGCTCCCAATAGTTACGTCACGTGCTCGCTCACCAAGGACTGGACCTCGCCGCGACTCAGTCTTGTCCGTGCGACTACCGTGCGTCCAGCACTGTCATCGGCACCGACGTCGGCGGACTAAACCAAGTCGCCTCAGGGGTGCCTTATCTCTAAATCGACACCGATTCGTCATGATAGCGCTCATTAACGTGAAAGAAGAGTTTCATGGCCACGGGGCTACTGAGTACGTGTAGACGACCACACATTGAGGTCAAGTTCTTTGAATGCAATCATCATAGCAAGATTATGCTTTCTCTATGAACATATCGTCTGTCCAAACAGCGCCGAGATCCAAGAAACCAGGAACATACATCTTCCTGGCAGTTCGCCCCTATCTGTATAAACACCCGAGCAATGCCATTGTACCCAAGAAATTCGTGCTCCTGAATGTACTGATTCCGTTGCTACAGCCCCCCCTTGCTCCTGGCCTTCCGGTGGTGAAAATCCCACGATCCCCTAGTAGATAACGCCGTGTATCGTGCATATATCATGTCGAGTACGTACAGTGCCCTTAATAAACAGTGAAAAGCAATTGAGCCAAACAAGAAATGGACGGGGTATCGCGCTCTCTCACATCCCTTGGAAAACGCCACGGCCAGACCCAAAGAAACCACCCCAGTCCGCTTGCATGCCATTCTGATCAAACATCTGATCAATCTGCCTCTCCTGCCGTCGCGGATGCACTCTACGGCCCTGCGATATGGTAGAGTGTATGGACTGGGATGACGTCGAAGGTGGCTGCGAGTGTGATTGTTGACCACTCATCGGAACGTTGTACATCGGATCGAACATGTTCGCCGAGAACTCCAGGCCTGGTTGGCCTTCGGGATGCTGGATCGCGTAAGGTGGGGGCTGTCCCAGGAGCTGGGAATCCACGTCGTCCATTGAGCCTGGCATGAAGAACTGAGATCCTTGCGCTTGCTGCTGACCCACGGGGGGCGGAGGCTGGTATCCAAGCTCCATCATGGGCTGATTGGGGTAGGCAAAGGGATCTTCCGATGGAAACATGAGGTGGTCAAGCTTGTTGACAGGGTTGCGCCCATTGAATGATTGACCTTGCTGCTGGATCGCATACGGCTGTTGTGAGCTAGAAGCCGTGCTGGGGGAGCCAGATGTGGCTCGAGAGGACATGTCGAAAGCGAGAAGATCAGGCATGCCAGTGAAGCTAGGGTCTTGGAAGCGCTGCTCAGACATGGAGGGCACAGCATCGCCAGAGCCACGAGACGCGGGCGTGCTGTAGGCCGGTGCAGTCCTGCCCCCGTTACGAGCACGCGCCAAGTCCCCAGTGCGCTGCGACGAGACGCTGGACTGCCGGCCGGTCGAGAACATGGGGATTGGTCCTGATTTACCAGAATTCTGTGCTGAACGCTTCTTGCTTTGCACGGTCTTGTGGTTCGCGGGGTCCAGTTTCTCGGGTAGTTGTTCGAACAGCACCTGGAGCGATTTCGTCACTCGCTCGGCCGCCAGGCTCTTGTCGGCTAGCTCTGCGATCATCTTGCGCCCAGCTTGCGCATCAGCGAGGACTTCTGCTGAGCCTGGCTTTTCTGGATTCTCTATCGCGTAGAACACCAGCGACAGGACTGCAAAGAACTCCGTGTAGAGCATGAACCAGTAAGGCCCACTGAGGACCCTCTGCTTGCGGATCTCGAGACCAATGTGGACGATGTTGCGAGAGACACTGATCGCAGCAGCAGCGCAGGCGTACGACAGTTCGTCAATCTTAGTCCCTTGACTCAGGCGTGGCGACACGTAATGGAGAAACGGCCGGTACAGGACCAACTGCACGTGTGCGTAGACGAATCTGAGCAAGTGACGCACCCTCACAACCTCAATGGGGCCTTCAGGGCTCGGTCGCCACGTTTCGGGAAGCCTCTCGAACCACTGCTGGAGTTCGCCTTCGATTTCCTTGATCCTGGAATAGCTGATGGAGTACGTGGATGCCGCCGCCGACTTCTGGCGCTTGATGCTGGATTCTGATCCCTTCATCGGATACACATACTTTGTAATTTTGGCTAGTATTTCCATGAGACGCGTATGTGCGTTAAAGGCCACATAGAAGGAGGATGAACCGGGAGGTGGTTGCAGAATCATGTTATGCGTGACGAATTTGTCGTCGACCTCTGTTGGAAATGGCTGGTCGACGTCATCGGCGTTGAGCATCAGCGGAAAGCCCAACAGGGTGGAGAGGTAAATATCCATCTGGCGGATGACATAGAACACGCGCCGTCGAGTCTCGTCTTCGATTGTGTCTATTTGGTCGTGTTTGAGATGGCGATGAAGGCCCATGTGGAGAGCGGACCGCAGGGCGATGCCTACAAATGTGTAGCATGCGCTCATGTTCGAAGTCGCTTGGAGGAAAAGGATGATGAAAAGCAGCGCTTGAAGCGAAGTGAGGTCGCGGCATTGCGTAATGTCTTGTATCAATGCTCGTGCGCTCTTGTAGTATTTCATGCTTGAAAAGTTAGTGTCGTTTTCTTACTGTGGATTCGTACCGGCTCACCCTTCATCCATGGCTTCTTTCACGCTCATCTTGTGGGAGTTTTGTTCATCGAGGCTCTCGTACATGCAACCGAGAGCCAAGACAGCGTATACAAGGCCCAGAAAGTGCGTTTCTTCTTGGTTCAGAGATTCGACAGGTCGATCGTAAATTTTGTCGAGTTTCTCGTAGAACGAAGGCACGTGAACAATACGGACCAGGCAGGTCGCGCAGCCGAGGGAGTAATAGCAGAGGTTGCGAGTGACCTCTTTGGATGGGAGCTCGGCGTAGTTGGAAACTGATGAGAACGGTGACTGGCCGACGGGCGTAGGTGGATCGAGGTTTGCCAACCCAACAGTAGGTCGCTCAGGTTTCGTGGTGAAAGGTAATTTTGCCGACGGCCCAAGCTTGCCACGGAAATGCTCTTTCATGCGTTTCAGGAACATGGATCCAGATGAGATGCCGTGGAAGTCCCAACCGCCTTTGTCGTCGATGTCAAGTTGCCCAGTCGAGTCAATCATGGATACAATCTGCGCGTCGTTTGAATCCGAGCTGGATGGCGGAGGCACATTGGAAGGTCCCCCATGCTGTCTCGCGACTCGTGCGCGTGTTTGCTCGCGATTGTGGAATTCTTGCTGAACGGCAGGGTCGAGGTTGGGGTCTGCGAGATCTACATCAGGCATAAATTTGCGGAGGAGGGTTTCAGCGCGCTGTAGTCGGCCCTCGAGGGCTTCTATGTATTGCGGCGCAGGATTCCGTCTTCGATTGGAGGGCTTATCATAAGTGCATTCTACAGGATCCTGTCAGTCCAAAAGAGGGGAGCGGCAAACGCAAGTCGCGATGACATACCGTAGCTGTACACTGAGCAATGTGTGCATGGTTGTTTGCCGTCGCATTTGATCTTCTTGCGACGACACTCGTCGCAAGCGCGAGTAACTCGACGCCGTTTCTGTATCGGTTGTGAGGGCGCGCTTGGGTCAGCAGGATCCTGCTCGGAGTCACTAGCGCCCGGAGACGCGCCGCCGCCGTGAGTCGTCCAGTCGTGAGACGGAAGACCACCGTCGTCTTCCGACATGTCTTGCGACAAGCCGGCCTGGCATAGTTAGCATTGCTTGTTCAGGGATGCGTGCACCCTTTCGGTGAGGCTGGGATGGCACGCAGAGGCTCGCGGCGTCGCATGCGCCAGGGCGGGGCTCACCATGGTGACCGCTGTGTACGCAGGTAGGTAGGACGTCGAGATTCGGCCGTGAGTGATTGGCTTGTAGCGCGGTGGAGGAGGGAATCGGCGAGGCGACCAGATATTGATCAGGCTAGATCTTGGTTGGATTTTGGTAGGCGATCCAAGCGTTCGTCGGGCTCAAGTCGTCGAGTTCCCAGTGGCGCCAGCAGCAGAATCCCATTGCCCGACTCCCGTCTCAAGTCTTTTTCTGCGAAACGGAAGTCTCCCAATTGCCTTGAGGAGATGGCAAAATGGCAATCTATGCCATGAATGGCCTGTCGGCAAGCATTCGTCGTCGTTCAATTCCACGCAGTGCTGGTCTGATCGTCTTCGTATCGCTAGGGCGAGTCGGCGGCCATCGATCAAGTAGGGGAGGAAAGAAAGATACAGGTCTAGGATGTGCTGGTGGACGCGGGCGCCGCTGGGGGGGACTGGGAGAGAGAGTGAGAGACGGAGAGAGGAAATCCAGTCCGATTGCATGCAGATTGCTAGAGCAAAAGTCGGCAGTACAACGAGACCCGCTAGTTGGAGGAGGCGCCGGCGCCAAACGCGCACGACCGTGAGGCCTCAGGCGCCCTTGTGACGCCTGGGTCCGATGAGAGGGCCGTCCAGGCCTGCACAAGCAAAAGTACCTCTGTCTTTTGCACTAACATCACTCGCTGCAGTCGCTAACTGTCCCGCGTCCACGTCAACCTCAGCTGCCCAGGCCTCCAGTCGCTCTCAGCAAACTGCCGACAGTGCACCTGTTGGCATCGACCAAAAGCCCAGAATCCAAATATTCAGCTTGTCGCTTACTCGCAGCCGTCAAGCGACGTGAAATACGGTGACGGTGTTGTAGCTTTCCACTCCCTCGTGACAGCCAGCGCGACGGTGAATAATCCTGCATGGCTGATTTGGCAGTCTAGGGCTGAGGTTCTCTCCTCGCGCCTCTAAATTAGCACAGTGCTGAAATGCTGGCTGGGGCCCGCTAAAAGTGAAGTTATCACTCCGCTGACGGGTTGATCGTCAGACGTTTTGCATCGGACATGTCTTCCTACAGTCTAATTACTCCGTACAGTTACAAATACAGCTGCCCGGAACTTTTGACTGTGAAAGGAAGAATGGCACAGGTCCCTTTACCTTGGCTTGTCAGCCCGAGGCCAGGCCCAAGTACGTACGCAAGGCAGTAAGAATTCAAGCACAAATTTTGAGTTTTAGCACCCGATCGAAGGTTCGGGCGCCCATTCTCGACCAGTGGGGGGAGCGCAGAAAGAGGCAACCCATCGACATGAGCGAGTCAGGCTTCGGCACTCGCGACGATGGACGCGGCCTGCAGAAGAATCAGCCAAGCAATGCTACGGCGGTTTACGATGCGGTCATAATAACGGCCATTGCGAGGCTATCGTCTAATCACGCGCAAGCGTTTGATAAACACCAGACCAATTCACGAACAGATACTTTTCTACTGTCACGGTAGCTGTCTAGTGGGCTTTATTTAGGAGGTGCTCGCTGATGAGACTCACTTAAGCAATGAGAAGGAGGCAATACAGTACTATATTCACGTAGATAAAAGTACCAGAGCGCAGTCATTCATAATTGTGTACTATTACCACGTATTACGCAGGAGCCATTCTGCGAAGCGCAAGTCAAGCACCACCAGAGATCGGTGAGATGCAGGACTCTGCCCGCCCCGTTGGCTGCTGTTGGCGGGGCGGAAATACTGGACTGGAGTCCAGTTCTTGGCTGCTGGGTGATTCCAAAGGGGTCCGCAGCCTGGGGTAGTTTCTACGTACATGTACGTGCAATGAATTATACGCGCTTTGACAAACTGCGTCCATTTCAGGTCAGGTTTTACGACTGGACTAAGGAATGTACATGACGCGGCTGTCCATGACGCGGCCGGCTGCCTCTCTCGACGCTGAGGTAACCGTGAGGTGAGACGACAGGGCGCTCGCTAGACATACTAAGCCAGGCACACAGCAGGCTACAAGACCATCCCCATGTCGAGCTGCGCTGTGATTCGAGGCTGGGGTTAGCTCAAGATGAGAACCGCGGGGTTGGTTCGAGGTATGAAATCATGGGACTTGATAATTAATAGATGCATTTCATCGCGTCGCTTCCTCAAATCAAACTCGTTGACACGTAAACGAACCTGCTGGAGGCGGTCCCGTCCTCTGCGCTTCGCGCCCGTAGTGGTTGCAACGACTCTGGATTTTGGGGTCCCTATCGGCCGCTTGCCGTATATCCGATCAGGGATTGGAGGCCGTCTACGGAGTACTGAGGCTCTAGAGGAACGGCCGATAGGGGCGCTACCAGACAGTGTGTGCGGTTCTCGGGGGTGTGGGGGCCTCTGCCTCAATTGCTTTCCTTATTAGTCTAATAAGTAGATTCATCTTTACCTTTTTTTGTTTTAGGTTGGCGCGGAGGACCCGGAAGCATGAGCACTTGAAGGACGATAGTTACTTCAAGATTTAGTGCCTCATGGGTCGCGGGTATCACTTTTAGCTCCATAGGTAAAGAGGTGAGTCCTACCTTATTTCGTTGGTGAGATTGTCTGAGGCATTGGGGCTCGTGGTGAATGACCAAGCAGAAGATCGTCTCCCATCTACAATATTGTAAGGTAAGTACATTTTGCCTAAAATGGCCTGGCACGTGGCCAATAGCTTCAAAGGTAAAAAATACTATTAGTGAAGCAGGGAATGGCATTGAGTTTACCTTCCAGGAACTTTGGGTATTGTTATACCTACGTACTAAGATGGTCATGGCCGGACCCTATCATATATCCATCTAGTCAACGGCGCTGCCATGGCGACTCCTCCCAAGAACATACTTGCCAGAATTTTCCAATTAGCATGTGGCTCGGTCTCAACTAAAAGTTGCAACTCGGTTAAAGGAGGTGAGGAGACAACAGAATGGGGACAGCACGCTCTCGCACTGACAGGACACTCACTGAGCGCTGCATTAGTATTACTTTGATTTTGCCGGCAATAATCACAAATCTACATTGTGGCAGCACAGTGAGGCTAGACTCTACATAATACTAGCATTAGTTTGCTTTACAGATCGGTCACCAACGCGCAGAATTTGAAATAAAAGCAAGATATGTAATAAGGCCCCCGGAAGTGTGAACAGACCCCATCACCTCGGAACGCGCAGAACGAGCCCCACCAGACATCGATGCAGTCACGGTAGGCCGCCGGCAGCTCCAGCGTGGGGTACCAACCCACCCTATTCAACATCACAGCTCGTCAGCTCGTTGAATCACAGCATAACCTGGGAGACTGCCACACCGGAGCTTTGAGGCCATGGCGCACCTCACGCCAGACTTGCAGAATTATTTTGGCCACATGCGACAGCAGGGAGGCGTTGTCGTTGAAAGTGAGTCCAACTCGAAGCTTCCCCTCCGCTGCGGCGCAAACGGTATCCAGAACACGCAGGCTGACCATCGTGATTTAGCCTTGCCAAAACTCGACTTGGATCTATACATCAAGAACTACGAAGGTGCGGGTGCAGTTCCAGCGGTTTGTGCTGCTTGGCGTACTGACAAGAAAACCCCCAGGCCGGACCCAATTCGACCGACTCCTCCATATCGGCCGATCCTCCATCCCGCTGTGTGTCGACGCTCTGAAAGCCGCAGTCAAAGAAGCAAAGGCTGGCGGGGATGTAAGCAGATACAACGAGGCCTGGGAGAACATCAGGGTCGCAGCGCCCTACGAGCCGGAGGCTATCAAGGATGAGGAGTGGATTAAACGCCAAAACGACATCAACAAGAAGGAATCTACTCGTCTGGAGTCCAACCTTTCAGGGTATAAACAAAATGGAATCAAAGAAAGCATACGTGTGAGTCCGAACCACGTACATCACGCATGGAGCCAGGCTGACAGCCTCAGATGGGCAACGAGGACCTGGGTCAACACTACGAACAGATCGGCAAGTTGCGAGAGGCCTCTGACGCCTATGGCCGTATGCGGCACGAGGTCAGCACGACGAAGCACATTATGGATTGCTGTCAGCGGTTGATCAGCGTGGCACTCCAGCGGAGAGACTGGTCCTCGATCATCAGCAACATTGCTAAGATCAACAGTATCCAGGGCGTAGAGGATGATCGTGGTATGCAGCCATACATTAAGATCGTATCGGGCATCGGATATCTCGGGAAAGGGCTCTTCAAGGAGGCCGCCGACAACCTGCTCCAAGCAGATTTGAGTGCCCCCGCCGATACGTTCAACGACATTGCCACGCCTAACGATGTTGCCATCTATGGAGGTCTTCTCGCACTGGCGGTTATGGACCGTGACCGCTTGCAGACGCGCGTGCTCGACAACCCCCAGTTCAGGGTTTTCCTCGAGACAGAAAGTCACATCAGAAAGGCCATCACCCACTTTGTCAGCGGTCGATATTCTGCATGCCTGTCCATTCTCGAATCATACAAAGCGGACTATCTGCTTGATATCTACCTGTCGAAACATGTCGAGACCATCTTCTCGCGGATTCGACAGAAATGCATCACCCAGTACTTCGTACCCTTTTCGTGCGTCACACTCGACAGTCTCAACGAGACATTCGCACACGACGGTCAATCTATCGAGGCAGAGCTGGTGGATATGATCCGCTCGGGAAGTCTCAATGCCAGGATCGACTCGGAATCCAGGGTAAGAATTCAATTCAAATCTCCGGTAGAAACACACTGACACCCTGCAGTTGCTTGTTGCCGTGCAGTCGGATCCTCGGTTAGAGATGCAATATGCTGCGTTGAAGGCTGCGCGCAAATACGGGGACGAGGCGAAAGAGCGTCTGCGTCGCATCAACCTCATTGCTGCGGGTCTGGAAGTGAAGGCTGGCAAGCAGCAGCCTGGAGGAGAGATAGCATGGGCTGAGGGCGCGCCACTGGGTGCAGTTTCCTAGTAGATCCTCCGGGGCACCATGACTTTCATTGCATTTTGGGGGGTTGATCAGCTGCCAGACCCGATTCACCCAAAGGCTGCAGCAATATCGAACCGATGGCGTTCTGGTCAGCATTCATAAAACATTGGCGCCTGGGCCATGGGTTTCGGTAGCATCGTTGTGGATGGGCAGCAGACTCTTTCGCGCCACCACATAGGAACAAGGACTCCATGTGCAGTAAGCATAGATACGTTGGTCGGGAAAGAAGTGAGACGGCTTGGTATCATGTGTTGTGTCCGTTGTGTTGGTCGAAGTACTGTGCACACATCTGGGTTTACTTCGACGTTGGGCTGTTGATAGGGTTGCAGACAATGCATGCCGTCTCAGCCCATTAACTGGCGCATATCTGTCGGTGGCCACCTCACCTGCGCGAACGTCAAGCACCTCTTGATGCTCTGTAAGTACTTCCTCGTGACTTCGTCACCCATCACGTGGCCTTTTTGGCCATCGTGAAGCTTTTCGCGAGCGCTACGCTCGTGAATGCCAACCATGGTCACACCGATCGGCCAAGCGGCTTTTCCAATGCTGAGTTGCAAGTAGCCGTCGTTTGCATCCACGTAACGCCGTTCTTGTAGCGCTTGTACGATTTCGGAGATGGCCTTGAGTAAAGAGGACTCCACGTCATCCTTCTCGAACTTGCGGAAAAGCTACAGAGGTTAGTATTCCAAGTGCCAAACATCTCAGGTCGACATACCGGCTTGAGGTTTTCTCGTGTCTGCACCATTGTAGCGTAGGCATTCCGGCTGGCCGTGGTGTCTTCCTTCTCAGCATCCATGGCTCGTTCGTACTCCCGCAGTACCATCGTGAAGTAACTGGCCAACTTCCTGTACAGGAGTTTACGAGCATCTTTGTCAACGGGCTCCACCGCCTGGACCTTCATGTCCTTCTCTTCGACCAGTTCTAGCGTTGTAGGGATCGGCCCGTCGGTCACAACCGTAGTCAGGGCCCTGTATCGGCGCAGCTTCGCAGCGTGACCCTCCCCAAAGAGAGAAACGGGCTGTCCAATTTCTCTCAACTTGACGACGAGCTCTGCCTCGGCGATATCCTCCTCTCCGTCTGCGACGCGATCCCCATCGCCTTCCTCGCAGACGGTCCTGGCCTTCTCCTTCAGGCCAAGGCGCTTTCGCCTAGCCTGCTCCTCTTCCCATTCTTGGTCTTCTCGCCTCTTGCGCGATTCTTCAGCTAATTTCCGTCTCTTCTCCTCGCGTGCCTCGCGTTCCGCTGCCGCATCATCCTCCGCCTTGCGCTTAGCGGTCAGCTGAGCTTCTCTCTGTTCGTTGAGACGTTTCTGTTCGGCTTCGTAGGCAGCTTGTCGCTCGGCCTCGATCTCTGCACGGCGTTGATATTTCTTTGTCGAGGAGCTGCCGGCGTCAGAGGTTGGCTTCTTGGATTTACCGAGCTCCTTGCTCATCAACGAGGCGAAGTCCATGGCTCCGAGTTTATGCAATCGCTAACGGTGTAAAATGGTGCGTCAAGATGGGCGATGGCTTCGAGTTGAATGCAGAGTCTGCAGTACGTGGTGTAGGTGGACAAACATTGAACTTGTCGAGGATAACTTTACGGACAGCGGCGGAATTTAGTGCGGAAGCTCCCCGCGCGAGGCACGTCGCGATTTGGGCACCACCACAGAGCGAGCAACTGCTCAACTTCTGATACCTAAGCTACTTGCGTTTCGACTGCTCGACCACAATCTGAGCAAACCAGAATCAGTCTCATCAGTAGTATTTCCACCTCAATGTACTCCCGATAAGCTCTCATTAAAGCACCGTGGCAGGGGACGGTGGGCAAGGAGTTGAGCTGTGCGATAAGGAAGAGACACTGACAATGGGAGAGTCACAAAGAAAGGACAGTCAGACGATAAAAAGCCCATTGTGGGTGACCCAAACTCGTGTGCAGCATTATCATCACTAGCAGATGGCGCAGTCGCGCGGGACCCGGTGGAATTAATGAGGCCGCTTCAGAGTTGTGACTTCACTAGTATCGTGGGATTTCAAAGACTTGCAAGAGCCGGGCTGTCCTCCAGAAACAAAGTAACTCGGGGTGGAGATGGATAATCGCGCAGGCGTGACAAGGTCCTGAACGTCTTGTGCATGAAACCTCAGAGCAGGCATTGCATAGAAGAGGAAGGCCTGGGCGCCCCGGGATATTCTGTTTCTCGGATGTAGACAGCAATCGCACGCAGAAAAAATAGAGCCTGAGCACCAGCGGTACTCTGCTGGTTTCCTCCAGCATCATTTGCGGCGTTGTACACATATTTGCTATCGATTGTCGCGATATTTTGTATGTACACGGCCTCTGCTTCGCGCCTCGTCGCAATTAAATTTCCCTCGTCATATCTCCCCTGCGCTTTGCTCGCAGATCCCACAGGCCCTTTTTCATCGTTAGCCTACACAATTGCGGGTTCGTCGGTGCCTTCCGCTGACTTACGTCGGTCTGGTAGGCAACGTAGCCCATAATCGACGGGATCACAGCAACGTAGATGAAGGTAATGCGGGCTGTTCGGGGAGTCCATCGAAAGTAGTGGTGTCGCGCTTTCTGCATGGCTATTCGAGGACGTGTTAGCATCGTTGTCGCGATCGGTTCGTGGACGGGACTACGCACCCGCCAGCTTTTGGAAGGCCGGCTCGGGGCGGAACTCTGAGGGTCAATGGTCAGCAATTGGCTTTCATGGAGGTAATTGGGAGGACAAACTCATTTCAGCCATCTTGAATGTATAATTGACGGCAGAATCGCGAATGGTGAGTAGCGTTCGACGGTGCGAACAGAGTCGTTGGACCCGGCGATGGATTGAGGTTGACGACAACCGCTGACTAACCATACACGCGAGTTGCTATTGGATAGACACGATGAGTCTGTTACCTACCCTACACTACTATTCCCGCTGCACATCAGGCCTGGGACATCAAGACATAAATGAGCAGTAGCATTAATTCATGCTTAGGTATCGTTTACGAATGCTATAAGTATTACATGGTCTCACTTAACATATTTTCCGCACCATGTCGCTGAAGCGGGCGTGGGAGCATGCGTAAATGGCACTGGCAGTAGCAACATTTCATTTTCATGTTCGTCTTGCAGAAACAGATCAAAGGCATCAAATCGCAATTATGGCCGTCTCTGCCGAATAATTGTCAAGCAAAAAGCAAATCCATACGGCACTAAACAATTCAATTCCCAATTTTTATCTTATGATCGACCGAATATAGAAAGTAAGGTACTTTGGCCTGGGTGTACGAGATGAGTCCAAGAACATCACGTGATACGCTAACTCCCTTTAGAGGCTCATGCATCTCGACCAGAAAATTGTCGTCACGGAAGGCGACGAGAGACTGCCTCACTCATCAACACAAACCCTGGTCGTCGCAACGCGCTTTTGCGAGACAGGCTGACTATTAACATATTGGACTAAGCGTTTCAATATTGCAGGGAATTTCGACATCCGACTGCGGAAATCCTCAACCACCACGCGTCGACACAGTCGCGCAACGGCGTGAAGCGCGACCTCGATTCTTCACAAGGCCTCATCTGTTCGGAGAGGACTTCGACATGGCGCAACCACCACCTCCACCACCCCCTGGATGGGGCGCGCCCCCTCCCCCTCCTCCGCCTTCTTCTCTGCCACCGCCACCGTCAGAACCAGCGCCCCCAGCGCCACCACCTCCTGGCTACCGACCACCGACCGACCCTCAGATCGCCAAGTTTGCGCAGAAGAAGAAGGAATGGCTTCGAAACCAAAGAAACCGCTTCGGAGAAAAGCGCAAAGGCGGGTTCGTACAGACACAGAAGGCAGATATGCCCCCGGAGCACCTGCGCAAAATCGTGAAGGACATTGGCGATGTGTCGCAAAAGAAATACACCAACGACAAGAGGAGCTACCTCGGTGCTTTGAAGTTCATGCCTCACGCTGTGCTCAAACTTCTCGAGAACATGCCCATGCCCTGGGAGTCCGCACGTGAAGTGAAGGTACTTTACCACGTCAACGGTTGTCTTACGCTGGTCAACGAGATACCCCGCGTGATTGAACCTGTCTTCTTTGCCCAATGGGCAATGATGTGGACATTCATGAGGAAAGAGAAGGCAGACCGAAGGCTATTCAAGCGTATGCGCTTCCCACCATTTGACGACGAAGAGCCGCCGCTGTCATGGTCCGAGAACATCGAAGACGTCGAACCCCTGGAGCCCATTCAGATGGAGCTGAATGAGGAGGAAGATGATGCTGTGTACGAATGGTTTTACGACCATCAGCCTCTACTTGACACGTCTCACGTGAACGGCCCGAGTTACAAGTCATGGAACCTTACGCTGCAGCAGATGGCGACTCTCTTCCGTTTGAGTCGACCACTTGTCTCCGACGTCGTGGACAAGAACTACTTCTACTTGTTCGAGCTGAAGGGCTTCCTGACTGCCAAAGCGCTCAACATGGCCTTGCCAGGAGGACCCAAGTTTGAACCTTTGTACAAGGACATTGACCCTAATAACGAAGACTTTGGAGAGTTCAACGCGATCGATCGAATTATTTTCCGAGCGCCGATCCGCACTGAGCTCAAGGTAGCATATCCGTACCTCTACAACTCGTTGCCACGCAGCGTGCATCTCACCTGGCATTCTCACCCTCAGATCGTGTTCAACCGAGCCGACGACCCCGATTTGCCGACTTTCCACTTCGATCGACGAATCAACCCGATATCTTCAAGGACTGTCGCCTCGAAGAACGTCGATGTCTCACTCGAGGACGAGCTTTTCGGGAAAGGCAACAACGAGGAGCCGGAGGAGGATGCTTTTGTGCTTCCTGCGGGCTCAGAGCCCTTCCTGTCTGAGGAGGATTTGGAAAACGAAGACACTTCTTCAGCAGTGGAGCTCTGGTGGGCGCCGTACCCCTTTGACCGTCGGTCCGGCCGCATGGTGCGCGCTCAGGACGTTCCACTCATCAAACAGTGGTACCTCGAGCACCCCCCGTCAGGCGATCTTCCCAAGAAAACCCGCGTGTCTTACCAGAAACTTCTGAAGAACTTTGTGTTGAACGAACTTCACAAGAAAAAGCCCAAGGCGCAGAACAACCAGAATCTTATGCGTTCTCTGAAGCAGACAAAATTCTTTCAGCAAACCACAATCGACTGGGTTGAAGCTGGTCTTCAAGTCTGTCGCCAGGGTTTCAACATGCTCAACCTCTTGATCCATCGCAAGAATCTCACTTATCTTCACCTCGACTACAACTTCAATTTGAAGCCCGTAAAGACACTCACAACGAAGGAACGAAAGAAGTCCCGATTCGGAAACGCTTTTCACTTGATGCGTGAGATCCTCAGGCTCACGAAACTCATCGTTGATGCGCAAGTTCAATATCGTCTGGGCAACATTGACGCGTTTCAACTAGCTGACGGCATCCTGTATGCCTTTAACCACGTCGGTCAGCTCACGGGAATGTACCGTTACAAGTACAAACTCATGCATCAGATTCGTACTTGCAAGGACTTGAAGCACCTTATCTACTACCGCTTCAACTCTGGTCCAGTAGGAAAAGGCCCCGGTTGTGGGTTCTGGGCCCCTGCCTGGAGGGTGTGGCTGTTCTTCATGAGAGGCATCATTCCTCTACTTGAGAGATGGCTTGGCAACCTGTTATCACGCCAGTTCGAGGGTCGTCACAGCAAGGGTGTTGCCAAGACCGTCACCAAGCAGCGTGTTGAGTCACACTTTGATCTTGAGTTGCGTGCCTCAGTTATGGCGGACTTGATGGACATGATGCCTGAGGGCATCAAGCAGAACAAGGTCAACACTGTGCTGCAGCATCTTTCGGAAGCCTGGCGCTGTTGGAAGAGCAACATTCCATGGAAGGTTCCTGGACTACCTGCACCGATTGAGAACATCATTCTCCGGTATGTTAAGTCGAAGGCAGACTGGTGGATTTCGGTCGCGCACTACAACCGTGAGCGCATCCGCCGCGGCGCCACTGTCGACAAGACCGTTGCCAAGAAGAATGTTGGTCGTCTCACTCGCCTTTGGCTCAAGGCAGAGCAAGAGCGCCAACACAATCACATGAAGGACGGCCCCTACGTCTCTTCAGAAGAGGCTGTGGCCATTTACACCACAACTGTTCACTGGTTGGAGTCTCGGAAGTTTTCTCCCATTCCGTTCCCCAGCGTCTCCTACAAGCATGATACCAAGATTCTTATCCTCGCTCTTGAGCGACTGAGGGAAGCATATTCCGTCAAGGGCCGTTTGAATCAAAGCCAGCGTGAGGAGCTGGCTTTGATTGAGCAGGCCTACGATAGCCCTGGAACGACGCTCGAGCGCATCAAGCGGTTCTTGCTGACCCAGCGCGCATTCAAGGAAGTCAACATTGACATGAACGACAACTATAGCACCATCAACCCGGTATACGACATTGAGCCCATTGAGAAGATCAGCGATGCCTATCTCGATCAATACCTATGGTATCAAGCGGATCAGCGACACTTGTTCCCGGCTTGGATCAAGCCTTCAGATTCTGAAGTGCCTCCTCTGCTCGTGTACAAGTGGGCTCAAGGGATCAACAATCTTGATCGCGTGTGGGTGACCGAGGAGGGCGAATGCAATGTCCTCCTCGAGACAGAATTGTCCAAGGTGTACGAGAAAATGGAGCTCACCCTCCTCAACTCCTTGTTGCGCCTCATCATGGACCACAACTTGGCTGATTACATCACTTCCAAGAACAACGTTCAGCTCACATATAAAGACATGAACCATGTCAACAGCTTCGGAATGATTCGTGGGCTGCAATTTTCTGCATTCGTCTTCCAATTCTATGGCCTGGTACTCGATCTTCTCCTGCTCGGCCCGCAACGTGCAAGTGAGATTGCCGGACCACCTCAGAGTCCCAATGAGTTCCTTCAGTTCCGCGATCGGGAGACCGAAACGAGGCATCCGATCCGCTTGTACAGTCGGTACATTGACAAGATTTGGGTCTTCCTTCGCTTCACAGCTGAGGAGTCGAGAGACCTCATCCAGCGCTTCTTGACGGAGCAGCCCGATCCCAACTTTGAGAACGTTATCGGGTACAAGAGCAAGAAATGCTGGCCCCGCGACTCTCGCATGAGGCTCATGCGACACGATGTCAACCTTGGTCGTGCCGTTTTCTGGGATCTCAAGAACCGCCTTCCCCGTTCCGTCACCACCATTGAATGGGACGACAGCTTCGTCAGCGTCTACAGTCGGGACAACCCCAACCTGCTGTACTCCATGTGTGGTTTCGAAGTGCGCATTTTGCCCAAGATCCGCAACCAACTCGGAGAGTTCCCCGTGAAGGACAGCGTGTGGTCGCTCGTGGACAACACGACCAAGGAGAGAACAGCGCACGCCTTCCTGCAAGTCACACACGACGACATCCAGAAATTCAACAACCGGATCAGGCAGATTCTGATGTCGTCTGGCTCTACGACTTTCACCAAGATTGCGAACAAGTGGAACACGGCTCTCATTGCTCTGTTCACATACTATCGAGAAGCTGCTGTCTCTACGGTCAGCCTCCTTGACACCATTGTCAAGTGCGAGACCAAGATTCAGACTCGCGTCAAGATCGGCCTGAACTCGAAGATGCCCTCAAGATTTCCCCCGGCGGTCTTCTACACACCAAAGGAGCTTGGTGGTCTGGGCATGATCTCAGGCTCACACATTCTCATCCCCGCCAGCGACAAACGCTGGTCTGCACAGACTGATACAGGCGTCACGCATTATCGCGCGGGTATGACGCACGATGAGGAGACTTTGATCCCCAACATCTTTCGTTACATCATCCCCTGGGAAGCTGAATTTGTTGACTCCCAACGCGTGTGGACCGAGTACTCGCAAAAGCGTCTCGAAGCTAACCAACAGAACCGTCGTCTGACTCTTGAGGACCTGGAGGACAGCTGGGATCGGGGTCTGCCTCGCATCAACACCCTCTTCCAAAAGGACCGTAGCACTCTCAGTTTCGACAAGGGCTTCAGGGCCCGCGCCGAGTTCAAGATCTACCAGCTGATGAAGAGTAACCCATTCTGGTGGACCAGTCAACGACACGATGGCAAGCTATGGAATCTAAATGCCTACCGAACTGATGTCATCCAAGCACTGGGTGGTGTTGAGACAATCCTGGAGCATACCCTGTTCAAGGCTACTGGCTTCCCATCCTGGGAGGGTCTGTTCTGGGAGAAGGCTTGTTTGGCCAAGGGTACTATGCTCCTCCGGCACGACCATTCGCAAGTCGCTGTTGAGGATGTCAAGGAAGGTGATCTGCTTCTGGGACCGGACGGAGGTCCTCGTCGTGCGTTCAACATTGTTTCTGGTCAAGAGCGTCTCTATCGTATCATGATGGAGAGTCTCGAAGAAGATCTCGTGGTCACCCCGAACCACATTCTCGTTCTTCACAAATCCACAGGACGTCTTCAGGATCAGTCGGGAGAGTTACCGAACCCAGGCTCAAAGCCAGCGGCTGATGATTACGAGACTGTCGAAATGACAGCCGCTGAGTTTGCAGCGTTCTCTCCTCAAGAGAGGGCGCACTATCGGCTCTTCAAATGTTCTCTTCCCGAGCAAACCTCCGTCTCTCAGACACCCAGGTTTGAGATAAAAAACATTGCTCTCGAGCAGGACGTCACTGAATGGGCAGGTTTCCGCGTCGACAAAGATCAGCTCTACCTCCGCCACGACTACCTGGTGCTTCACAACAGTGGTTTCGAAGAGTCCATGAAGTTCAAGAAGTTGACCAACGCGCAAAGATCTGGTCTGAACCAGATTCCCAACCGTCGCTTCACATTGTGGTGGTCACCCACGATCAACCGTGCCAATGTCTACGTCGGTTTCCAAGTCCAACTGGATCTGACTGGCATCTTCTTGCACGGCAAGATCCCAACCCTGAAGATCTCGCTCATTCAAATCTTCCGTGCCCATTTGTGGCAGAAGATCCACGAGTCGGTGGTCATGGACTTGTGTCAAGTCTTTGACCAGGAGCTCGAGTCCTTGGGTATCGAGACTGTGCAGAAGGAGACCATCCATCCCAGAAAGTCATACAAGATGAACAGCTCTTGTGCGGACATTCTGCTGTTTGCCAGCCACAAGTGGAATGTGACCCGACCGTCATTGCTTCACGATACCAAGGATGTGATTGAGCCGACAACGACGAACAAATTCTGGATCGACGTGCAGCTGAGATACGGCGACTACGATTCTCACGACATTGAACGATACACGCGTGCCAAGTACCTGGACTACACGACCGACAGCGCCAGTATCTACCCCTCCGCCACTGGTCTCATGGTTGGCATTGATCTTGCCTACAACTTGTACTCTGCCTACGGAATGTACTTCCCTGGCTTGAAGGTGCTCATCCAGCAAGCCATGGCCAAGATCATGAAGGCGAACCCTGCACTGTACGTTCTGCGCGAGCGTATCCGCAAGGGTCTGCAGCTGTACGCCTCGGAGAGCAACCAGGAGTTCCTGAACTCGCAGAACTACTCGGAGCTGTTCAGCAACCAGACGCAGCTGTTCATTGACGACACCAACGTGTACCGTGTGACCATTCACAAGACCTTTGAGGGCAACTTGACGACCAAGCCTATCAACGGTGCGATCTTCATCTTCAATCCCCGCACCGGCCAGCTTTTCTTGAAAATCATCCACACCAGTGTCTGGGCCGGTCAGAAGCGTCTCGGTCAATTGGCCAAGTGGAAGACTGCTGAGGAAGTTGCGGCACTGATCCGGTCGCTACCCATGGAGGAGCAGCCCAAGCAATTGATTGTCACCCGCAAGGGTCTGCTGGATCCTCTCGAGGTGCACTTGCTCGACTTCCCCAACATTTCCATCCGCGCCTCGGAGCTGCAGCTGCCCTTCCAGGCGGCGATGAAGGTGGAGAAGCTGGGCGACATGATCCTGCGCGCGACGGAGCCGCAGATGGTTCTGTTCAACCTGTATGACGACTGGCTCAAGAGCATCTCATCGTACACTGCGTTTTCGCGACTGATTCTCATCCTTCGCGCGCTGCACGTCAACCCGGACAAGACCAAGCTCATTCTCCGTCCCGACAAGACGGTGATCACCCAAGAGCACCATATCTGGCCGTCCTTGTCAGACGAGGACTGGATCAAGGTCGAGACGCAGCTTCGTGATCTGATCCTGAACGACTATGGCAAGAAGAACAATGTCAACGTGTCGAGTCTGACGAGCAGTGAAGTCCGGGACATTATCCTGGGCATGGAGATCTCGGCGCCATCCATGCAACGGCAGCAAGCGACCGAAATCGAGAAGCAGCAACAAGAGCAAGCACAGCTCACGGCGGTCACGACCAAGACGCAGAATGTGCACGGAGAGGACATTATTGTGACCACGACGTCGCAGCATGAGCAGCAGACCTTTGCATCCAAGACGGAGTGGAGGACTCGAGCGATAGCGACATCCAACCTGCGGACGCGCGCCAAGAACATCTACGTCTCGTCCGTCGACGACAGCGACGACAATGACATTACCTATGTGATGCCCAACAACATCCTCAAGCGGTTCATCACCATTGCGGACCTGCGCACCCAGATTGCCGGGTACCTGTACGGATCGTCGCCACCGGACAACAAGGACGTGAAGGAAATCAGGTGCATCGTCATGATCCCGCAGATCGGCGGGTTGCGCAACGTCCAGCTACCACAGCAGCTGCCGCAGAGCGAGTTCCTGCAGGACATGGAACCTCTGGGGATCATCCACACGGTGTCTGGCAACGAGCTGCCGTACATGTCGGCGGCGGACGTGACGGAGCACGCGCGCCTGCTGGACAGCCACAAGGAGTGGGACAAGACGAGCACGGCCACCGTGTCTGTTGCATTCACGCCCGGTAGTGTGTCGCTGTCGGCGTGGGGTCTCACGCCGGACGGCTACAAGTGGGGGGCCGAGAACAAGGACATTCAGAGCGACCAGCCGCAGGGGTTCTCGACGACGATGGGGACGAAGCGGAAATTGCTGCTGAGCCCCCGATTCAAGGGGTTCTTCCTGGTGCCGACGGACGGGCGGTGGAACTACACGTTCATGGGCAGCGCGTTTGACGGCATGGTGAAGAAGCCCGTGCACGTCAAGCTGGACACGCCGCAGTCGTACTACAGCGACCAGCACAGGCCCATTCATTTCCAGAGCTTTGCCGAGCTGGAGGACATTTGGGTCGACAGGCAGGACAACTTTGAGTAATGCAGGCATGCATGGATGCATGGACGTCTTTACCGGAGGAGTGTACAAGGTGGGAAGAATATCGATCTGGTCGAATTGCTTTTGCTTTGCTTTGGCATGAACACATAATCTCGAGAGAAGGGGGACAAGGCGTTTTTTTGTTTTTTTGCAGAGGGTCAAGGCAGACTATCTATGTACGTTCCTGTTGTACGTTGGTTGATATTCGTTTTAGTTGTCTGCATTGTCCAGCCCAAGGAAAAGGCTACCGAACAGGGTCAAGATCCCGTGTCAATGTAAGGTACCGTAGTCAGGCAATCTTATTGATTGATCATCCAAACACCCTGCGCATCCGTGAACCCACCGCTGATTGCGTACCGTCATGCGTGAATGCTGGCCCTCGTCCCGTCAGGCTCACCGCATGTGATGCATCTTTCGAGAAGCGTTCGAGAAGGCATACGAATAAAGTACCTTGCCTACCTTAAGGATGGGGACGGGCCATGACGAAATTGCACGTTAAATTGGGCTTGTTTATGCGTTCATGCGGGGGAACCACCAGCCACCACCAGCACCCTTGGTCTTGGGAGCACTCGACTCCACGATCGTCCAGTCAGCCTCCTAGCAGACCGAGGACAAGATGCAGTGGAAGACGGTACGATATGTAATATCCGTATATTGGATAAATTTAGATTGATAGCGATCGACTCTGGCTGGGCCACTCCGGGCGATGCGGTACCTACATGTAGATGGCACCGTACGTCTGTAGGCGCAGCAAAACCCTACGTGCGTCTGCCCGCGGGATGGTTCTTACCAGCCTGGCTGCGATGGGCACATGCACACTGATTGAGCATGCTACGAGTGTCGTCGTCGTACACCACAGGTGGCACCCTGCCAAGCCTGCATGTGCCACTGGAGCACTTGACAGCGCAGCAACCTGGCATGCCGCGCGGATCACCACCGTCCATCCCTGAGTCCCATCCAGATTCCAGTTCCACTGGGATGGGTGGTGGTGGACTGATGGTGGTGCTGCGGGTGTCGGGTGCAGGGGACGGAAGAGGTCGACTAATACGGCGGCGGGCAGGGCCAGGATCGAAACGAGATGGTAACTCCAATTGGAGCGATAGCGAGCGCGTGGCGGTTGTGTATTATTATTAGCTGTGGCTGGAGTCGCCTGCGGAGGATGGCGACGTGGCCGGTCAACGGTGCCTATTCGAGTCCATTATACATGTGAGAACTTATCACCGTGGACCGATCAGGTCGTAGTAGCTGTGAGCAAGATCATTGGTTGAGCATTGATCAACGGTCTGATGGGGTCAGTGTACATGTACTGACAACAAGTTTATACCTCCAGTGGTGGACCTGTCTGATGCCTAGACTACTAGTATGTAATTACATGTAATGAGCGACCACTTAGATGTACTTGACAATTCTACTTATCATACTAGGTCAGTAATTAGACAGCACCTGTGAGCACTCCAGCTACACGCGCTGCCAAAAACCCAGACCCTTGCTGCGCTTGGGTGGCATGACGATATCTCGCCTGTGTTATTAAACCACCACCACGGTGCCCTATCACCTCCCGTCTTCCATGCACAGCGCCGACGCCACTTGGGCCAATGATGGACACGGAAGCCCGTGAAGAAGAAAGGCTCTCCCGTTCTCTGTCAACTGTCAAGACTCGAGGCATGAACGTTGCTAACGTCAAGTTAGCTTGCGGGGCGCCCTCCCTCCCTCCAGTCTGGCGCCAGATTCCAGAAAGACGCCATTCTCCACCGATATCGAGGCCCCGTGCCGTGCAGAACACAAGAACTGCCAGACAGATCGAGGTGCTTCAGAGTTCAGACGGCCAATCTGGCGGAAGTTGGGACTGTAGTCTGCGCTCACTAGTACGTAGTAGCAAGCATCTCCGCAAATTCTAGAAGGAGCGGAGATCGTGAGCAGATACAGTAGCCATCAAGTGAGGTCAGATGCCAGTGCCGCGACGGACATATCCTCTCATTCGGGTCGCGACGCCCCGAGCAGTCTATTGAGCTTCAGCGGTCGCCTATGCTGACTTATGCTTACCAAAGATGTCGAGCATGCAATATCTAAAGTCTGGTGCGTTCAAATTCGCCCTCCACTGCCTTTGCCACCGTTGGGTATTAGCAGACAGGCAAGCAGGCAGGCAGGCAGGCAGGCAGGCAGGCAGGCAGGCAGGCATGGCTTGCTGTCGATCAGCAACCTTAAGGCCAGCGATGACGTGCATCCCAGGATGATGCTGGGTATCTTGTCGCCATCGAGGCCTCTCTGCTGATTATTAGCGTTTGTCCACAGTCCGGAACAGTCGCCGTCAGAAAAAGCCCCGTCCCTCACTCGGATCAAACGAAATTTCACCTTGGTTCTTGGTATGCGTCCCAGAAATTGTTGTCAATGGGCAGCTTTTTCTGCACGTGTCGGACAGTCGGAGGAGACATGGATACATTATGCAAGCCGGCACATCCCTGTCCAAGACTGGGGGTGCGCCTTGTCCTCCCGGACACACTAGACCAACTAATAGTACCACCCGCTGCTGAAAGGCGTCACCGACGAAAATAACACAATCGCGTCGTTCAGAAATTTCACATTCTGGGGCCCAGCGTACGAGGCCTTGTGGCCGTTTTCCACCAGATCGACTCTTCATCACTTGCGCTCTGCGAGGACGCAGTGCCAGCCAGCCAGGCAATGACGCACCCGACAAGGAGAGGCTTGGCTTGGCCCTGCTCTCAGTCTCAGGAGTACATCTTCCTACGTTAGCGACTGTTTCACGTCTGGGCCAGAATTCGCTCGCAGTTGGGCATCACTCTCCACGCACTCATACTCTAATACTTGCCTAAGGGCTAAGGCTACTCAAAGGCTCAAGCAATACGTCCACTGAGAACTAAGCTTAGATCCACCACACTAGACTAGCATATAGCCGTCTTCTTAAGTTCCTCATGATTGTACGGAGCACTCCGTACGTAGCGACTAACTCAGTACACTGCAGACAGTCATTTTGGGGGGGGGGGGGGGGGGGGGGGGGGGGGGGGGGGGGGGGGGGGGGGGGGGGGGGGGGGGGGGGGGGGGGGGGGGGGGGGGGGGGGGGGGGGAAAA